CTTCACTGATGGGGGAGGCTTTTATTTTGGATCTAGTGGTTTTTTCCAGATAGGTGGTGGGATCTGTGTTTAGGGGTTTGTATGTGGAGTCTTGGAGTAGGTTGGTTAATTTGGTTTGGTAGTCCGATGTGTTCATAACCACTGTGGCGTTGCCCTTGTCTGCTGGTAGGATTATTATGCTGGTATCTTCTTTCAGGTTAAGTAGTGCTGTCTGTTCCTCTTTGGGTAAGTTGCTTTTGGGTGGCTTGCTGGTGCAAAGGATGTTGGTGATTTCGAGTCTGATTCTGTTAGCGTCGTCGGGGTTGATTTTGGTCAGGCTGGTTTCCAAAATGTCAAGGTGTTCACAATCAGACCGATCTGTCTGAACTCCCTATATATATATATATATGAAATAATATTATCCTCTTGATTTTATATTACCCAGTGTATGTTAATGGATAATTAATGTTGCTTAATTAACCCCTTGAATAGTGCAAATTTAAAATATTCATACATTTCAACTTTTTCCCTCCACATATTACTAAGGTAAGTTGGTACCATAGAATATTAGTTTTATCAGTACTTTATTTAGAATCAAAAATCTTACTATATTAATAGCATGCTCTGAAAAATATTTTAGAGAATATATGCTTAACTTGCAGTCTACGTATTACTATCATCTTCATTAGAGCCAATTATTGTTTAATACTTTTCTGAGTATATGACTAGCCTATGTGAAGGATGTTTATTTCAAAGTTTTTAAACATGCTTTGTTTCTAGATTTTTATTTGAGAGGGGTTATTTTTAGGACACATTCAAAAAAGAAGTAATCAAATGGTAGTCCCTGAAATCCAAACTATTCTCTGTGGCGACCAAGTTGGTGTTGGTACATTTCCTTAAATTAAGAGGAAATTTGTCTGTATCTATAATTTTTATAGTCGCCATCTCACCAAGAATGGCTCTGAGTGGTATTAATAAAAACCACAGCTATTAAAAATATAAAAATAAAAAACAAATAGTATACAAAACAAGTATACATGAATACTACCTGAATTGGCTTAAATTTCTATACAGTACCTGTTTTGTTTCCAAGATCTGATATATAGATGATGGATGTGTGTGTGTGTGTGTGTGTGTGTGTGTGTGTGTGTGTGACATTTTCATGATGAGAGGAAAAAATTGCAGATTTTTCTCTGTTGTAGTTCTTATTTGAGGAAGTTAAAATACAGACCAGTACAGTCTGGTCAGGTTTTATGATCAGGTATTTTGATAGTATATGTACAGTAAGTAGCCTTAGATGTATTTAGCAGTCCTATTGAGTTCAATGGAGATTGCTTCAAAGCTCAAAGCAATAATAAATAGTTAAGAGCACTAATAATACAGCCCCTTTGGTGTAGTGGCTGGCTGCTGGCCTAGAAAACAAGAGACTGTAAGTTCTAGTCCTATCTTGGGATATGAAAGCCCTTTGAGTCCCATCTCTCTCTGCCAATTTATCTCTCAGATTTGTTGTTGTGGGAGAAATAGGAGGAGGAAGGAGTATTATGCATGTTTACCACCTTGAGTAATAAAGGCAAGATAAAAATCAAACAATACTGCCTTTTTGCATAGTCTTCAAATATTTGCTGCTATATCAAGATTTAAATCCGTTATCTACAATTTTAAACTATTATTTCACAGGTATTTAAAATTATTTTATTATTTCACAGGTATTTAAAATTTTCAACAGTCTGAATCAAGTAGCAGCAGAATAACTTTGAACAATCATCCATCATGAATGTATTTAATGAAGGTTGAAAGACATAAAAGAAGGTAGTATTGTTTCCATATTTGTAATGCATTTATCATTGGTAACATTTTCAATAGCAGCAAGAGTACAAAAATATTTTGTGCCAATTTGATATAATTATGCTTGTATGAAGCTGTTATAATTAAAGGATTAATTTCAGTCTTTTAATTGAGCGCACTACTCTTTTAGCCTTTCTTTTATGTGCACTACTACATGATCGTCAAAATCTTTGAGGATCACCACTTAAGGCTTAGGCTGTGTTCTCCACAGTATGTAGGGACATCTGCAGGGCTCTAAAATTAAATAAAATTATTTTATGTTTTAAAATACTTTTCAATTGCTAAAATGTGGAATCATCAAATCTTGCAAGATTTTGGCAAAGCATATTGACAATGCCATGCTAATGAAAAAAATGGAAAGATCCATATGTTCACAGAGGAAACACTTGTAATACCCTTACTGATTGCCCGTTATTGCTGGAATATATATTGTGTACCATTGTCATAAAATACACAGATCTTGAAAATTATATTAATGTGTGTTTCTATGAAATCATGTGACATTAAGGTCATATTATAATTACTGAACTTTATGAAAAAATTTGGACTCTATTAAACTAGAAAAAGAATTCTATAGGTAGTCTTTATAAACTTAATTGAGCCCAAACTTTCTGTTGCTGAGTGAAACATTTGTTGAGTTTTGCCCTATTTTACAACCTTTCTTGACACAGCTGTTAAGTGAATTTCTGCAGTTATTAAATTAGTAACACAGTTGTTAAGTGAATCTGGCTTCCCTATTGACTTTGCTTCTCAGAAGGTCATAAAATGTGATCACATGATCCCAGGACACTGCAAATGTCATAAATATGAGACAGTTGCCAAGCATCTGAATTTTAATCATGTGACCATGATCACATGCTGCAAAGGTTGTAATTGTAAAAAACGGTCATAAGTCATTTTTTTCAGTGCCGTTGTAACTTCGAACCGACACTAAGTGAACGGTTATAAGTGAAAGACTACCTGTACTTAAAATGTTTTAATTTAATGGTATTACACCGTTAATAAAAGGTTAAGGGTCCTACACATGTCCACAAGTTCCACAATGAGAGCTGGAATAAAGAAAGCACTCTGAATTCCTATCACCAATTAAAATCCAATACTTGAATTAGAGTAGTGAGTATTCTCAAATCCACAAATGTGTTTTTTCAAAGGGAAAGCAAGCATCAATGGTAGGCCTGAGTTTTCCAGTTAGAAGTACTTCGTCAGTCTTGTGTAGTTTAAACTTCATTTTATTCACCCATATTTAGCATATTACTGCAATAAGTCATAGATTTAGAAATTAAGAATAAAATCAATTTAACAGCGAATCTGAGTGAATAGTGTTTTAGTCTGTTGAAGTGTACTTTCAACAACATAGGATACAATATTGATCCTTAGAGAGAGACATCCATGACTTTGAATCTTATGGGATGGTTTATATAATCTGAAATGAAACAGAGTGTTGAGAAACTATAATAGATGAGATGAAATGATGTCTTTTGAGGTTCCTCCAACAACTAAATTGAAACAGGTTTTATTTAAATCAGACACTTGATGTGCATGAGAGATTTTTGAATTTTTCTGTAAAATATATTCTATAGAAATCGAAGGGGGAAATGTAGAATGTGTTATTATTTCCACAAGAGAGGTCAAATAACTTATGATATGTTCTTGCTGTGGATTAGTTGAAGTGGCTTGACTTATTTTATTTGTAACATTGGACTCCTATTGTTCCTTGTTGTTCTTAAAAAAAAACAGTATTTCCCAGAGGCTGAAGATCTATTTCTGTTTTATGACCTGCTGTATCCTTAAGGCCAGGAGGCCCCATTGAGCATTCAGACCCAGTAAAATAAGAGGGTCATTGCCATCATCCAGGTCCTAATTGTTGCTTTCTGATTGCCAGATAGACACCAAGGCAGCTGTGAGAACATCTGGGGCCTAGTAGGGGGAGGGTGCTCCTGGCATTTTGTTTCACCAGGTGCTCAGTGGAAGCGGCCGTCCTCTTTTTGATATGGGAGTTAAGTTCTGTGGTCCCTGAAGTGAAGTTGCAACAATTGCAGAGGTCATAAGACAGCTGAGTGGGGGTCAGACACAGTGGGGTGTATTTTGTTACTTAGTAAAAGAAGGGATATCCTAAAACCTTTAAAGGGTTTTCTTGAAATCTCTGTTGTGAGAAGGTTTTATGAGTCTGATGCAAAAAGTGCTGGTTTAGGTAAGGAATGCTGCTTTTGTCTAAAAGACAACCCTTACCAAATGTTTGCAGCTTTGGTAGTACATTCAGCGAAAGGCAAGGAAACCAAAATTGCTTTTCAGACCTAGGCTTTAAAATAGTTTTTCATTCACTCTCATAATATTTGAACTCTCTTCACTTCAGATTAAGCATTTTAAGTCATTTGTTACTATAAAAAAAATGGAGCAGAATTCACTTGCTTTTTTTTGTCTTAGATGAAATGAGAATGAAAAATCGAAAGCATTTCAGCTTAAGTGAGCTATTTTTAAGTAGACGATGAAAGGAAGGACCTCAGTTTATTAAAGATAACAATTTAGAATGCAAGTCTGCAGCTCCCAAGTCTTCAGTCCCCAAATGTTTTATTTAAACTGGAACTTGGAATCAAATATAGAGGGACATGTGTTCAGATTAAAAATACAAGGAATGAATAAACTTTTGGCATTTGCCCAAAAAATATTGGAATATGCAAACCAATATAACAATGGCTATTTTTGTCTGAGGCAAATTTTCACTTTTTTAATGCTGTTTGCCTGTTCAGATAAGTGAAGAATGCATATATTGTAAAGTTCCAACATTTTCTTTATTTTCTTTAAATAATAAGGTTCCAAATGTACGTGGGCTCTTTTCTTTATTTTCTTTAAATAATAAGGTTCCAAATGATACGTGGGCTCTTTTTGCAAATACATCATTGACATAATCAAGACAGTGATAGGGGTGAGAAAAGGCATTCCTTTTTATGTGTGACAAAGGACATGGAAGAGGCACTTATGCATAAGTATAATGCATTTTGCTGTAGTTAATAAATAGGACCCTAATTTTCACTGTTAACTGAATTGGAAAATAGTAGCACTCGGGAAAAAAGAGAATTGTATAATTTTAAAATGGAATTTCCAATCCTCTGTTGAGAGTATTAAAAAATATTTTGTTTTTGTTGGATTGTTAAAATCTCTTTGTGAACCATAGATATCAAAAGTTGCTAACATATTTTTAATGTCTATGGAGATTCTCAGTCATTCAGTTGCCTCTTGAAAAAGCACCTTTGGGATAACATATTTTTAATGTTTTGCCCTATCTTTAGTTTCAAATATAGAGGAGAGTTAGTTGTGCATTGCTGCATTTTGTTTTCTTCCATATTCTTTCCATTATTATAATTAGATTGTTGGAAAGAAATTGGGGAAATTATCCAAGCATGAGAAAGGCATTATTTCTTTTCTGCTGATGTGGAATATACTGGAATTGGACAGTGAAAGATAGCATCTCTATTGCCATGGCACTGAAACATCATCACCTGTTCCCTTCTTTATCAACTTGTTTTTAAGCTAGAAAAACTGTTCTTTGTTAGAAGGCAATGTAAGTTCATTGGTAATGACCATGGAACTTTTCCAGGGCCTCAGATTTTACTGAGACACCTGCAGGGAGTCCTTGAGAAGTGCAGCACATAAAACTGACTGCAGAAGTTGAGAGTAGAAAGGTGTTTTAAATGGACTGTGTTTAAATGATCAGTATTTGCTAAATTAAAAAGAGCTGTAAAATATAAATGAGAATCCCAATGGATTGGCGTGGGCTGGGAAGGGTGCTCGTGGGCTCCTCCTTCCCTCCCTTCTTTTTCTTCCCAGCAGGCAGGTAACTGGTTGCTGCTGACTTGGGAAGAGAGTGAGGGATTGTGAGATTCATTGGGAAACTGCCACAGATCATTAAAAATGAAAGTTGTGTGACCACAACAGCAGCCATCAGCACTGAAACAGCTACAACTTTCCCAAACTTTATTCCCTTGGGGGTCATGGGTCCCAGATTTTGAAAACATTCTGTAAATTAAGGTACCTTGATTCAAAAATTGTTTCCCTATGATGTCTAGGTAATGGTTATGATAACAAGAATTTTAGTATTGTAGTACTGTATATAGATTGCATTTACACAAATAATGATTTGTTATGGAAGGTAGGATTACTATAAAATTGTGAATTTTTAGAAGATGGATATCAGATAAATATCATAGGTAGCAGTTTTAAGTATTTGAAAGGATTTATAGAATCTGGGAAGATATGGAAAAGAAGATATAAAGCAGATATATCTAAGAAATGTGTTGATTTTCAAAGGGCTTACTATCTTGGTAATTTTAAGAAAGGATAATAGTTTTATAAAGCTACTGCAAATTAAAAAACACTGAATTATATAATGAGATTATGTAGCTACCGTGTTACTGAAAGCATGGGTTAACATTACAGATATGCTGATATTGTAATTTAATACCTTGCATCCTATTAACTCAATTAGGGTTGCTATGGTAGTAAGCTAGAAGAATACTAGGAAAATTTGCTTCAGGCTTACAGTTACAGTATGTGGCTGTAATTCTCATGCCATTTCAATTGCAACGTCAAATGCAATGAATTATATTTAAAGCCATAAGCTTATTTATGTTCCAAAGACTATCTGGACTTAGTTTTTTTCCCCTAAGACCCACATTAATTATGCGGTGAGGTGTGTGCTAGATCGTATCTTCAACTCAACTATTTAGAAATGCATAGCAAAGTCTGTCCTTAACTGAACTTAACACATTTTAATGGAAATGTGCCTTCCATTAAGTAAGTAAGCATCTGCTGAAGTTACTTTAACTTGAACCCTGAGCATTTTCTGAGCTTTTCTTCAGGACTCTCTTTTTCATGACATAATGGTTATAACTTTTTCTTGATAGGCACAGGTTTCCTTTTCAATACTGTTTTTCTTTTATTAAGGTATTTGTTTTTATCCTTAATAAATACCTTTTATTAAGGTATTTGTTTTTATCCTTAATAAATACCTTTTATTAAGGTATTTGTTTTTATCCTTAATAAATACCTTTTATTAAGGTATTTGTTTTCCGTCCACCATTGCATTTTTAAAATCATTTTTCCAGTCATCTGAAGGATTTAACTTTCAACTCTCAAATAGCCATTGGGCTAATCTTAATTCACTGAGAAAGTTCTGCAGAGGACTTTGGGGAAAAGCTGTAAACATGTAGGAAACAAATGTTTATTTTAAGGCTTTTTGTTGTGCTTGCATATATGTGCATTTTAATGTTCTAACTTCATGTGCATAAATTTAATTGAGCTCTGTATGTGTGTATTTTGTACATATGTCTCTCTCTCTCCCTCCCTCTCTCTCTCTCTCTCTCTCTCTCTCTCTCTGTGTGTGTGTGTGTGTGTATGTATGTATGTATGTATGTATGTATGTATGTATAAAAGGATTGCCAGAAAAGAGAAAATTGTCTATTGTAAAGTAATCCAATAGCAATTTTAGAACAGGAAATACTCCAAGTATTTTTAAAACTGATGATTTAAGCAAGTTCTCTGTCTCTTAAAATCAATGTATTTCACTATCAGTTAATTCAGAGCTATTTAACTGGTTTGTTTGAGAATTATGTTCAATTTCTTTGATTTATTTCCACATCCTATTCCATAACCCTACAATATACATACATAATATGTTAATTAGCAATCCCTTGGATTCTTGACAACTGGGAATTCATGATAGTCCTTCATGACAACTAGGAAATTAAACTTGAAACAATAAATTATGGTTTCCCAAGTGGATCTCTGTATGACCTCTATTTCATTGACATTTTGCTGTTGGTTCAGTTGGGAGAAGAAGTCAATCCAGCCAAAACAAAATTGCTATCACATTTCTGTGAAATAGAGTAGAAAGGAAATACTCTTAAAACAGATAATGGTCTTAACTATTTATCTTTGAAGATCTCTACATACTGACTTTTATCTGAACATTCCCTGTGCTGCATCTGAGATCTGTCGTGGTTCATTTTAATTTACACTGATGCTCAGAGACATATTAAGTTAAAGAAAAAGTGACAGAAAAGAACGCTTATCAGTGAAAAGCAGACTGGTAAAATCAAGAAGAAACACTCCTTCTTCAAGATGGTTTTTTAAATAGTTTCTTTACCATTGCTAATACTTTATCCTTGCAATGTGCACTGTTGCAAAACACCGGTTTGTACTTCTGCTTTCCATAATAAAAGAATGAAAAGAATGAAATGAAATGAAATGAAACGAAACGAATTTATTTATTTATTTATTTATTTATTTGTTTGTTTATTTATTTGTTTATTTATTTGTTTATTTATTTGTTTATTTATTTAACAGATCATGGGGAATTCTTATGCAGGGCAACTGAAATCTGCCCGTTTTGAAGAAGCTCTTCATAACTCCATAGAGGCCTCCCTCAGATGTAATAGTGTGGTTCCTCGGCCCATCTTCTCCCAACTCTATCTTGATCCTGAGCAGCCTCCTATTTTGCCGGAAGGTAACCAAGCAAGTATGCCATATTCTAATTGTTCTTATGCTACATACAATGTTTATTTTTTTTTAAAAGATTTTTTTCAGAAGTATATATTTCTATTAGGCATATGTGGTTGACTTTTTTTTTAAATCATGCATTCCAGATGTGAAACCAAAAGTGGAAGAGCTAGACAAAGAATTGATGCATCGTTATACCCAGAATGGAAGTTTGGATTTTTCCACCAGCCAGACTATTAATGAAACAGAAGAAGATGACGAGGAGGAAGACATGTCTGATTCCAACAGTCCGCCAATCCCATATTCACAAAAACCTGCCCCAGAAGGATCTTGCACTACTGATGGTTGGTTTAAATCTTACCTATCTAACATCTCATGTAGAATCAGAGGTGCCCGTGGAAGGGCAGTTATCAATGATGAAAACAGTTTGCCTCCTTTGTATATGTTGTACATTGTTTTGTCACAGGCATACAGGAAAAGGACAGCAATTACTTTGTGATGGTTCTGTTACTTTCACTAAGGATACATTTGTGATATGAATGTATAACCTTTTTTTGTTTGTAACAAAATCTAAAAAAGTTATAAAACTTCTTAAAGACGTTATAATGTCTGTGACTAATTTGAAGCTAGTTCTATTTGATTCAATAGAATTTCTCCAAGTAAGCAGATACAGTATATCAGCTTTCCCTAATAAGTCTGATTTTTGACGTTAAAATATCAAGGGATCCCTTTATGAAATATTTTATTCAGTTAAAATTGGACTTGCTTGCATGCAAACTAAATGCAAGATTAAAATCTGAATCTGTTTATAATGTTATTTGGGCAATAAACAATATTGGAAATAGCTCAAATTGTTGTATTCTTCAAGGGCATTTTAGAAAGTGGTCCAGGAGGAATAGTTTATTTAAATCCTATATCATAAAGATTAATAAAAATTTTAGTTAACATGTTTAAGATCCAAAATATTTCTCATTGTCCTTTATGAAAATTACTTTTTCTTCTAAGTTATCTTCTAAATATCTTGTAATTATCTTCTAAAAATACGGAATAAGTCAGGCAGTATTTTTCTTAACCCAAAAATGGAATGTGGGCTATGTATTTATGGAATAGTACTATTCTGGTTAAGTTTACAATTAAAGTCGGTGGCACCAGACATAAAAATATTTTAACAACTTGTATGAAGAAAATGTTTTGTTCATTAAATAAAGGAATCTCCCTTCCCACTTCTCAAATCTGAAAGTTTCCACATAAAGTGCAGTTCAAATTGCAGAGAGTTCTAAGATAAAAATACACCTGAAGAGAGATTTCTTTACAGAAGTGAGATTCTTGAGAATTACTATGGATGTTGTTTTAGGCAACAAATATATGCTTCTCTTCAGACTGGTTTCATTTTAAACTTCATTTACTTCTGTAACCTTTGTATCTTGCTGCCCTTATTTCTCTTGCCAAAAGATTGACAAATTATTTGCACTGATTAAGATTGCAGTATGAAACATTCTTACCAGGAAACAGATTTCACTGAATTTACAGAGACCAAAATAGCCATATATTGAATGATACATATAAATCATAGCAATTACATTGCTGGGATCAAGACTGTGTGAAAAATTTAAGTTATTGCTATGGCAATTGTGAAAGCTTGTTAAAACAAATGATGCACTGAATGTGTTCAGCAAAAAACTGTTTGATAAGGTTAATATTAATCCTCTCTTGGATGAAAACAGCAAGCACTATGCCCTACATTTCCATGCACACAGCTCTGCTCTCCCTTAAACATCCTGCATTTTGTTTGGTGATATTGTAGCCTGTAGGCAGAAAAATCCAATATGGCAAGTCCAAAATATACAATTGATTTTCAGGAAAAGACTGCAGTACTGGATCAAATGATTTTTGACCTGAAAAAAAACACCAGGAACTTTATGTAGAGACCATAACTATATAGCATGTGATATCCCTCTGGGGCTATTGCAGCAGAATTGATCAGTTAGGTAGTAGATATGGCCCCATCATTGGACAGAATGTCATCTTGGACAACAAATGCTCAGCAACAGCACCAGTCTTCTGGTCTTTCCCCTCTATTAGAGAAGCAAGCTGTGTATTCTGGCAGCCTGCCTTGTAATCTTTGAATTAACGTATTGTCATCAGTTGCAGTGAATGCCGGCCTGTTTCCTGTGTATTGAAGGAATATCAACTGTGGACTTATTTATATTCTGAGGATGGAATGGTGGGATGGGAAAACTTTTTTTCTCTCTTATAATATATACTCATTTCTACATGATTGGTTAGATTGAGCGAGAAACATTGGTTGCTTTGGCACATGATTCTTCCTAATGGATTGCCAAAAAAATAATATGATAATGGTTTGGTAGTAGCATCTTTTGCTGTTTTCATTTTTCAGCTTTATTCAATTCCTCTGGTCTTTTTACTCACCTGTTTAGGGATTTTAATAGAGCCTCAAGAGTATGTGTAAAATAAAAATATTTATTTTAGTTTACATATTGCTTCATTTATAAGATATGATTTCTGTTTTTAATGTTCTTTTTAACAATCAGAGGTATTATTTATTACTGATGGTGTGGTTTGGTTATTAAGTGCAATATGAGAGCCAGAGAGCTAAATTGATGCCTGAGTTACTCACATACTTAATACCAGATCAGCTATTGTGAAAATACCAAATGGAAGTGACTGTGACCTGCATTTTTATGTAAATCTTAGTATGTAATTTCTAATGCAAAATCCTTATCGTAAAATAGCACTAAAACAGGTCTGTACCTCACAAAAGAGATGGTAATTGTTAGTGTTAAAGAAAGGGGAGATGGTGAGGGACAGAGAATTTTTGCTTTACACAGTTTCAAACCTTTTGCTTGTATTTTCACAGCTGTGTTGGCCAAACTCTTTTCTTCTTAGCTGCTTAAAAGATGATGTAGAATACAAAGATCAGTATTTCTGGAAAACGGCAGAAAAATCTTATTGGCAATTTATTAGAGGATATGTTGATTGAATTCTGAAAAGGAGCAAGCTCTTAAACTCCAAATAATGATTTATTGAATGGATACCATTGAAAGTGGAGCCTAATGAATTGCTCTGGGGGATTTGTATTTTGCATTTCTTTGGAATAAGAATGTAAGGGATTTTTTGTTTGTTTTTACTTTAGAGAAGTAAATTTGCATCCCTTAATTATTTGCTGTTTTGAGCCCATGCTGCAGTCCTTAATTCAAAATGCTAATGTCTTTTGCTGAAACAATAGAATTGTAAAGACACTAATTGAGTTCTGGAAAATAATATTGTATTGCCTTAAGACATCAGCTAGTGGCTAATGTTGGTTAAAATGAGCAATCTGCATTTTTATAGAGCTTTTCAATCTTTAATTTCTAGAATCTAATTAATGCTGCTCCTTTGATATTCACTAAATTTCAAAGGATCCAAGGACTCAGCTCTTAACTGTAGTTAACAGAATAATCAAATACAAAAATTATAAATTAAAGAACAGATAGTTAGTGCAGACACCTTGCTCCAGAATCTTTTGGGCTTGTACTCTTTAAAGAGAAAGTTGTTTAATGTCCTTGTTTTTTTCCCTCTATTGCTGATCTAAAATATTTTTAATAAGAAAGAAGAGTAATTTTAAAGACACTGCATCATATTGCAATGATTTCTGTAACCCAGTATATTACAGAATTTAAGGATTTCCAATCCCATAGTATGTATTCCATCCAGTTTTTGCTTAGACAAGAAATGTTTGTTATATTTTAGCTCTATCTGATGCAGTCTGATGCATCTAACAGCAATAATGTATGTGACAGAACTTAACAATGGTGGGGTGAGAAAGGTGAGTGCTAGCTCAGACAGAAATAGCTTACAGAGTGTATGATGGTGAAATGAGTAAGAAAATGCAAATAAGAATATACAATAATGTACTTTTTTAAAAAATCTAGTGTCTTAGAAGTTACATAAATAAAGAACAAAAATACTTATCTTTCCTAAAGGAATGAGCAAATATGGATGAAGAGATTATTTGTTTTATTTTCAGTAAATAATAGATTTTGGTATAGTGAGGTGTTCTTGAATGCATTAATGAAAGCATTAAAATGATTGAATTTTAGGGAACTTCAAAAATGGCTATTCTTCTTTCTCTTATATTCTGCTTTTATGATCAGTTAAATCTGTTAGCTCTTTGTAACACCATTTCGTCAGTTAATACCCCTTCTAACACTTTTCCAGCTAAGGTTGTGGGATACTGTTGGTTGTAATTAAGACCACCCTGCTCTTCCTTATCACTTGTGGTATTTGCTTTCCTTATCTTCATCTCTATGTGCCTCTGGCCATAGCCATTCTTTCTTATATACCATAGCAGTAATTGCTACTGTTCATTGTTCACTGTAATTGTTACTGCTGAGTGTTTGATCCCAAAAGATGATTGCATGCATAAGGAACATTTAGATCATTTGGTCACTAGAAAACTATATGCCCCAAATAGTGTTGGATGAGCACATTTTGGCAAACAAACAATAAGGTATATATGTGTGTAAGGCAATGTGACTTTTTAATTATATTTTATATAAAACAATAGACTCCTCAAAATGTTATTCAATCAAATATTCAAAGCAAAAACAGATTCTGCATGGTTAAAGCTGCAAAGAAGTAAGTTCAAGAAAGACATTGTGAGGAACTTATAAACCAGACATGTCAAACACAAGGCCCGGGGGCCGGATGCGGCCCGCGAAGTGGTTTCATGTGGCCCACGAAGCCATCCTGGAAACAGTGAGGGAACGGTCCCCACTGCCTTGTCCCTGGCCCAGGCCAATTTTGTGGTGGCCATCTATGCTGAAACGCATTCAGTCTTAGCTCCACAAGGCCGTCTGGAAACAGCGAGGAACCAGCCCCTGCCGCGTCGCCCCCTCCCCCTGGGTGCATGCTGGGGAGGTGTCACCCTTTGTGAGGAATGAAGAAATGCACCATGCCTTGGCGCTTGCCCCAGTCCCACCCCCTTCTGCCAGAGACCCTCAGATTTGTCCCACTCCTGCCCAGGCCCCCACAGGCCCCCCTTGATGCGAACGATATAGAGCTGGCCATGCCCACCCAGTAGGCCACACCCACTCCATCCACGCCCACCCAGTAGGCCACACCCACCCTGGCCACACCCACCCGGTCCCCCAAGGGCAACCACAATGCTGATGCGGCCCTCAATGAAATTGAGTTTGACACCCCTGTTATAAACTGTATTGTATGAACTAGGTATCAGCCAGTGAAACAGGTTGTTACATGAATCAGTTCTTCGCTGGAGAAATTCAAAGAGCTGCCTTGCACTAGAATTCCCAAACCCTTCCGCAAATTAACCCAGGCTGAACATTTGGCCATTCCCCCTTTGGTGATGTCACTGTATCAACAATCATATTTCCTACAGTCATAGGGTTCTCCCCCCCCCTCTTTTATATTTGTGATCCAGCTTTAAATTGAGAAGCAAATGGCCCTTGCAGTTTCAAAACTGAAGAGTAAGAAATAGTTTTGGAAAATACTTGTGTTCTGAATAATTCCTCTTCACCAAAATAGTTGCAACAAGCACACTGCTTTCCATCTGCAACAGAAAACAGTGCCGTGTATCTTTCTTTGTAGATGAAAATGTTGTGCATGGTTGTAGACATCTATGAGCCTGTGATTCACACTCGGCTTTCGTAAATGTTCTCCTGATGTATTAAAGCAGAGTTCCCATGAGATGCTATAGACTACTGGTAGTTTAATCCAAACAATCTGGAGCAGCTGGGAAAGCCTATTTGGATTTAGGAATTTAGAGGTGTCTTCCAATTGCTAAAGCAGTTTGCCCGTATTGCATCCAGACATGGCATCCTATTGAAAGTAATGCTGTTTAGGTTGACAGTACACAGTTGCACATTTGAATCACAAAGAGAAAAGGAAGGCGTCTTTTGTATTCCATTGTTCTTCAAGAGCAGGAAGAAGGAAGAGGCAAAATATTATCTTTCTATTTGCAATGACCATTTTTGTGTACCAGAAATAAACTCTATCAAACATATAAAGTGAAAATTACTAGCACAATACACTACTGCTATCTTCTCTCCCTGTAAGGAGCACAACACAGTGCATAAACTCCTAATTTTGTTTCATGAATCTATATTTGTTTTATAACTAATTCATCTAGTTTTCTTTGCCCATGATAAACTAATGAACCAGGTGGCTGTTTTGTGAAAAGGGAAGGGGTTAGAAATATGGAGCCTGGAGTGACCAGTGTACTTGGAAGTTGTTCTAAAACGCTGTTTCATGATGTATCATTTCTTTTCAGGTTTTTGTCAAGCTGGCAAAGATTTGCGATTAGTATCGCTGCGTATGGAACAGATTGATATCCCACCAGGCTTCTTGTTGGTTGGAGCCAAGTCTCCAAATCTTCCTGAGCATATTCTAGTCTGTGCTGTTGATAAAAGATTTCTGCCGGATGACCATGGAAAAAATGCACTTTTAGGTAAATGAGAATTCATTCCTTATTCCTCATAATATGACAGATGTATAGTGGAGTGAATTTATGTTATAGTGCAGGGGTGTCAAACTGCCGGCCCGCAGGTTGGACGCGTCACCAGGAAACCGCGCCCACCCCATTGCCAGCAATGGGAAAAAAGCTCTGATATGACATGTCTGTTATAGTGGATTGATTCACTTCAAAGCTATCTCCCTGTACTATTGTGAGATATATATTTGTCAGTATTAGCAAACCTATTAAGAGCATAATTAAAGAGATAGGCTTGAGATCCAAGGGAATTTCTTTCCTTCAAAGGGAAAGTTTATTAAGGAAATTACAGGCTTTACTAGAATCCTTGAGCTTTCTTTTTCTTCATATGTAGTTTCATAATTTACAACCATTCATTTAGTGACAATTTGAAGTTACAGTGACACTATAAGTGACCTATAACTGCTTTTCACACTGAGTGGATCCAATCTGGGTTGGTCACCCGGACCAGAGGTTTAGTCCTCTGAATTTTCGGACTTGTCAGCATTCCATGCAGGGGATCCAATAAATTACATTAGAAGTATCTTCCACTTCCATTTATGAGTATTGCAGCATCCCTATGATCGATCATCTGATCAAAATTTGGACGCTTGACAACTGGCATGTATTTATGACAGTTGCAGTGTCCCGGGGTTCATGTGATGACCTTTTGTGAACTTCTGTCAAGCAATGTCAATGAAGCCAGCTTCATTGCATGCAGGGTTTTGTTTTTTTTTAGCCAGAGAGAGCAAATACACAATAAATATTATTGTGCAACTGCAGTGATTAACTTAACAATTATGGCAAAGAAGGTCGTAAAATGGGATAAACTCAATATCTTGCTTAGCAATGGAAATGTTGGGCTCAATAGTGATTGTAAGTCGAGGACTACCTGTATACCGTTGTAGCATACATAATAGCTTCTTTTCATTTTTAAGGTGGGAGATGCTGTTTTAATCCATGCAATGAACTGGATCATAGTTTAGTGCAGACATGTCAAACTCGTGACGTCACATGACGTCGCGCAACGTATCAGGCTGGTTTTGCCATTGCCGGCAATGGGGTGGGCGCGGCTTCCAGATGACACGTACGGCCCACAGGCCGGCAGTTTGACACCCCTGGTTTAGTGTGATCAGCTTAGATGGCCTGGTTGAGCATTGTCTGACCGGGCTTGGTTGTAATTATTTTCTCCCTGTTTGGAATATAAATAAAGTGATGTTATGGCTTTTTTCTGTTAAACCACATAAGAGTGTCGTAATATGAGATGTATATTAGCTTGTACAAATTTTGTATAGCTTGGATAATTTTTTAAAGCCTCCAGATGTATTAGATTCTGTAATTTAGAGTTTATGGGAGATGGAACTCCAATAAAAAATGCAAAATATTTGGTTTTGGAAACCTTTAGGAATTAGGAGGTATAGCTGTAACTTTTTTCATCACATTCTTTTTCAGTATCCTGGAAATGATGGTATTTCTACAGGATCAGATCAGAATTATAGCAGTAGCTTAAATATTACTTTGTAAAAGCCTATTTGTGGCAGGAATGCAAGTATATAGGTTAGTCCAAGATCAAAGACAGATAACAGAACAAAGCAAGGACTTTGGAGATTGGCATAAACAATTCAACTGAGACAAGGCCCAACTGGATTATAGTGTTCAAGTTTGCTCACGTTCACATGGAAATTAATGATTCAGGGAAGAGTGAATTCCTCTCATTTGTAACAATCAGTTTCTAATCCTCTAAATCAGTCCTCTGTTCTAAATAAATGCTATTTTAATTCCCAGTTCAGCCATGAATAAGCAGACAATCTGAGGACCTGTAAAAAACATAGGTTTTACAAATACTTTCTTGGAATATCTGAATCTCTATACTGTGTGGGACTTCAACTTTTGAGAAATATTCTGTTCAACTGTCATTTAATTGCTTTGTAATCCAGTGTTCCAGTCTCTTTGTTCCTAGTATTAATGTAAAAATGATGACTTTTTAAAACCCTTTTTAATTTGTACAGTGGAATAAATTTTCAAAGATGTGTAAAGGAAGGAGTCTTCCAAGCATGGGAATGTTCTTTCCTATTTAGAATAACTTAAGATTTTAAAGTTTAAATGGAACCATTGATGATGGCCTTGGAAAGGTTTGAGGCCTAACGTTTAGACATCTAACAATTGGAATATAATCCACAAATTCAAGCAAGGACATCCACATGGGGAGAGTGATGTGTGACAAAACACTACAAACTAAATTCTGCCATTAATATTATGCAAGGTTGTAACAAGTACAAAAGAGTGGGTCTTCTGTCATGATTGCATGTTATACATTTTGCAGAACAGATGCATATGGCTACAAACCAGGGAAGTTTGATGATACTTGGAAAATGTTGATTTCATTATTCTTCTTTGTTCTTTAAACTATCAGTGTACCAGGGGAAATACATTAATAAGCCAAGTAGATTCCAAGAAGAGAACTTGAATAGAAACAAAATTATCAAATATCCAAGAAAAACTGTAAAACTAGCATGCTTTTCTCCAACCCTACAGGTTTTTCTGGAAATTGCATAGGCTGCGGAGAAAGAGGATTTCGATATTTCACTGAATTTTCAAACCACATAAATTTGAAACTCACCACTCAGCCAAAGAAGCAGAAGCACTTAAAGTACTACCTAATAAGAAATGCTCAAGGTGTGCTTTCAAAGGGACCTCTTATATGTTGGAAAGGTAAAAAATATCTTCTTTGATGTACTTGAGTGTTTGTGGGGAATAGTAAGAGAATTGAATTCTAGCATGGCTAAATAGTACATTGTTTTGGTATGCTTTTTCTTAAAAGAGGGAATTTCAGATGATATGATATAGTAAACCTAGCTTTTTAGTTTGTAAGACATTATATATAGTTTTAAGTGTTTCTTAACAGCCACGGAAGGACCTTTTTCCACATAAAATGACAGCCTTCTTCAATCCAAGGTTATCCAACTATCTTTAAAGGACATAGAATTCATCTTTAAAGTACGTTAATTTTTTCTTACAGAGTAGTTTACTTCATTTCTTCTTAATCTTACCCTTCTAATAAGGAACACAGAACAATTTTTGCCTCAAAGCAGTCCATAAAGTAATGAGGTTGAAAGGTAAAAGTTATGCTTATATTAGTGAAAAGACAAAATATATTTGAATGCTTCTGGAGTGCTAAGCCTAAGAAAATCATGTATACTAGTGTGTGATTTTTTTTTATAATTAGTATAAGATTGCATAATTGTTCCCCCCCGTTTCCCCCCAAAATTCAGCTATTTTTTTGTGTAGAGGCTAACTCCCAAAATATAGCTGCATTTTGGAGGTTAGCTTCTACACAATAAAAAATGTTGTAGAACAGGTTGCCTACCTCTGGTCTAGTGCAGTCTATAGCAGATCAGGTCATGGTAAATCAACACTAATATAACACCTATATGCATATTTACTTGGAAATAAATTGCCTTGGTGAAATTTCCTCCTAAATAGGTGACTATAAAAATACAGCATAAGAGATGTGTGAAGGTAGTAGAGATAATGAAGTTAGCCTAAGCTAATTAAAATATCAAGTTCATCAGAGACAGCATAGGGTAAAACATGGAATTCCAAGAATTCCATGTAGCAATTGACGACAATCATAGGTGGATATTTATTCCAGAAGTTGCCAAGAAATTGTGTTTAACATGATAGTCTTGTCACACATTTTTCCTCAAGAAAGGACATCTTCCTGAAAATAACCCTATAATCCAATCCTATGGCTGTTTAGACTATGTTTTCTATTCCAGCAGCTGCTCATTGTCATGGCCTAATTAATACAATATTCCTGTAGGTGTGGTTGTGTTTGGTGTACCCCCCTCCCCCATGTCTTGTGCAAGGCCTTATATATTGGAGCGATATCAATGGGCTTCTCTAGTGCTATGTCCTAGAAGTGTTTCTGTAGACAGTATGAGGAATATACTGATATTGCAGTTCTACAAGAGCCCTTTGTTCTGATGTTATCTTTTCTCCCATGCACAAGAAACAAGGAAAATAGTAGTATCAGACATATTTGATTTTAAGATCTCTCGTATGAAGGTATGCTTTCTTTGAAATTATTCTTGTATTCCCCATAACAAAGTTAGGGTCAAAACTGCTGCATGAATTTCCTAAATGTTTCTAAACTGAAAATAATTTTTAACAAATTCCAACAAATTTGCTTTTTAATTAACACTTTTGATTGCACAATAACTATATTTTGTTTTGTTTTTGCATACAATATCTGTCATGCTGCATTGTCTCACTGTCAACCTGGCTGCTTAAATATGTACTACTGTATAGCTGCTTTACTTACAGAATGTAGAAGCAGGCACTCTTCTGTTGCTAGCCATTCTGCTAAACCTAGTTCTTCAGCATCTCCATCTGTGACCCCTGAGAGTGGAACAGCCAATGGATACAAGCCAGGGTTCACCCAGACAGGTAGGAGCTGAGAATCCATTGCATCCTAGAATTGACATTTGTGAAGTAGTGATTATGATGCCATTACAGTTCCTTTGTAGCTGTAAAGCTCCAAATCATAAAATTTCAGGTTGCAATCAGTTAGGTAAGAGTGCTTTGTCTGAAATTATTATATAACAAAAAAAATTAAGTTATAACTTATTCTGGAGTCTGTGTCGAGAAAGAACTTAGTAGTTGCCAACCATCAAAGGGTACACTATGTATGGTGAAGCTTCACTCTATATATTAGGTTTAGTAAGGCTTACAAAGAGTTCCTACTGAAATACAGTAAAAACTCTTCGAGTACTTTCTTCCCTCAGGATTTTATGGCAGGTTATCTCTTCCTATTGTTTATAGATTAATGGGAGTTCTGAGTGGAGGTTCATGATTCATTAATACAGGCTCCTTGCATATTTTGGAGTCCTATGTGGAGATTTTAAATATATAGAGCAGATGTCTCACTTTGGGCCTTTGTCCTACAGTTGGATGGTAGGACTGAAGTAAAATTTTGCAAGGGTAGAATTCCTCAAAAGTACTAAAGCTGCAGAACAGCAACTTTAGATGGAGGATTAATTTGTATTTAGTGTGATTTGTCCCCAGACCATTGGGAAAATTCTTCTTTTTTGTTTTCTGCTGTTTAAGTGCTCCACTATTTTCATAAAATCAAGAATAGAATCTGAATACACAAATCTGTGATTTGTTGTTGCTTGATGAATGTATATGTTAATTTGAGTTGGAATTAAAATTTAAAGGAATGTTATAGCCAATTAAATTAATCTTTAACTGTGATTTAGAGAATGAAAATATTTCCAGGGAAGGTTTTAAAGTATTGTCTTCCAGCCTTATTCACAGAATTTTCAGTGGTTCTTTTAAATCTCTGGTGTATTTCCTCAATTTTTTTCATCATTTTCTTATCACAGAGAGGAAAACAACTACACAATTTGTTTTCATTGGTGGACTGATGAGTTATCCATCTCAAAATACCTGATGACTATGCTATTATATATGCAATATATACTATTTCTCTCTGTCTTCTCCATTTCTCCAGGGAGAAATAATTTATACCCATCTTAATGATGGTTAAGTGTTTAGTTGGTATTATTGTTAATAAGGATTAAAAATAGATTTCTCTGGATTACAATTATAAATTTAATAAAATAATTATATTTAAACACAACATGTATGAGTGAATAGATGTTTCCAATTCTGAGTAGTTATCATTTTAACACTGCTATGCTTGTCTACCAATATAAAGTGGCCAGATAGAATATTTAGTTTTTGTTCATTAAGACCACTGTGGCAATATCCGTACCTATTGACAGATTTTTGCAGTAAAAATATATCTTCATTATTAAACTAAATTAATATTAATTACCAATACTTTATCCATTGTTTAGTAATGTTAAGAAATAGAAAATACCATATCACAAGTGCTTAGCACTGCCTACTATGTTATCTGATGTTAATTGTGTTTTGAAAGTATAGAAATATATATACTGAACCTTTTTAACCAGCTTTAGAATTTTTCAGCACAAATAGAGAATGTTTAGAATGCTATTTTGTGAAAACTTTGACTTTCAGATAATGGGAATGAATAATGTGTAATAATATGTAAACTAAGTAGTTTGCTTATTTCTGCCAAGTTGGTAAGTCTATCCTCCATACTTTCCTTTTCCTTATCAGCTGATCATGGTTTTATTTACCTGGTACCTTCTATATTTCTGTTTATTGGTCAGGGCAGAGTTGCTAAATCCTTTTTACCTCCTGCTAGGAGTGTAATCTTTCACTAAAAAATTATCTATGTCAATCCATTTTCCCCAGCAAGTTGTGTGGGTGAAAAGAGGAGCTTTTTGTTTCAAAAAGTGCTGTGGGAGTGACTTGGCAGAGATTTTTTTAAATATGTCAAGGATTATTGATCCACATACTCACAGACACAAATCGGTGAGGAAGCTACAAGTAAGTAAATAGCACTGAAGGTTCTGAATAGCATTATAAGAACCATAAATAAATAATAGAGCAGTGTTTGGAATAGCCTTCCTCAGTTTGGTGCTCAAAAGTATGTTAGTCTATAACCCATATTTTCCCAAGGTGATGATGGGATATATCATCCAAATATATCAGAAAATCAACAAGTTAAAGAAGGTTAGCTGACAAAGAGAGTGCCTGGTAATGCAGTCTCCTTCTCAAACTCTGGTTGCTCAAATTCACTGAACATCACAACTATATTTTTAAATGAATTGGTTTATTATGGCATAATCTTCCAGGGATTAGAGCAGTGCAAAATATTTTGGATTTTATTTACCAGAGCAGTGAGATTCACCAACTAGAACTTGGCATAAATAACATGGCATTTAGATTTAAGGAATTTATTTTGGATACCAGTACCAAATATAAGCTGCTGTCTTTCCATACACAAAATCCATTCCCAGCCATCTACTCCCACACAAGCTTTTCTATTTCACAAATATAATTTTGAGTAGGTGGTGGGGAGGAGTCCTTTTATTATATAATTGTAGAAAAATGGAGAGATAAACAGAATTGGCCATTTCTGCTAATTGCTTTCAGATTTAATAATAATAATGCAGTCTGCCTTTGCATTTTTCTGGATTTGTGTCTATAAAACTCATAAAGCTCCTACATCAATAATAATTCCTCTAAGAGAACCACATAGTTTACCTCAGATGTGCCTAATTTTATCTGTGCAGTATGTAAAGTGAGTTGAGCTGAGAAAAAGTGACTAGTTCAAAGTCATAATAAGCAACATGGATGAGCAGAGATAATTTCCCTTTTAGAAGTAGACTTATATTGTATTATCACTACAGAGTAATAATGCACTTAATCTTCTGAATGATGTTGTAGTAGCAGTAATGAAGATGGTGATAAAATAATAATAATGTATTTATCCTGAGTGGAAGGACAGGAAGATATGCCACTCCTTCCTAGTGGTATGGTTAGGGGTATGGTTGGGGTTGAAACTGGAAAGGTTTGTTTAGCATGGCAATGCTGTTTCTGCTGAAAAGTTCTGCAGCACAAAACCCATCCAGGAATTGATTTAATCTATTAGAAAAGGTCAGTAGTGTGTCAGAACTGGAAAATCCATAGTGTGTCCTTCTTTAATGAGATCCTGCTAGCTGTTGTTCTTCTTGATTTTCTCTCAAGGGTAAGACACCCCCCCCCCCCCATGATTGCCTTTTAGGTGGACATGCAGATGAAATTAATCATATTGCACCTGACCCCTTTGTCAAGGTTTTCCTGCACTGACAAGTGAATCATTTCACTATTGATTGATTTGATTACATGCATTAAATTAATGTGTCCACGTAGACAGACCTTCCCAAGATGATTTGTTCCCAACCTCGCCCTTTAGGACTCAACAGTGCACCCATCATCACTGCAATCATATCTTCCACCTTGCTGCTGATTTTTCCTGTTTACTCTTTCTTTCCACCTTTTCTAGCATTATGGACTTTTTACGGGAGCTAAGTCTTTGCATAATGTATCCGAAGTATGATAATTTGAGCTTGGTTATTTGTACCTCAAGTGAGTGCTTCGGATTGATTTGTTATATGATACACGTATTTGTTTCTTGGCTGTCCGTGATATTTACAGGAGTCTTCAACACTGAAATTCAAAAGCTGTTTCTATTTTGCATCTTCAGAGTCCAACTTTTGTTTCCATGGATTTTACAGAAAAAAACATTCTGATCTTTGTAGGTATAGACGTGTCACAATATCTGAATATTTTTTCCAAGGTTTTCTTTGGTACCCTGCCAAGTGTGGTGTATTTCTTGACTGCTGATTAATTGTCAATTGTAAAAAGAAACTATTCATCAATCTTCATTGTCAGTTCTAAGAATGGTTTTGTCATCTGCTTGTCTTTTTATATGTAACTGTAATCTCATTTCTTGACTATGACTTTCTGTTCTGTGTATATGTTTGCATGAGGTGTAGAGAGCTATAGAGGTGACTTTGAAGCAATGTTGCAGAAAGAAAACATAGGATGGCTTTCAAGATTCTTTTACTATAGCCTATATCAATAAAGCATAATTCCAGTCAAACTTGTGAAATCTATTTCCTAACCTGGCCTGCTTTGAAGAGATAACATGAGAACAATGAGGTGTTCTGGGATTCCCATTTTCCTTAGGACATTCCACAACATGACAAGGTTGATACAGTTTAAAGACCTTTCTATCAAGAAAGCATATACTGACCTTGGTATTGTTTGACATTCTCAATTGCCCATTGTGCATAAGTAATAATGTATCTTGTTTTAAAGCCACTTTGAACATCTGGTATATCCCATTTCAGGTTGGGCTCTGATTTGCACTGGATGATTCTAATATTATATTCCTAGTGTGTGGAATTAATATATTATGTGGTAATTTGCATGGTCTGTTAAGCTTCTTTTCTTTGGTATTGATATGTAGACTCACCTCTTCTAATTTTTTGGCCACTGGGTCATATTCCAATTTGCTGGCGTAGTTTGGTTAGAACTCTCTAACCCTGTAGAGATTCCATCAGTGTAGCTGTTTGACTCGACAATGACTAGAGTACTGATCTAACTCTTCGCTATCTTAGATAACTTCGTTCAATATAGTAGGGATGTCAAACTCGATTTCATTGAGGGCCATATCAGCATTGCGGTTACCCTTGGGGGCGTGGGGCGTGGCTGGGTGGGCACAGCCGATTGGGTGGCATGGCCAGGTGGGCAGGCCAGCTCAACATCGCTCAGATCGGGGGGAGCACCTGTGGGAAGGAACAGGTGGGGTTGTGGGAGGGATCTGGGGGTCTCTGGAAAAGGGGGGTGAGACCAGATAGCCGCCACAAAGTTGTAGATCAGTGCCTGGCCTGGGCCAAGGCAGTGAGGGCCAGTTCCTCACTGTCTCCAGAGTGGCACCACAGGGCACATCTAACCTCATCATGGGTCGATGTGGCCTGCACACCTTGTGTTTGACATGTCTGAAATGCAGCATTCTAATGAACTTTTCCATTTTTCTTTGACTCAGTTATTATTTGTCCATTGACTTCCTTTAGGACAGGGATCCCCAACCCCCAGTCTGTGGACCAGTGCGGGGCAGCAGCATGCCACAACCAGCCCGCACAAACAAGCAAAGCCCCATCCGTGGGATGCAGGCAGCACACAAAACCACACACTCTCCGGTCTGTGGAAAAATCTTTTTCCACAGAACCGGTCCCTGGTGCCCAAAAGGTTGGGGACCTCTGCTTTAAGATACCAATTTGAGACTGGAAACTTTTGAGTTTAAAGATCATTTGAAAAGCTGTCCTTGTTTTTCCATGTCTCTATAGATAACCTACTTACAAATTAAAATACAGATATTTTAATATCTCTTCTAACAGCTTTTTGAAATTCTTAAGTTTCTCCTTGGGACCTTTCTCCTTGTTGGCTTTGGACTCTCTTTTCCTCTTAGTAACTTCCACATACTCTAATGAATCCAGTCTGCTTTCTTTTGTTTCTTAGTTTTTCTCAGTATTCACATTCTTCTTAAAATCTATTTAATTTCATTCCATAATTACAGAGATTCCCTCTCAGTAAGCTCAGGACTTCCAAAAGATTTCTGCCTGAATATGGTGGGTATATGTTTGAGATCATATAGAAACTGGTAGGTTTATTCTTCCATTTTAGCTTAACTTGTAATTTGTGCATGTTCCACAGACAGCCCCTGGCAATATCTTTACTTCTATATTTGAGTCTTCCACTTTATTCTATAAATAATACAGTTAATTTGATTCCCATGCATCCCTGTCTAATGATATCCATTTATGTGGACATTATTTTTTAATATAAGCCATTAAATATCTTATTTAGATGCATTAAATTATTTAAATGCAACTTGCTTAATATAATTACGAAGTTCAGAACTGAGTTTGTTGAGAAGAGGAAAGAATTGGAAAAGACTGACTACTGGTAAAATAAAATTTTCTTTGAGTCAAGCTCAATTCCTAGTAAAAATATCCATGCAGTTTTCTTAGCAACAACAAGCTCCTATTGCCTCATTTCAGTATTTTGATTTTTATTTCTCAATCCAGGATTTTTCTAGTAGCTTCCAATTCAATAATTAAAAATTTGTGACTGCTCAAGATTAATTAGATGCTGCTAAAAAGCTGAATGGCAAGCTATTTCAGCAATTTAATTTTAATCATATCCATAGGGAATATAAGGGTGGATGGCAGTATAGATCCTCTCCTTTTCCATTCACATTTGAGGAGAAAAATATGTCAGGCATCCAGGCAAATCATTTTGGAAAATAGTGATGGGAGAAGATTCTTCTCTGGATTCCCTGGTTATATTTCCATGTACTGCTAAAACATAACCATGCTACAGCTGTTGGTCCTTTGACAAGTGAGAGTTTTCATGTCATTCTCTAATTGCCCAGTGTCCCCTTTTCTCCCTTTCTTGGCATGCCCTCATTCCTGAAAGCTGTGTTTTGTTTCCAGGGTCTGTGATCTCGGCAGGACTTTTAGGCAATGTTCCTTCTATCTTCTTTCTGCTTTTTGCCCCTTGACTACTTTTAGTGGGATTGGTATAGTTTCAGACTAGCCTATTTGCTTTTCTCAGATTAGTTTATCTGGTGAAAACCAGTTTACATTGTTTCCAAGGAAGAGTTCACTATAATTTTAGACAAGTTGGGGATATCAATAGCGTTGAGAAGAAGATTGAAACCATGTTAAAATGTAACTTGGGGATAAAAGAAGTCATTTGTATACATTTGTATGAGCAGGAACTACCGTTCAAGTATATTGGAGCAGGAACTACCGTTCAAGTATATTGGAGCTGCTTATTTATAAAGTTGGTTAATCTGTCATAAAAATGCCAAAATTATACATCAAAGTTAGCAATATTCTGTGCCATGTAAAGCTGAATTCTGCAATTTAGAAGAATCTGCACACTTTGCATAATGTATAGATTGAATTATCACATGCAATTGATTCTGCTTTTGTCGGGACTATCTTGTACCATCAAGATATATGGAACTATAGCTTTCATTATCATGAACCAGCAAGGCCATGCTGGCTGGGAATTAAGCATAACGTTTTGTGTTCATCTGATTGGGGAACAGTATATTTTAGTTTAATCATACTTTAAGTAACAGAGAATTCTAGGTTGGAATAATGAGGGGGGAATTTACAGTGCTTTAATTTTAAGAGTTATTCATTAAGCATTATTTGGTAATGCCATCACTTAGAAATGCTTGTTTCAGGAAAGATAGAAGAAAGAGATACTAAAAAGTGGAAAGACCTGGAAGAACAAAGGAGTACCATAAATATAATGGAGCATAAATAAATATAATGGGACAATTCTCAGGCTTTGGGTAGTCTGAAAATATTTTGAGATCCACCCATTTAGTCTTGCCTCAGTAAACAATTAAACTTACCTTTGATTTTTTTTATTGCATGTCTGTTTGAAGTCAGAGACAGTCTCTTGAATGAGGGTGATATTCTGCAGAGAGACATTCAGTATTTCAAAAGTGTTCAAAGTACTAGAATCAAAATAGGAATTTCTCACTCTTCTTTATTATTCAGGGCCAATATTATTATTGTCTAGATATGCATTGTAAGCCGTTCTTGCTGGCTTCCCTGGGAGCAAGTAGGTTAGAAATGTAAGAAAAAAAAATAAGAGAGGCACCACTGAACAGGCCTACAACTGTGCTGTATTTCTAATGTGTCCCAATTGCTTCCAAAGTTCTGTAGAGTTTTAATGATGATTTTCCTACTTCCAGTTTCAACTTTTGGAAGGAAGGGCTAGTTTGCCATATTTTCCATGGGAGGCAGAGCTGTAGAATTCTCCAATTCACAGGTGCAGTTCAGAGATCCCGAGCTTGAGTATTTTAAGATTATCTTATCTTAACTCATTATACATTACAGGCACAGTCATTACTATGGTAGACAGAGATACGGAACATCTTTCTTTCTTGGATTAAGGAACAGGAAGAAATCTGCCCTGTTATTTTAGAGGCATTAGGGACTCAATAGTTTTACTGGTGAAATAAAGGCTTGAGCTAAGCTGCTAGTCCTGGTAAACACCAATTCAGTCTGTGCATTCTCATACAAATTCTCTTTATCTATTATTTTTCTTTCTCACTTGCTAAGATTCACTCTGCTGTACAGTACAGTCAGAGATAGCTCTAATCATTGTATTTGTCCTTCTCTCCTAGTGTTTTGTCTCTAGTTAAGCAGACTTTGGAAATTCTTCATAAACTGAATGGTTCAAAAGAAAAGAGAGTTAAGATAAGTGTATTGTATAACCTTATAGTGTAGTGTGACCATGTTTGGTAGAGTGAAAAAATATTTGACTTCAATATAATACATACTCATATTTGTTTCTGTTAGATGATTGGAATATGCAATAGTGAAGAATAAAAACAAATCCGCATTTTTTGGGAATATCAATTTATTCCTTCTTTATATATGTATTAATAGATATTGCATCTGCTGGTTGGATCTAGCAGTTCAGGTTGCAGTTCTGAATTCAGTTATTGAGTAGTATGTCTCACCGAAAAAAACAGGACTTAATTTTTTTAGTGTACCAATATAGGATTAAGCCATTTATCTCCTAACATGTGGAATTATGTGAAAAAATATGCAGGCATCTCTCGTAAAAATAATGGTAATAGTCACAGGTCAGTTGTTCAAAGATTCACTCTACTCTTTTGATTAATATTAACATAGAACAGAACAGAACAGAACAGAACAGAATAGAATAGAATAGAATAGAATTCTTTATTGGCCAAGTGTGATTGGACACACAATGAATTTGTCTCCGGTGCATAAGCTCTCAGTGTACATACAAACAACAAGGTGACACCCAGAATGGGAGAAGTGCATTATAAATGATAAATATGATGATTTAATAAATGTTCAAAATTCATAATAGTTTTGGAAAAAAAACTCTTGTGATGATACGTATCTTAGACACATTTTCAAAAATTATTGTAGATTTTTTTAAAAAAAAATAGTTACGATTATCTCTTTGACAGAGTCCTCAGTATTCAGTGAAGCACAGTCTTCCTCTGCTGTTAATTTAAGTGGAATTCAAGATTTGACTCGGAATAAGAACATAGTAAGACCACTCGCTTTGCCTGGGCAACTTGTAGGAAACACATTTGCAACAGGTAATATATTTTCACTCTAACTCATTGCAATCTACGACTACTTAGACTCTAGTAAATGTAAAAGTTATATGTAAATTATCACAAAATGTAAATAATTTGCTATAGAATTGTCTTTGTGGAACAAACAGATGATAAATACCTCATACTTCACATGTCCTTCTGTTGGTACCCTTCAAAAATGTTTAACTCTTGCCGTTCACAGCTAGATCAATCAATCAATATAATGGCACAAAGTATATTCAAAAGGCTTCAGATTAGTGAAGACAACTTTAAAAATATGTTGTAGTCAAATCAGGTTTCTGTGATACTTATTACTAACACTAGGATTACCAGATTTAAGTTGCAACCATCTAGTTACCCATTAGATGACAGCAAAGAATTAAAATTTTCTGTATTTCCTTTGCTGCCATCTAGTGATTGCCAGTTTTTTGTAGCTCAAATTTGGTAGCTACAAACAATACACAGTCCTATTGGAATTTTTTTTTTACTAAGTTTATGTACATGAATAATTTGCATTTCACCTAAACAATGTAGCCGATTTAAACAAATTTTTCGCTACCTCTGCTCTTCTTCCTTTTCTTCCCTATTTTATCTTTGCTCTAAAGGTAAGCTGGTAAAGTTAAGAGGTTGTAACTAGTCAAAATGTGACCTTCACTGCAGAACCTGAGTCTTCCCACTTTTAATACTTAATCATTGGCCTCATCATTTTACTTTTATCCTTAACAGATTAATATTTTATACTAATTCACTTATTTATTAAATAATAGACCCACTAAAATAAAAGATTGAAACACTACATCTGTAAAATGCATGGTTTCTATATTTGAAGTCCAATTGGCAGTTAAAGTTGTTGTTGTTAAACCTTTATTGTAGAAAAGTCCAAAAAAGTTGGGTGCCACCATATTGTGGTTTTTTTTACCCACCCTGTTGAATCTCCTTCTTTGTTATATTCTTACAGTGTTCTTCTAGTCCACAGTGCTATTGCTTGTTTTACAATTGTCTAAAGGTATTTGTGGTGTTTTTTGCATTCAGTTCTCCTTTCTCTCCAAGCCACTGATGTTACCAGTGGAAACAACATTGCAGGAAGGACTAATGTCATGAGCTCCACAGTTTCATGATCTGTGTATCACTTAATGTCTCCTGGCCCTAGTGTAGCTGCAGAAAAAAGTAAAAATAACTTCTTGACCTTGTTATTACCTATTTTACTATCATGACTTCAGCAATTATAAAGTTTCTGAAAATCAGAGTTGTCAATAAAAATGCTTTATTACATGGGGTGGACACTAAAGCATATAGAAGGTAAATATTTATCCTTTTTGTTATTTATATTTTCTTTGTGTGTATTAATTCTACTTAGCTACTCTGACAAGTTCTGGCCCACCCAAGAAACGACATCGAGGATGGTCTCCTGGATCCCCAGTCCCTCCTCCTGGTGTAATTGTGCCTGTTCCTGCCATCCGGTCTCTTCCGAGAGCAGGCAAGATTCCAATATATGTGTGTGTTCAGCCAGTGATCTGGTGTGCTTCATTGGTGGTTTATTAATTACTTGTTAAATAATATATTAGAAATACATGTGTATGTATATATATATATATATATATATGTATGTATGCATGTGTGTATATGTATGTGTGTGTGTGTGTGTGTGTGTGTATGTATATACTAGCCTTCCCCACAGCAGCACAGGGTAGAGAGCAAGAACTTCCATCTCCAAATTAGGTTGTACCAGAGTCTTTCATGACCAAATGGTGGATACGAATCTAAGGCTCCCAACTGATGTCTGTACAAGTTGTACTTCATTTTATCTCAGTAGATTATCAATACATGCATATTGAATGAGATAAACTAACTTCATTCCAACATTGATCTGTATATCATGACAGAAACCTTTATTCTTCTGTGTCATAATTTAAACTGATAAAATGCTATTTAATGCTGTCTGTACTATAGGTAGTCACGTGCCTTTTTCACACTGTACAACAACTTTATCCAATCTTGTGCATTCCAAATGGGTTGGATATCATTCTCAGTATAGTGAGTTATAGTCCAGCACAACCAAAGGAGTGATATGTAGAGGTCATAGGAAATGGCCTTGAAGGAAAGAAAGAAGAGCTGCTACCAAGGCAACAATTACAGGGCTGGGTATCATCAGCGTACTGGTGGTATCCCATGCAAAAGGTCAAAATGACATTCTCAAGAGATCTGATGTAGATGTTAAACCAGACAGGGTGGGACAGCATAGATCAGTGACCTAGTTATTAAACAGACTTCCCCAGCACCATTTTATGGAAGCATTCTGACAGGAAGGACCACAGTAAAGTACTAGTAACAAAGCCTGATTTTGCCAGATGGCCCAGAAGGACATTGCAGGCACTAGTATAAAAACTACCAGAAACCCCAGAGATTGTAGCAGGGATGTATTTCCCCCACCTTGCTTTGACATGGATCATCCATCAAGTGTTTGCTTGATGGATTACTTTGAAATAAAATGTTAATGGATAACAGTATTCCAGATTAGAGATTTTTTAAAAATGTAGATATTTCTCCTGGTGAATTACAAACTGTGTATTAAAGCAAGAAAGATTTCTGCGGCTTAAAAAAGATGTGTTTTTTTAAAATCTGTCCTTAATTATTGCATATCATTAATTAAGCTTTGCAGTAACAACTGAGATAAGATTTATACCTAATGCTTGATGTCACATCTTTATCTTTAAAAATCCCTATGGCCCCTTTGAGTCTAAAGTTTTGATTCGATAGATTGTGATTAGGATATGATAAATCAACATTCAATTAGTCTGTGAGATTGTTTCACTATTAATTTGCATGTGATAGTTTATAAGTTAGTATTGAATCTGATTCTTTGTACAGGAACATTTCAGTAGAGTTTTTGTGCACAGCTGTTATAATATCTGGCTTTGAGGAAATTGTATATGCATCCTTTCCTCTCTAATTCACCTCCATCAACTACAAACATTTTTTTTAAGTAACTTCTTTTGGAAGGATGAGCTAAGAAAAAAGAGGGCACCTTCATGGTTTAAAAGAATTTACTATAATTTCAAAAGGAAATGCAGAATGTAATTTAAATTTTATTGTGTTTAATGGTTGGTAAAACAAGAATGTTTTTTTTTCTTGTTAAATTGTTCATAAGGCCAGATCTCAGCATGAGCCTTTTTACTATAGATTGGTCCCTTTTCTGTATTTTTATAGAGCCACTTTTATCCGTCCCAGTTCCGCAATCAATGTTAACTGGAATTTTACAGCCTCAACCCATCCCTGCAGGGGAGACTGTAATAGTTCCTGAAAATCTGCTGATTAACTCTGGAATCAGACCAGTGATTCTAATAGGTAAGCTCTCATATAATGTAGTACAAAAATCTACAGTTGTTATTTTCCTGTTTTTTTGTTACTGTTTTTTTTATCTTTGGATTAAAATTCTAAAACCTAAATATTGCATCCATTCTATGCAAGCTTAAAAATAATCTTGGTAGAACTACATTTCCTTGAAGGAAAAAATATCTTCATGGTCCCAAAGAGATGAAAATTGACCTTGTAATGTATCTATACTTATATTACATATATTCCACACCACATTTAAGAAATAGTAATCTCATTCAAATCAGTTTTGCACATTGAGGTAAAGTACACATTTTAGAGCTAGCATTTAACATATGTATAAAAAAAAGAAGAAAGTAACAGAATGCTATTTCAGTTTCTGAACTTGAGACATTGGCCCATGTCAAGTTACTGAGACACACACACACACACACACACACACACACATCTGCAACTATGTCAGAAAAATATACAGGCAGTATGAAAATCTTTTATTGCCTATTACTTAAAATATTATATATTGCATGGAGATACAGGTAAATATAGCATTTAAACAATTCTGCATATAACTTTTAAATTTGGATTTATGGTAATGAACTAAAATTGAGATTTAGGAGGGATGTTAGTACTATTGTTAGTAGAGAAAGATATCTATATGTTACAACCATTACTATACTATTCTTCTTCATTTTTGTTAGACCTTAAAATGCATAGATCTCTTTGTCATCTAGGTTTATACAAGTAGTCCTCACTTAATAATTACTTGTTCAACAACAGTTTTGAAGTTATGATGGCACTGAACGAGGAGATTTACTACCAATCCTCATAGTTGTGGCTGTCACAGTCACTGCGATTTTATGATTACAATTTGAGCACTTGGCAACCAGCTCACAGTTCTGTGATACTATTTGTGACCTTCCTTGCTGGCTTTCAACAAGCAAAGGCAGGTGGTCACAAATGGTAATCATGTGATATTATGCTTAGTGACCACATGGGATTTGTTTAACAATGGCAACTGGAATTGCAGTGATTTCCTTCATAAGCTGCTATGGTCACATGATATTGCACTTTGACTGTGTTGTTTAGCGATGGAGTTGCTGATCCTAATTACCACTGTTAAGTGAGAACTACCTGTAATGATCTTTACATGAAAAGATTTTTCATATTTTTGTGGGAATATTTTGATTCCTTGCTTAACAATAATTTTATTTTATAACATTTTAAAAAAATGTAAAGCAATTCTGCAGTAATTTGAATAGAGCTTATATTTTTCTTTTTAAAGGTTATGGCACTTTACCTTATTTCTATGGGAATGTTGGAGACATTGTAGTAAGTCCATTGCTAGTGAATTCCTACAAGATTCCTCAGCTGGAAAACAAAGATTTGGATCTTTTTGGTTTAACTGGGAGTCAGTTACTAAGTGTGGAGAACATGATTATTTTAACAATACAGTATCTTGTCTGGCTAGGTAAGACATAAAAAAGTATATTGCTTTTTTTGCTGCATAAATATTATCTCCTACAAACCATTGTCATCTGCAGATAATAAACTTTAATTTTTGTAATAAGAGATTAATTCATTTTCTGTGTTCAATTTTTGTGAGACTAAATGTCACAAACATTATGACCGAAGTTATTCTGCCCTCATTCTAGGAATATTATCACCTTTTTCATTTTTTCAATTTTATCCTGAAATTTAAATTTCTGATTTACTTTGGGGCAACTTTAAATTATAACCATCTCTGCTTTCATTCAGAAAGGCCCTCTGTGTGAAGTTTTAATGGATAAATTCTACCCTGTAAATGTAAACAAGTAGGGCTAGGGCAGCTCTGACAATTCCCATTAGGAAAATAGAAAGGACTTAATCAAATAAACATGTTTCAGACAATTTTCTACCTTTTTCAAATTTTGCAACTTCACTATGGTAAGAACCCAAATGGATTGCTTGCTAGTTACAAATTTGTCTGACTCATCATTGGAATGGCACCAGTGTTCCTTGATGAGTAGATTCCCTCCCCAATACGGCTAATCTATATTTGTAAAAGCATTAATGGTTGATGTTGGATACTTGAAATGCCCTTGAACTGTATTGTGAAATCTGCAGGAGACAGGAATGCACATGAGGGCATGCACACAAATTATCTTCCTTTTAAGCACATTTTACGCAGAAACACACATGGGTGTTTTTTTAGCCAAAATTTTTTACAAATATTTTACAAGAGTTTCTCTCCTGAGAAAATGTAATAATAATTTATGAAATTCTTGTTTCAAAGAGAAATATGATGTTTCAAATAATTTTAATCTGAATGGTTAATGTGTGTAATTAAAAATTAGAAAATTAAAAAAAACACTTCTCCACAACCGTCATTATTTACAGCAAATGTAATATTATTTTATGCTTTGTATATCTTCTTTCCTGTAAAATTGCACAAGGCAATCACCATTCAGGGAAAAGGTTTAAAATCAAAGAAGCACTGTTGAAAATTGGGATGGATTGGCAAATATATGGCTATATATAAAACTTGGTTCTAACCCTAACTGAAAAACTCTGTTGGTGTAAAAATTGTTGAAATCTAACAGCTGAATATTAATGACACAAGTGGGAAGACAAATTTTACGTTGAGCTGTATATAGTACTGTGTCATTTGCGTTTATCTGTGTGTATGCTATTTTTAAAAGCATAAACACCCACAAATCAAAAGCTAAATATTTGGTTGAATATTGTACATCCTGGCTGCTTTTCTAGGGAAAAGTATGAAAAGTGCCAGTAGCAGGACTTTATATTCCTGGTAACTGACAATGGTCACTCCCTCTGTCCCCTTCTGTCCCAAAATAACTGAATGTTTTCTCAAATACAGGCTAAAATTCACAGGAAACAACTGAAGAGAATGTTTCAGGGTCATGTAACAAATGTGGAAAATGAAGATTAAAGAGTTGGAGGACGTGTTTTTTGAGGGTTTTTTTTAAAGTAAAAGCAATGTAAAAAATACATACACGTCTCCATGTGTTTACATATATGCATGTTACTTCATTTTTTACAAAATGTACACTAGTGATTTTATTTCCTTTGAAATTCAGATTGCCTATTTACAAGTACAGTAATTATCTGTTCAAAACCATAAGCACTGAATTTTGCTACGCGTCTGATTTTGTAATATGAACTTTCTCTTTCATATTAGATGGCACATATTACAAAATCAGTTCCGTAGCAAAATTTAGTGTTTCTGGTTTTGAGCAGGTAATTACTGTAGTTGTAAATATGCAATCTGGGATTCACAGGAAACAAAATCAAAATCAAAACAAAAACACAATTTTGTAATATGTACTCTCTCTTTCTGGGGCACAACGACTCAGCAGTTAAAGATGCTGAGCTTATCATCTGGAAAGCTAACAGCCTGGGTTCGAGACTCAAGCACTGCGCAATGGGGTGAGCTCCTATTCCTGCCCTAGCTCCTGCTCACCTAGCAGTTCGAAAGCATGCAAATATGAGTAGATTAATAGGTACCACTTTGGTGGGAAGCTAACAGCATTCCATTTTTCATGCTTTCCACCTGACCATAGAGACTATTTTTGGACAACGCTGGCTCCCTCAGCCAAGAAACAGATGAGCACCATTCAGAAATACCTTTCCTTTTCTGAGAAATGTGTTTTGATTCTAATATCCATGCTAGGGTATTGATCTAATTGAGCACAGATCAAAATCTGAGAGCCTTACTCCTTTGATTCCGCTGTGCCAATCAATATTCAGTGTCTATTTTATGTGCTAATTTGATAATGGAAACATTTCCTTGGTAACCTATCAGCTATTTCTTGCATGAACCATTATCTCCTGATGCAACTGGCTAGGTGAGACAATGTGAGGAAAAGCCAACTTCTGAACACCTCTGATCAAAATAAGAATAGCACTCATTTTAATGCCCTTACAAAAGCAAGTTTCTGTAATAATGGAACACCTCCAAACAGTAGAGCAGTGCTTAGTATCTGCTAACATTGATGGGATAAATTTAAGTTTCTTTAAATATTAGAACCAAGAGTGAGAAAATGGAGGAGGGTGTAGCTAGTCAGCAGTAAAGATGAAGCATTGGTCTCTTCTCAACCACTTTTTCTAATAACTTTTGCTATTCATTTTTTAAATAAATATTTGGCTAACTGGCATGACTAGTAATAAAAAGATGTCAAAGGTCATTCCAAAAAAGAAGAATTAAGGCTTACATGGTTGATCTCGACGTGCCAAAGTGGCATTCCACTATAATAAGGAAAAAGACATGGTGGGGGAGGATATTTTTACAAATGTAAGGAAAATTGAGCACCATTCAGGATGAAGCTTTTAAACTGTCTCATTGGGAAATCTATTTTAAGAACTCCACTCCAAGAACTAAAGATGTAAGGGGTTAGGTTACCTCATGCAATCTGACAAACCTTGGCAGTTATGTTTGAACAAGTTAATGAACAGCTTAAAGAATTGTCTTCTCAAGTTGTGGAGGTTGCCCAAATTGCTGGCAAAGCACATGAAGTTGCTACTAAAAATAAATATTGATATTGGAAAAGTTACAGATGTTATTTGGATTTTCTGTTATTCATGATCAGAATAGGAGAAATAATTTGAGTCTTAGAGAAAATGTAGAAAAACTGTATTTTTCATTGCAAGCTTAATGGGAAACTATCAGACATAAAATTTTCTGATAAAGATGTGGAAGGGCTATAATACTAAGATTTGTAAATGCTCTGGTGAGAGACAGAACTTAGCAAAACATTTGGGAGCTGAGAGACATAAATTGGGACAGAGATAAAGTATTACGTTTTCAAGGTATTAGTTCAACCCTGTTACAAAGAAAAAAAAGTCTTCAGCTTTTGATGGAAGAATGATAAAAAAACAAAATATAGCATTAGCCTTGAAAGCCAGCTGGGAGACCTTGGGCTGTCATTGTCTCTCAGCCCAACTCACTCACAGGATTGTTGTTGTGGGGAAAATAGGAAGAGGAAAGTGTATTGGATATGTTAACCGCCTTCAGTTATCTATAAAAATAATAATAGCAGGATACAAATAAATACATAAAAAATGGGAGTTTTGTTTCTAAAATGTCATTTTATCCATAAAGAAGATTCCTTCAAGAGATGAGTAGAGATTTAATGGTTATAAGATGTTTAATATTTTTCATATTACTTAAGAAATACGATCAGATATAGAGATCAGAGCCTTGTAAACAAGTTAATATCAGAATAAAAGGATCTGGGAATGGGGAAATTAGAGCTCAACTAGATTGTCTACAGTATTTAATTTTAATTTAATTAATTTAATTTAATTTAATTTCTCTGTCACTCAACTCCAAAACAACTCTGGTAGCTTTACAATGTTAGTAAACAACAATAGCATATAAAAGAATGTCTGAAGGAACAATAAACCGTTCTTCAACATCCTCCGCAGTTTAAAGGGGTCCACCCAACTATCCTAAGGGAAGGCCTGGGGGGAAAAGTCAGGTTTTTAAATTAGAGGGTTTAATGATCCTCTGTGAATTTCTTTTATATGTGGTCCAAATGGGTTGGGAAGTAGTTAGTGGGGGAGGGGGAGGTGAATGGAGAGAGAAACGGAGAAGGGTGAGAAAAGGTAAAAAAAAAATCAATGCAAATGTATTGACTTGGAAAAAAGTTTCACTGTTGATGAGTTTACTGGGTAAAAATGGTAGGAACAGAGAAGTGTAAATGGTCAGCAGGTGAATAGCATAGGATAGTTTTTCTAAATGCTAGGAAGTTAGGAGATCAAAGGAAAAGAATTAGAACTGATAAATATTTAATTTTTTCTATCTGTACTTATAAGAAACATATATATTGGTGGGAAAGACAAATATTTTGGAATAAAAAGTTTGGGCAAAGATGTAATAAGCTGAAAGTATTCCCTCTTACTTAAAGCTAATGTTGATTTCACAGTAGAAAAGATTCAAAAAGAAATATTTTTAATTAAAATGAAGTTTGATAATAAAACCATAACACTGATTTCTATATATATGTACTTAGTCAGAATCAAATTGAGTTTATACAGAAAGTAATGTCATGAATATATTTATTTGAAGAATTTATTTTAGGAGCAAATATTGATGCAGGCAAACCTGGGGGAATGGAGCAAGTTTAATTAAGAATTTGTGGCTTAAGTATAACAGAACAGGATCAATTAATCTATATAAGCAACTAAAATATTAAAAATACAAAATCTCTGGTCCTGGATGGGTTAAAAGATGAATTTTATAACTACTCTGAGTTTTTCTTGACACTGAGCAAACTGTAGTATCAGGGAGATTTTCCATTCTCTTGTAATTCTAAATAATTCCTAAATCAGATGAAATCCACTGAAGACTTTTTAATAGACCTATTAGACCTACAGTATTTTTTAATAGTCCTATTATCAATCTCTGGTAATCAATAATAAATACTAAACTGCTGAACATTCATTTCAAATTTATTATGGGAAAAAGTATATATCCTGATAAATCAGACTGTTTGCATCATCTGGTTAAGGTATATTATAACATGCTTAGACATATGTTTATGTATTTGTCCTTCTGAAAGCTTCCCTTTGGAGACTACACTATAGCAACTTTAAGATATTATAGGCATAGTAAAATGGCTCATAATTATGGGAGTTGTAATCCAATGCATCTGTGCTTTAGAAAGCTTGTAAAAATAGGGTTTTTTCATATTATATAAGTGAACCTTCCACATGTATGTGGATTTATACACATTCTTCTTACACTTCTGTATTTGATAAGGTAGAATTGCTGCCATCTCTGTCTCTGTTAGTGTACTAACACAAGATTGGAAACAACCTAGTGGATTATGCTTTAAGGCAATGGGACAACTGCTGTCTTCTTCTGTCACTGGCTCTCTCCCCCTAAAAACACACTGTGATAAAATTATTAGAATGGTGCAAATAGAAGAATCTTTCATTCCAATCATCTACCAAGCATTTGTGCAGATAATCACTATCAATCCAATATAGTGCAGACTCTGGAACGCCACTGAGATGAGAACAGTAGCTCACTGCCAAAAGGTTGGCTGCCAAGAAGAGAGTGAGAGAACATTGTAAGAGACAAACCAAGTGACATGTTGACATCTTATTCTGTGCCTTGTATCTTAATCTCTGCCAAACAGTTCTTATTTCTTGAATTTTCTATTATATAATAGTTAAATATTCATAGTGAGATGCTGGAGTTTTTTAAATGCGGAAACTTTCTATTTTGAGTGGATTATTTTGGTAGGATTCTGACCTAGTAACAGAACAATTTAGGTTGATGGAAGAGGTTCTTATGGTAAGTTTTGATCCTCTATTTAATGACATTGCAGGTCCTGATAAGATACCTCTCAGGGAAGAATTTGAACAAATCATGCTGAAAGCTATGCAGGAATTTACTTCAAGGGAACAGTCCTCACAAATGAATGTGCCGAGCATCTCCTTGTCACCAGCTCAACTTCCATGGCTTGCCAAGTTAATTGCTAGTGTTTCCCAAGACATGGTACATGTGGTGGTTACTCAGAATTCCTTGGCAGAAGGCATTTCTGAAACACTGCGGTCACTGACTGAAATGAAGCACCAACAGAGGGTGCCAGATTATGTGGTTGCTATCTGCACCTCGAAGATCAGAGGAAGTGAGTTCTGTGTAGTAGTTTTAGGTAGGTATTATTTTTTGTATAGTATCTCAACAGCTACATTTTTTATTGTAATACAAATATTTGGTGTCTCAGCATGCTTTAAATATATAGTTGCTGTGTTATTGTTGGATCCCAGTCAGAGAGATAAACAAACAGAAGGCTTACTGAAATCTAACCTGCTTATACTACCAACTCCAAACAAAAACCATAAATAGACAACATTAAATACTTACAAGACAACATACAATATTCTATATTCTGATATGTGGGTTATACCATCAGCTTTAATCATCAAAGACCTTCCACAGAAGTTAGTCTTCACTATCTTAGAAATGTATTCTAAGTGCATTCAGATTTCCAGAAACATTAAGAGTCAAACTGTTTCTCCAAATTTTCCACCCATTCATTGGTGGTAGGAAGAACATTGGTGCCTTTTGAGAATGGAGGGAATAAATGATTTCTCCAGCCCATTCAGCCATTGAATGCTTGTGCCTTTCCAGGTCCCAACCAGTTTCACATCCAGAGTGGTAGCCTGCAATAATATGCACTAGATTTCTTTGGTAAGAAATAGAACCAAAGCACGCAACCCCCCCCCCCCCAAGTGAGCAAGGTTTCATTTTAATTTTAAAATAATATACTGGAAGTTAACCCCTTGGGGAAAATAATAATGTCTGATGTGGAGGAAAGTAGATTTCACTCTGACTTGCACAGTGTAATCCCAGCCTTAGTTCTTTTCATTATTCTTGGACCACCTTAGCCAAAGAGTGGCATTATCATCATCATCATAGTCATCCAGTACAAATGGGTTTAGAAATCCATTATTTCTCACATCCCAGCTATTTCACTGATTCTAAGTACTATCGCAAAGGTGATATGTATGCAAAAGAAAATGTCTGGACTTTCACTGTGGATACATTCAAGGCAAGGAAGGTTGTTAGAAAGGGTTAGGTCTGAGTAGGCCCTTGGCTTCCTCAGAAACGGTTCACTGGCTTGGCTTGCCATCATGTAGTGTATATGAAAATTTGTTTTGGGTGCAAGATGACCCTTGAGAAAAAGAACTTATTTTCCAAATATCTCATGCTATTCTAAACAGCTCTTTTAAATAGTGCTCTGGCTCTGGCAGTAGCCATATTCAGATGTCATTGAACCTATGTAAAAACAAGGTTGGGAAAATGAGGTGAGTGAGGATAGTATTGACAGTTTCTCTTCAATGAGCAAAAATCATGAAATGCTCTGAAAATACCTCCACTTTTCTGACAATACTGAACATTTGCAAATAGCTGCATAGGAGGAATTTCCCTTTTAGAGATTTCATTTCTATACATTTTAAAGCATGGAAATAGGAAAGCTTTGGAGTTTTGGCTTTAAAGACACAATTCTTAGTCCCATCTCAAGTTCTTATTTGCTCACTTGCTTTTAACCATAAGAGTAATAACAGGCAGATCTGACCTTGAGGAACAGGTGGTGCTGAATGAATATGAAGATGTACTGTACTAATCTACTGGATTGGGAAGAACTTGCTTGCAGAATAATCCATGTTAAAATATTCTACTGTAACCTGTTGCTATTTTCGGTGCTTGCTTTACAAACATTCAGACTTTCTCAAATGGCGTTAAATGCAGTTAAAGAGCTGTGCGGGTTTTGTATACCATTTCTGTGTGTTTGATTTTTTTTTTGTTTAGATGTTTTTATTCCACTTTTATTATTTTTAAAAAATAACTCAAAATAACTTAAGGTGGAAAATATACCTACTGCTCCTTCCTCCCCCTATTTTCCCATAACAACAAAGCTGTGAGGTGAATTGGGCTGAGAAAGAGTGACTGGGTCCAAAGTCTCCCAGCTGGCTTTTATACCTAAGGCAGGACTAGAGTTCACAATCTCCTGATTTCTAGTCTGGTGCCTTAACCACTAGACCAAACTGGCTATTATTAATATAGGTTAGAAAGCAAATATGATGACAGAAAGAGACAGATTTGTATGTTCCAATCACTGCTTCGCAGATTTAGAGCGTTAAATGGTTTAACAATCTTACCAATATTTACTAAAAAATACCAGTGAATGGTTAATTTGTTGGACTTAGACCAGGGAGAGTCAAGTCCTGTTCAACCCCTGAGCCAACTGGATGACCTTGGACCAATAATACTGTGTCATCCACCCTGACCCCTTCCCTCTTTCTCAAAATGTACAACCTACCTCAAGATGTATTTTGGGGAGGATAAAATTAGGGGCAGGCGTCTAATTTATGCTTCTTTGAAATCTCAGATAATGTAATAGTTAAATACAACTTGTTTCTTTGTGAATGTATGTAGGATTTTAAACATTAGCACCACACATGAATATTTATAGCAATTGTAACTTAATTCAACCAGATATATGTCCTAGAGATGTGAGGAATTAATAATCTACAAACCAAATTTGTATTTTGATGATAGATTAGAACGCAAAAAGCATTTGTTGGTGGAGTGAGGTCTGAAGGCAGAGTTTCCATCAATAAATCCTTTTTGTAAATGTTATGTTTTATCTTTTAGAAGGTGAGCTACTGATAGGTTTCCGGAATAGTAGTTTTAAAAAAGCATTGTTATATTATGAGAGGCTACAAAAAGTTTACAGGTTTATATCCAGAAGTTTTAGATTTTCAAGATGGTTCGGTAAATAAAAAATATACAGGAGTCTTCATCACATAAGGCTAAAGTTACTTGGCTTTTCTGGGAAGTGTTAAAAAAAACACAGGAAGATAAAACTCACATAAGCAAAGTCTTGGTTTTTTTTCCTCTTGTTTCACTCCATGCATTGCTTTTTCCATAGGTCAATACCAGTCTAGAGCTCTTGCAGAGAGCATGCTTACCACCAGTGAGTTTTTAAAGGAGATAAGTTATGAGCTCATTACAGGAAAAGTTAGTTTTCTGGCATCACATTTCAAAAACACATCTTTAGGTGAGTGAATCTTACAGTCTGCCATTACTTTGAATTAATGATGTGGCCATTTTTACAAATAAAAAAAACCCATCTCAGAAATTTAACTCTTTAATGCTGATTATTGTAGGCTGTCATTTTAAATGATTAAGATAATCTTGATACAGAAAATTAGTTCAGAAAATGTTCAAATTTTATGAAGGAGTGCGTGTATAAAAGTAAAGAAAAGGAGATAATAGGAAGAAAATAATTTTACTTTCATCAATTCTTAAAAGCATCAACTTATTTCCTCTTAATGTTATCTTGTGCTGTAAGAGCTCCCACTCCTGTTTAATACAAATGAATCATTTGGTATAAATGTCATTACTTTAACATCTCTTTTATGAAGCTAGAAGCTTCTGTGTTTTGCCCAGGCAGGATAGAAATTGGAGGGCAATATTATTGCCCTCCAATATTATTTCTTTTGAATCAACAATTATTTTCAATCCTTTGATTCTAAAGTCTAATGCATTCAATCTACAGTATCCTCTTTGAAATTGACTTTGGCAGGAGGATCCTAAAGTCGCCCAATCATTGCCATGGCTAAAGAACAGTAATAAAAACAAAACATTGCTTCAACATTGACCGAGTGAAATGTCACATCACAAATGGTGATCTTGCCTTAAAGTTGCAAGTTTTTTAACTGAAACACCTGGCTTTAAAATGCTGACATTACCCTCCTAAGCAAACCTACTCTGATATGTCTTCACATCCACAGATTCATACCTTGAAGTAATGAAACAGCCAAGAATAAATGAGAGTCTGGGTCCTCGTGTTTAAAGTAATACATGACTTCACACCATTTCTTATGAAATATTTAATGAGATGAATAAATATTTATATTATGAGTGATTTCTCTACCAGGTGACGAGTTGGACAAGTTATTAGAGATGATGCAACAGAGACGGGGAGATAACGTTGTCATTCCATTCAGTGGGGATGTTAATGAGTGTGTATCATCTCAAGAAGCAGCTGCCATGGTTTCCACTCAAGTTCTGGGTAAGGATTATCTTATAAGAAATAATTTATGTCAAACATTAGTCTGTACATAATTTTGCATCACCTACTTAAACAGTGAAACCACAGAAAATCTGGAAACCAGATGCTGCAGTCATGAAACTACTGCTAGTGGTTTCCTCAAGTTTGGAAGGAGTTTGTATGCTGATGAATATGAAAGTAGAAAGAAATATCTGTATGCATGCATTTTGGATGTCAATAGTGCCATGTTTTTCTCTAGTTAGAATGGATTTTTTTTCTAAAATAATAGTATGGTATTTAGCCTATTGGCAAAAGGTGTGGGTGACAGCTTTAAATTTACATTAAATAATTCTTTTGATTTTACTGAATTTATTTCTACAGAAATGGACTACAGATTAGATTATGCAGTTGGTAGTAATTTAAATAAAAGAACACACTAAAAGTAGATAATGTGTTGTCACTAATATTTCTTATGTGTATCAGTATATCAGTAGCATACATGTTATTTTCATTAAAATATATTTTAAAAGTTTTCATGGAGTATTTTCTGTGAGACATAAAAAATCTGATTACATTTCGAAATCTTGAACTTCTAAAAAATGAAGCTCTTGGCCTGCAAAAGATCTTAGTCCATGGCCATGTCTGAATTTCTGTCAAACTATAAGTTATATTAAGCATGCTTGTTAAAAATTCTAGTACTGTAGCTGCACGGATTTAGGCTATTGTTTTAAAACTGAAGTTATTTATTTATGCTATGTATGTATGATGAAGCAAAATGGATGCATATGGTGGAATCAGAAGTTTTACGGGTTATTTCTAAGAGACTTATTTTGGGGGCACATATAGCAGTGGATTTCAGTGTCAATTTCTGGATTAGAAAATAAATGATGATTCTACTTTATCCTAGACTTGTATACAGAAACTTTCCAGATTTATCAGCCACAACTCACAGTTGCCAGAAAGCTCTTGTCACAGGTGTGTGCCATAGCAGATAGTGGCAACCAAAGTCTGGACCTGGGCCACTTCAACAAAGTAGATTTTATTGTTGTAGTTCCTCGTTCAGAGGTCCTTGTTCAACAAACCATCCAGCGGATTCGACAATCAGGTAAATAGCCAAGAGAAAATAAGCTTATTAAATCCAGCAGAAAGTTATTTTTCAGAATTCTATTTTTTCCTGTCAAGGGGAGATAGAAGAGCGATATAGGAGACTGTTCGTTGAAAGTCCTGTTAGGGCTTTTTCTTATGATTTATAATTTCATAGGCCTCTTGACTGAAGCAATTTCAGTTAAGCTTGAATAAAAGATCTCTTTCTGAATCGTATGAAGAAAACTGAACACCTTCTGAAGCAGTTGAATGAGTATTGCAAAAAGCACAGCTGTTTTTGTTGTTTTGAAAGAGATGCTTTGCTTACATATCACTGTGAAGCAATTTTCTAAAGCTTTACAAAGTGGTAGTACAAAATGTACAGTATTTAACACAGAGTGCTATTTAACACAGAAGATTTCATGGATAAAAAAATAGTCTCTGAAGCTGTTGAATGGCATCTGGCCATTCAGCCAGCTAAAAGGCTGTTTGTAAGAAAAATAAAACCTAATTCTCATCTATCATTTGTTGATGAAGTTTTTTCTTACTCTTTTCTTGGCAATTAGAGTGAGTAAATATGCCATTTACAATATTTTTGGTCTTGTAACAATATATATGATACGGCATATTATATATACAATAGCATGGATTTTATAGGCATATACAGATCGATAATTAAAATCATACCTTTTACATGCTGCTTTGACACTTAAAAAACGTATTCATTAATTTTGGATAAAAGCCTCGTTTCTTCTTCTAGGTGTTCTTGTAGACTTAGGGCTTGAAGAAAGTGGAACAGCTTACCAAAGAGCAGAAAAATATGTTGTGCAGCTTGACAATGAGATTCAAACCAAGTTTGATGGTTTCATGAGACGAGTGAAACAGAATCCATATACTCTTTTTGTGCTTGTACATGACAATGCCCATGCAGATTTAACAAGGTAAGGCATTGAAGTAAAGCCGTATAAGTTTGAAAACTATGCTATAGAATTCAGTGAGGATGTGCTTTTCAGGTTGCTTATAATAAGTTATGTAGCAATAAATGCCTTTGGTCATTGAACTATATCAAACCTTGGTTTTTCTGGATTGAGAAGGAGGCAGTTAACAACTGTAATTATTTCATTTGGTTTTGTTACCAGGATGAGGAGTTAAGATGTTTCCAAAATTGGTTTTCTGTTGTTCTAAATGTGTGGAAATATTTTTTATGAAATGAGGGTAAGCTTCATTGGTACCAATATTTAAGCAGGAACAGTGCCGCAGGTTTACAGAAGTGACTGTCGATGGTTATACTACAGGAGTGGGAAAAGATGTGAATTCATTATTTCTGAAATATGTTTTCGTGCTTCTTTTTGAACTGAATGAATCTTGCCATTCCTGTTTTAATCTTTTTTGTTTTGGTATACTAGACATGCATGTTTTGACTCTCTTCACAGTGCTATCTCAAGCTCACTGTCTCATGGTGAGCCTAGTCAAGGACTTGCTGATAGAGTGATAAACTGCAGAGAAGTCCTTGAAGCCTTCAATCTCCTTGTCCTCCAAGTGAGTTCTTTCCCATATGCACTTCAGACTCTCCAATCCCGAATCAACTCAGTGAATGAGGTGCACTGGATACAGTTTGGCAATATGGTAAGGGTCTAAAGGTTACAAATAAAATACTTAGGAAATGTGAATATATTCTGAATAGCATGGTTTCAAGTGCACTGATAATAAGGACGGGAATTGCTTCTTAGTTTATTTTGGTAGTTTATTATCAAAATCTGGTTACATTCAAGAAGGGAGTGGTTTCCTAAGGTAGTCATCTTATACAGTACTCAATGTAGTAACCAGCCAGATTATCAATGTATTGGTTTACCTTTGATATTTTAGAAATTATTTAGTTCCACCTTTATTTCCAGGAATTTAAATTTTGCCTTTCAATGATGAATTGGATTTCTGGATTGAATTACACAAGAAAAGAAATAAAATACTGGCTAAAATTTTCAACTAGTGGTATTTTAAAAGAATAACTCACTTCAAAAGGTAGTAATGTAGAAAAAGCTAAGAATATTTTTTAAGTCTTTAACCACAGAGGGATCCTCACTTCAAAATCTTTTCTTCCTATTTGTCTTAATTTTGAAGATAAGGGATACCTGGAAAGAAAATTCTAGGCATAAATCACACCATATTAGAAAAAATGATACGGAGGAAGATAATCTAGCATTTACTGTACCTAAATTCTAAGAAATGAAGACCTGTAAAATCATAATACTTAAATTTGGACTTGGAAGCCAGTAAAATGGTTTCAAAGTATGTGTAAATATGTTTGAATGCTTGATCCCTGTTAGCAGCCTACATTAATTGGAACATCCAGACCTATTGGCTGTAATGTAGCTTTCCCCCAGGAAATTGACTGACAGGAAATTGAAAATTACTGTGGTATAGTGGTTAAAATATTACACTAGGAACAAAAACATATAGGTTAACTTCCATCCTCAGATATGGAAGATCATTAGATTATTATGGGTCAGTTCCAATTTTTCTTATAGAGTTATGCTAGAAATTATGGAGGGAGTACTGTGTATGCTGCCTTTAGCTCCAGGATTAAATATATCTGGTTTTTGTGGTGGTATTGCACTGGCCTGTTTTTTAAATTGATTATACACCATCAATTCCTTTTCATTTCCGAGCAATTAATAGATTTTTTTCCCATGACAGTCTAACCCTAACTTGGTATTTCAGTTCTTCCAACAGTGCACTCATTGTCATGAAGTCCATCCACCTTGCTGCTGATTGTCCTCTTTCCTTCCACCTTTCGCAGCATTAGAATCTTTTCCAGAGAGTTAGGTCTTTGCCGAATATGCCCAAAGTACAGGCAATCCTTGATTTATGACCACAAGTGGGATTGGAATTTCTTTCAATAAGGATGCAGTCATAAAGCAAGATATCACATGACTGCATTGCTTAATGACCACAATCCCAGCAGTCCCTGTGGTGACTGTTAAGTGAATGCAACTGGTTGTTAGCCAGGAATCTACCACATGCCAAGCCATTGCAGGCTTGGTTGCTCCCAGTCCCATTTTCAATAAGGTAAGGGGCTGCCTCCTCCTCCTTCCCATCTCTGCCCTTTTGGCCAACCTGCACCCTGCCTGGTAGGACAGCAAGCAGTTCCAGAACTACACAGCTCTGGGGCTGCTTGCCACACTCTAGGAAGCTGTAGCTGCTTCAGCCGACTCCCAGCTGCAGTTGCCTTAGCCACTCTGTGCTCTGAGACCTCTGCCACCTGTGCTCCATTGCCCCAGCTGACCTTTATCATCTTTTTGCTTCCACTGTCAATCTGGACTTTGGCTGCATAAAAATTAAGGATGGGGGAATCAAAAAGCAGCCCTTGACCTGTGCACATCCTAGCGCTGCATCCTGATCTAGCACCTGAATCCTGGGCCAGCAGCAAGAGGAAGAAAACATCAAAGATTAGTTGGGGGAGGGGAGAGCACCAGGAGACAGCAAGGTTATGTGGCCACCAAAGAGCCATAGATGGGGAGAACATAGGAATGTTGGGGAACTTGAAGTGCCCCTGTGATTGTAAGTGAAGGTGGGTTGCCCGGTGCCCATATTTTGAGCATGTGATCCCTGGGGTATTTAAATGGTCATAATCTTGGGTGCTGGTTGTAAGTCCTTTTGTTCAGCGCCATCATAATTTTGAACTGTCACTGAATGAATGGTTTTAAGTTGAGGACCGTAGGATAATTTCACCCTGGTCATTTGGCTCTAGTGATATATTGGTTCCCTTTTGGATGGATGTTAATTCTGTTCTGATTTCTGTTCATAATTCTATTTTGAAGTTAATTCTGGAATAATATGTATGAAACATTGGAGATGTGTTAATTTTTATGTTGTTGTATATCTTACAATCTTTTATTTGGAATTTCAGTGGCTCTTCTGGGAAAAATAGTTCAGTTAAACAACCAGTTGTGTTTAACAGATGCATTTTTTACAATGGAGGAAAGTATTAATGTATAATTTTGTTCACTGTTAAGGGGGAAAGGGACAACAGGTCTATGTTTCAAATGCAGGATAAGTGTGACCTGATTCTGAGAATTGCTTTGTTTGAAATGTATCAAACAGGAGGAAATATGCGAAGATGAGAAATTCTACTTTGGCTTGAATGAATACAGCAAGTCTCTGCAGTGGGGAATCACAAGCCCTCTTCTGAGATGTGATGAAATTTTTGAAAAAATGGTGAATACACTCTTAGAGAGGTAAATGCTTTGGGGATATTACTTAGTCAGGGCTGTATTTTCAACACTCAGAAAGCCTCTTTTATTTATTAAATGCAATATGTAAATAGAGAAACAGTAAGAATGCTAATACTAGCTAGATCAATTCTTTCAATTCTGTTCACTTTGAAATCTTCCCAGTATAAATCTGAGGAAGGTTGTTAGAGGTTATCTTTAAATTACATTGTGAGTACTTTAAGAAGTGATCGCTTAAAAGAATAACACTTTTCTCTGTTCCAAAAAGAGTAGGATATGATTTTTTTTCAACTTCCCAATACAGTATTTACTTGGGGGGGGGGGAGAATGTCTTTCAGCCAAATATTAATCAGATCCAGTCCTTTTTAGCTTTCTAAGTTCAGCAGTATGATCTTAAAGTAGCTAGTATGTACGTAGTCTATCATTTATTATATTTACTTATAAATAAATTAATTCCCCATATATTTAAAAAGGTTCTTAAAATGGCTAATAATAAAATTGCACCAATTTGTTGTAATGCAATAATTAGTAATTAGTATGCTTGAAAATTGCTCCCCTGACATAATCTTTCAATGGTTCAAACTTAGTTAATTATTGAGACAGTTTTTGAGAGAACAATAAGCTGTTGAAGCAAAACAATGTGTCTTGTAACACTTTAAAGACTGACAAATTTATTAATTGGTTAATGTTTCCTGGATCACTGTATCAGATACATACAAGACACATACATGCATCTGATTAAAGAAGCAGTAGGTTTTTGTAATAATACATTTATTTGTCTCTAAGGTGCCAAAAGATACTTAATTTGTGATAAACTTGTAAATTATGATAAATCAAATCATGTTAGCTTTAATTGCACTATAGGTTTGCTTTCAAGTATCCATTTATTAAGGAGACTGCTGTTCATATACAGTCTAGCCTTTGGGTTCTTCCAGTACTCTTTGTATAAGTCAGGAATAAGTTCAGTTATGAAAATACTAACCTTTTCTAACCTTATAGTACTAGATGTGTTGGGATACTAATTCCATAATTTTCAGCCTGTATGACCATATTGATTGGAGGTGATATTAATAAACATTACTTCAGTGGGAATTTCTTATATTTGCTTAGATTATGGCTATTAGAGATCATCTGTATGACTGTGACCTTTCAAACTAAAAGATATATTTAAACACAATGCTTATGTGCCCACAACTGAGCATGCCAGATATGTTTATATCAAAATGACTAAAAAAGACCTCTGTCCTTTCAAGGTATCCCAGGCTGCACAGTATGGTAATTCGCTGCTATCTCCTCATTCAGCAATATTTGGAAGCCTTGATGGCTCTCACTACCATGTCCTCACTAAGAGATCACAGCACACCAGAAACGCTCAGCATAATGGATGACATCATCACTGCTCCTGGCAAGGATAAGAATGGCCGTGGCCACATGTTAGTGATACGAATTCCTTCTGTGCAGCTGGCAATGCTGGCAAAAGAGAGGCTGCAAGAAGCACGAGATAAACTAGGTCTGCAGTATCGTTTTGAGATCATTTTGGGCAACCCAGCTTCAGAGCTTATGGTTGCCAAGCACTTTGTGAAAAGATTAAAGGTTAGCTTCAAAGGCTTGTTTATGTGTGACTAATAGCCCAATCTGGTAAGCTTGCATGGAAACATATAGCTACCCATTGTTTGATTTCTCTGTTAAACGTCTTAAGGAGAAGCCATAGAGATGTTACGTTGGACAGAAGCAGGATATAGCAGGGGGATATAATACTGGCATTCTCTCTTTTTTTAATGAAATTGTATGTATTTTATAGAACAGAGGAATCTATCTAGCACAGGGGTGTCAAACTCAATTTCACTGAGGGCCGCATCAGCATTGCGGTTGCCCTCGGGGGGGCCGTGTGAATGTGGCCAGAGTGAGTGCAGCCTATTGGGTGGGCATGGATGGAGTGGGTGTGGCCTACTGGGTGGGTGTGGCCAGTTCTACATCATTCACGTCAAGGGTGCCTGTGGGGGCCTGGGTAGGAGTGGGACAGATCTGAGTGTCTCTGGCAGAAGGGGATGGGACTGGGGCAAGCGCCAAGGCATGGTCCACCAGGGCAAGTGCCAAGATGGCCACCACAAAATTGTACATTGGCTCCCGGCCGGCCAGGGCCAAGGCAGTGGGGGCCGTTCCCTCACTGTTTCCAGGGTGGCTTCGCGGGCCATATGAAACCACTTTGCGGGCCGCATCCGGCCCCCAGGCCTTGTGTTTGACATGTCTGATCTAGCAGAATTATGGCCACAAATTATGAATATTAACTGAGAGACATGTAACTCCAAGAACGAGTTATCCAATTGACCATTATATTCTGACCAGCTTATGTTTGTTCAAGTGCTAGTGATAGACTCTGATAATAGATCATCACACAGTGAATGTTTTTGTGTAGAGTTTAGTTATGTGCTTTTTGCCCTAAGTTTTGTAGGTTTGTATTTACATCAGATGAAATTCTTACCAAACATGGCAAGAAGATTTAAAGACAGATCACACATAATGCTAATTCATAAGCTTGCCTAGTGTGAATGTAGCCATTTTTACTGCCAACTCCAGAGCTACTTGTACCACAGAGAGCGAAGGAGAAAGCACAGAGATTCTCTGTCATAAATAATTTTCTCTGCCATGGCGTTTCTGAAGATTCTCAGTCATGTCTTGTGACCTTTAAAACAGCCAGTATGCCTGCATCATCATAAAGGAGGCAACGATATGGAAAATGCCATTAAAAAAAAAAAGAACTGTGAGATTTGGAAAATGCAATAACTTTATTTGTATAAGGAAGAAAGGATCTGCTGTTTGAAACTACCATAGTTTACTTTTCATTGTTTTTTGCGCTGGAAATTGAATTGTAGAAGATTTCTAAAGCAAGAGTTTCAATTTGTATACATTTCCTGCTATTTAGAGACTTTGTTAAACTGATGTTCTACTTTTTGATTGCTATCCTCTACTAGGATTTTTTTCTTTTTTGGTACAAAGACTGTTTCTGAAATAACCTTAATGAGATTGATAGCTTTCTTGTTATTTTTTCTCATAGGCATGGAGAGGAAATGAAGAAGAAGATTGGTTTCCTCATACTTACCAAGATTTAGAAGGTCTACCTTGCATTGTTGTTTTAACTGGCAAGGATCCGTTAGGAGAAACGTTTCCCAGGTATGCTGAGTTACTCCATAGTGCAAATATAAAAGCTTCCTAAAATATCTAGATTATTTCCAATTTCTTTCTTTAGCTGACAATCTGGGAATCTTCAACATCACATTTGTAATTTTTCTGTCTTATAGTTGAAAAAAACACACATTCAGACAGCTGTGAAAATAGACAGCATTGACTGAAAAAATATTTGATTAGTTTCAAATCTCTAAGATCATAGTGCACAGTTTGAGTTATAAAACTTAAATATAAAAATATTTATATAAAACATATAAAAATATAAAGCATGTCTTCAGTAATACAGATAGACTTTTCATCAAACTGACAGGAGCTATAATCTGGATAATAGAAATATATTTTCTTGTTTTCAGAATGTGTCCTAGAGGGCATTTCAGTGTGAAACCCCAGTTGTAAAAAGGCTACTTTTTGGCCCTTTAGCTTCAAATCAGTTTATACCAATCTGGTTGCTTCCTAGTTGTATGGGATTCAAGTCCCAGAATTTTCAGCAATGATCCTGATGCCTGGAAGATTCTGGGAAGAGAAGTCCATACATGTAGATGGCATCATAAAAGTTTGTGAACTTCTTTGAACTTTCAATATTTTGCATAAATATGACTTACAATCTGATCTTTTTCCACACAAATCCTAAAACTAGATGAAGAGAACATAATTTAACAAATTAATCAAAAACATTAGACTTCTTCATTGATTTAAGGAAAATGATCCAATCTAATCTTGTAATTTAAAACCCTAATTTAAGGAGAAAGAAACAGATGAATAATTAGACAAAATATGGTTTGACAGAATGCTGAAAAATCCTGGTGACTGCATCTGTATCCTAAATATCACAACCAAATAACCCTGAAAATTTCATATTTTATAAAGCACTACAGTTAATTTGTATTTGATTTTATTTGTATAAAATAAAATCTTTTTCTCAATAATTGTTTTGTTTTATTAGCAAAGTTAAAATACAAAACCCTCCTGAGTATGGATCTTTCATCACTTTAAATGACAAGAATTATAACCCCATCGTCCAGCAATCCTATCTATATTGCTTTTCCCCCAGGTCTTTGAAATACTGTGATCTTCGATTGATTGATTCAAGCTATTTAACTCGTACAGCCTTAGAACAAGAAGTAGGCCTAGCATGCTGCTATGTTTCCAAGGAGACAATTCGAGGGCCTATTGTAGCTCTTGACCTTAGTGAAAAGGAACAAGAGAAGACCAGCATTGGTGAGAATGATACTGATGAGCTGTTGATTGACTTGGAGAGGCCACAAAGTAACAGCAGTGCTGTGACTGGAACTTCAGGTTGGTTCTTAATTTTATCATTAACAGTGCTAGAGCTTGTAGAGAATGCCTTTTGTCCAGGAGGCACTGCTAATCCAGGAGATAGCAGAGCAAGTTTTGAAGGATATAAGAAAATGGAAAAGAACAGTAATTTTTAGGAGAGAATAGGATAGGTGGAAAAACGGAAAGGAATGGATATAGCTGAATCTTTAATATGATCCTGATTGATTATTTCAGAATGGAGGGATGGAGGTGGAAGGGGTATTCAAGAGGACCCATTATTTAAAGTGTTATAGCCATCCCCAGAGTTGCCAATTTCCGCTCTCACTTATTAATGAGACACTCATCCAATCAATACTCTGCCCTTAAGAGAGTGAGGCATTGTAAGGTGGCTCTGGGAGTCACCCATGTCATCATGCGAGAGGCAGCCACTCTAATCCTTTTACTCATTGCATTGCTATTAGGACCCTGGATACTCTTCAGGTGAGAACTGAAATTGTGACAGCTCTCTGGAGTGGCTGGTCAGGTCAAATGCCTGATTCTAAGTGTCCTTTTAACAGGCTGCATTGAATGGTCAGAGGTGGCCTTTAATATGTATTAGGCAAATGAGGACCATAACTGGCAAGGACTGTATCACACCTGTGGGTTACCCAATCTATTTCCTGGGTTTGGAGCAGTAATTTTGGAATTTTCATTTTCTTTCTTTGTTTTTTAGTCCAGTAAAAATGCTGTATTAAAAAAAAGCTCTGTTTGAGGACTTCCAGAATATTTTTGTGTATTTTTCACTTAAAATAGTAGAAAACTGTTGCCGGTTAATGGTCACTTAGGTTGATGGGGTCTTTGCTTCAGAAAAGAGTTCAGGAAATGCTTATAGACCTCAAACCTCAAGTTTTCTACTCTGTCTTACAACGAAGTGTTGGGATAGAGTGGCTATTGCCTGTTCCAGTCCATTATCTAGAATGGCCACTTTATCTTGTCTAGACATACCTAGCATTCAGTTGACTTCTAGGAAATTGGCAAGTGGGTATAATGGGATCTAAATATAGCAATCCTCTTGTCTGAGATAGTTTGAAGTTAACTGCATGATATTATTAGTAGTGGATATATTTTTGTTTATGCAGGATTTCAAATAGCCTTGAATGAAGGTGGAAGGCTGAAACATTCTTCCAATTAGCATTATGAAAAAAATGCTATTATTTCTTTTCTAAGCCACTATTACGTATTTTTTTTCTGATGTGGACTAATTTTGACCTTTATTGACTATAGCTCAGTGAGCAGGGATGGCACAGTCATTGCTGCCAGCTGAGTAGCAAAGAGAAGCCTGGCCTGTTGTGCTTTTCTTCTTGTCTAGAAAGTGAACATAGTAGCCAGGCTATGTAGAACTAATACTAGGGGAGTTTTTATTCAAATGTCTATTGAGCTCTGAAGTCAGTGGAAATCTCTTTCAGCCATGCCATAGTAAAAATAAAATATTTGTGGAGAGAGGGGAAAAACCTTGTACTTCCTTCAAGAATTATAATCTCATTGACAAAATAAGAAAGATTGACGTGACCATGACCCGAAAAATGTTTATCAAATCCTAACTCAGATTGGTTCTTTCCTTCCTGGACAGGTTTCCTGTTCTTATATTATAGGATTTGTGCTGGGTCTACCAAACAGTGCCCCAGGGCTCTGTTCTGGGCCCAGTGCTCCTCAACATCTTCATCAATGATTTGGATGAGGGGATAGATGGGGAACTCATCAAATTTGCAGATGACACTAAGCTGGCAGGAATAGCCAACACTCCAGAAGATAGGCTTGAGATACCGAAGGATCTTGACAGACTTGAACACTGGGCGCTATCTAACAAAATGAAATTCAATGGTGAAAAAAGTAAGGTTCTACATTTAGGCAAGAAAAACCAAATGCATGGGTATAGTATAGATGGTACCTTGCTCAATAGTAGCAACTGTGAGAGGGATCTCGGAGTCCTAGTGGACAAAAACTTAAATATGAGCTAGCAGTGTGCTGCAGCTGCCAGAAAAGCCAACACAGTGCTAGACTGCATTAACAGAGGGATAGAATCAAGATCACGTGAAGTATTAATACCACTTTACAATGCCCTGGTAAGGCCACACTTGGAATACTGCATCTGGCTTTGGTCACCACAATGTAAAAAAGATGTTGAGACTCTAGAAAGAGTACAGAGAAGAGCAACAAAGATGATCAGGGGACTGGAGGCTAAAACATATAAGGAACAGTTGCTGGAATTGGGTATGTCTAGTCTAATGAAGAGAAGGACAAGGGGGGACATGATAGCAGTGTTCCAATATCTCAGGGGCTGCCACAAAGAAGAGGGAGTCAAGTTATTCTCCAAAGCACCTGAAGGCAGGACAAGAAGCAACTGATGGAAACTAACCAAAGGGAGAAGCAACCTGGAACTAAAGAGAAATTTTCTGAAAGTTAGAACAATTAATCAGTGGAACAACCTGCCTCCAGAAGCTGTGAATGCTCCAACACTGGAAGTTTTTAAGAAGAGACTGGACAGCCATTTGTCTGAAATGGTATAGGGTTTCCTGTCTGAGCAGGGGTTGGGCTAGATGACCTCCAAGGTCCCTTCCAACTTATTATTATTATTATTATTATTATTATTATTATTATTATTATTATTATTATTATTATTATTATTATTATTATTATTATTATTATTATTATTATTATTATTATTATTATTATTATTATTAAATCTTGACTGCAAAAATCCAGATAAAAGCTTGCTGTCTTTTCTGCCATATAAGGGTCATCTGGATCCTGGCATCCCGGACCTGGTAGCCCTAGATCTGTGAAAATTATACTCTCATTATATGTTCCTTTTTAGATCATTGTATTTGAAATTTGGGAAAATTAGACTTGTTGGAGTTGGTTTTCTTCTGCTAATCTTTTACATGGTAATGCAAATAATCATAATTAGGAACTCGCAGCAGGACGTTATGAAGAGTTCCACAGTACAATAAAATATGGCTTGTGTATCCATAATTTATTAAATCCAAATTGTCAAATTATATACAGCGCACTAAGCCATAAACAAACTACATTAAAGGTTGGTACTCAAATGCTGTTTTTAAGTCCTTAATAACAATGTTTAGTTTCAGTTAATACTGAATGAGGTTATACTGACTAGTGGCACAGGGGAACTTATGATAGGGAGATCATAATTCCAGTGCCTAATTGTAATCTCATAACATCTTTTAAAAGGTTGAATATATACTGATTTAAATAAAAAGGAACTTTCCTGGGCCTAGACTTGGTAATCCAGTGTTCCAGTGATTTTCTGGCTGACAGAATAAACACTGCTGCTGTAAGATTTCTCTTTTCAGGTCTTGCTCATGTACTATTGACAAAAGGCAAAATGTTTTAGCTTCACAGTGCAAATTATTTTTATTTTTTTGCTGCCTAGTTCCTGTTAACATCACAGAGCTGAGTGAAGAAAAAAATTGATAACATTTTTTATACATGAATCCTTGTATACTAATAGTAAACATTGTATACTAATAGTTTGACAACATAGTGCTACAATGACACATTTCTAGATTACATGGCTGAAATTTTGTGGTACTTAAATCTTGCATGAATCTACGTTGTGATATTTCACAGATTCTGGCCATTTGTAATGTATCTTTTAGAAACATTTTTCATTATTTTTTAGAATTTTTTAGAAAAAACATTTCATTATTTTCTTTGTCAAAGTATTTTGTGGAATGAGGTTTACCCATTAAACATTTGCCGATTCCTGCCATATTTTTGCTGATGATAGACTTCCTATACCTTTTACAAATTGTAGGAATGTGATGATATGGACTGTTCTGTTTACACTTCCATATGTCGTTAAATGTGTACTATAGAACTCATTCTCTGTTCACATCTATTTACCTATCCTGTCCTGATCTTTTGTGCTGTTCCAAAGTTGCAAGTGTAAGCTGGATATTTTCAGTATAGAAGTTGCAGGACAATGTACTATGCGTTATATTGTTACTGAATATCCTTCAGCCCTTCCTTTTCCTTCCTTTCAATCTACCTTCCAGGTTCTATAGCAGAAAATGGAGTAAGCTCCTCTAGTGCCACAGACAAGTCTCAAAAACCGTCACTGTCTATGAACTTCCAGAATGTTGCTACTAGCTCTGTTGATGAAGGCTTTGCTGCTGGGGAGTCTTTGAAACAAGAATGTGACTCTCTAGCCAACCAGATAGCCAGCAGCACCACATCTAAATTGTCATCAGCTTCCCCTTCGATCAGCCAGACCTTCCGATGGCCTAACCAGCCAGTGAAAAATTGCAAGACATTACACATATGCTTACCCCGAATTGTGATCTTGTCAAAAGCTGCCTATTGCTTCCTTGGCTCACAGAAAAGTGGGCAGCCATCTTTTTCTTCTGCTTTGTTACCTCATGCCGACGTGTCTTGGGTGAGCTCACTAAGGCCTTTGCTTCAAAAGGATATGACCAGTGAAGAGCAGTCTCTTTACTACCGACAGTGGACTGCTGCACGGCAACACCATGCAGACTACAGCAACCATGGTGAAACCAGTAGCAGCAGGAGTTTTCATCCACGACGGCTACTTCTTACAGGGCCACCTCAGGTAAATAGATATTATGGGGCAGACCAGACTTCTCCAGTCTGTCTCCTTCTAGATGAGTTGGGAAGATTTGTCTGAGATTTCCCACCTTTGAATGATGTTGGTTAGGAATTCTGGAAGTAGAAATCCCAAAACATCTAAGTAGGTTAAGGAAGGTGCTGTTACAAAATAAGAAATAATAAAATGTTTAGTAATTCACACTTATTAATGATAAAATACAGTTTGAGAAATATAATTTATAAGCAACTGTGGCTATTTAGAGCATGTAAACTCCTTGGAATCTTTTATTCCAGGCTGTAATAATGTTTCTGTTATAGTGTGAATCACTACATCCTTGGGGTGAAATTTATGATTGTTGTGATGTCAGTTGGGCCCAAACCAATGACCTTCCAGTAACATTTGCACACTATGCTGGGTCTTTTCCCCTATTAACCTGTGTATAATCAAGCCATGAAATCTATGTTTTAGAGCAGATGTGGTTGCATCTTCATTGGATTCAGAGCAGAGCTGGTACCAGGTTACTTAACTGTGTGTTTCTTAATTGAATTTTACATGCTTCTGCATATTTGTAAGGATGAGCAACAAATTAGTGCATGCTGCTTGTTTCTATGACTATGTCCTTCCTTCATGGACATTAATAAAAATAACCAGGAAAGCTTGTCGTTCATAGATGTTTAGGAAAAATTGCAATGTGTAGTAATTCACAATTACTATAATAACTTAGTTCATGTTAGTCTTGTACTATTGTCATGTTCCTCCCTCAGGTTTTAATGAAAAGAGGTTTTTTTAAAAGAAGTGATGAACTTTACATGAAGCATAGGACTTGAAAATCTCTCTGTTCTTTTAAAAATGGATAAAAACGTGATTTAAATAAAAATAATTTCCAACAACTGATAATATATTTGCACGAATGAATCAGTCCTGTATTGATTAAAATATTTGATATTGGATAGTAAGGGGGAAAAAGAATGGATAAATGAATTAATATTGAGCATTTTATTCCACTAAGAGAAGAAGAGCTGATTATGTCTGACATTGATTTAAATAATATTAATATTAGCTAATAATATTTGAATCAAATAGTTGGAAGTCATGTGAAGGTTTTGTAATCTGAATCTTTGTTTTGTTAAATAAGTCAAAATGTAAGCATATAATTTTCTGCTCTAGAGACTTTATCTGCAAGAAATCACTGAATCTTCAGTAAATTACAGCAATGAAAGTTGGGGCAAGTAAGCATATTAATTAAAGAAAGATTTCTGTGACGAATGATTTGATTTTATAAGTTGCTCATGAATTATTGACATCTCAGATTTTTATCTGAAAGAACTTTAAGGCATAACTATTGCTTTTGAAAAATTCATTGTGCAACAAGCTAGGTAAATTTTTATTTAAAAAATTAATATTCTGAACCCCCACTTAATAGATACTTGGTGCTCTAAAATGTACTGCCACACATACATTTTGTTTGTCACAGCTTGAATATACAATGATTCTTTTTTGAAATGATTGAAGCAGGAGATTCCAGAACGAAATGAATACACTTTTCTGATAGTATATTTTTAGAAACTGTTTTTTTATCATTATTTAGGTTGGGAAAACTGGCTCTTATTTGCAGTTCCTACGAATTCTCTTTCGAATGCTGATCAGATTGCTGGAGGTAGACGTGTATGATGAGGAAGATATTAATATCAGTGAGTACTAAGGGCCTCTGTTCCAATTTCTGAAGACAATTCTATTTAATAGGTGTGAAGCTTACAGTACTCTGAAAAGAGAAAACCAACTCCTGTAATACAAATTTGGTCTTGTGTTAGCAGAAAAAAGTGGAAGGAGTAATGTCAAATCAGAACTAAGAATATCAAATTATTCTTGACCAAAATTCTCCCTGATACATTCCCTGATGATAAAATATTACTTTTAGAGACATTTGTCTAATTTCTCTAAAAGACTTTATAGTTTTTATATACTTAAAATTGTAATTGTGATAATTATTGAAATATCATTGTAATCTGTAAGAGGAATTTAGATAACATAAAACTATGATTTGGGTATTAACTAGTTATTCATATTTTGTTTTAGATCATACGGAAGAAAATGAAATTGCCCAGGCTAGCAGTGATCAGTGGCCTGACATTGAAATTGTCAGGAAAATGAATTTTGATCTCAGTGTGCATGATCCCAAATATGTTCTTATGAGTCCAGTCTACACAGAGCAACTGCAAAAAATAAAGCAGGGTGAGGGAACACTAAATTGTAGTTTCTTCTTTCTAACTAGTTTTTCAGAAATTTTATCGGCGTATTTTAACAAATAATTTTTAGGATGTATTAAGTTGGCTCTTTTTCCTTTTATTGCCTTTGTCCACAGAACCTAACAAAGAAACCAAAGTTGAAGAATCCAGAAAGCGCAATACTGTTTCTATGATGCTGACTAAGTATGCAGCTTACAATACTTTCCACCACTGTGAACAGTGCCATCAATATATGGACACAAATCCTTCGGCTCCGGTAATGCTTCTAACAGGCATTATTTTTTCCATCAGGGCCCCCTTGAGGAAAAAAAAATAGTTTCTAAGAGTAATATTTCATTTTAAGCTTAGTGGTGCTTCTCTTTTGGAAAAAGTTATTGTATGTTAAATACATGCTTGCAGATGCTTTGGCTTTCGGTGGAAAAGGTTCTTTAAAAAACGCAGAAATATGAACACAGCTCGATTACTCATTAACACAGTTGTGTCATTTTTTTGGATTGTACAGGTATCTGCTATATTCATGTGATGCTGGAAACATTTATCTATGTTGCAGTTAAATGCTATATTCATATTCCTGTGTGTTCTGAAAGTGTGTAGTGGGGTGCCCGAAGTGTGTAGTGGGGTACCCCAGGGCTCTGTTCTGGACCCAGTGCTCTTCAACATCTTCATCAACGATCTGGACGAGGGGATAGATGGGGAACTCACCAAATTTGCAGACGACACCAAATTGGCAGGAATAGCCAACACTCCAGAAGACAGGCTTAGGATACAGGAGGATCTGGACAGACTTGAACACTGGCCGCTATCTAACAAAATGAAATTCAGTGGTGAAAAAAGTAAGGTTCTACATTTAGGCAAGAAAAACCAAATATACAGGTATAGTATAGGAGATACCTTGCTCAACAGTAGTAACTGTGAGAGGGATCTCAGAGTCCTAGTGGACAATCATTTAAATATGAGCCAGCAGTGTGCTGCAGCTGGCTCATGTTTAAATGATTTGGAAACTAACCAAAGAGAGAAGCAACCTAGAACTAAGGAGAAACTTCCTGACAGTTAGAACAATTAACCAGTGGAACAACCTGCCTCCAGAAGCGGTGAATGCTCCAACACTGGAAGTTTTTAAGAAGAAACTGGACAGCCATTTGTCCGAAACGGTTTAGGGTTACCTGCCTGAGCAGGGGGTTGGACTTGATGACCTCCAAGGTCCCTTCCAACTTTATTATTATTATTATGATCTCTTCTGAAAGCATTACATAGCTTTAGCCCATATTCATTATGATGAGACTATGGGCAAGGTTTTACTAGCAATATGAAAACATTCTTCTTACCCTAAATTGTGATGCAAAATGAAGATGAGCCAAACAGCATGCACCCTATTCTTGCAAAATCTCATTTATTGAAAACAGACCCTATTTTGCTGATATTTTCATAAGAGTAATCCAAATATTCTGTCCACATATATATTTGATAATAAAGCCCAACAAACTAAAGCTGGTTAATACTGGCAGTTGGTCTCTTTAGTGTGTTACGATATTTTTTTCTCCCTTGTATGCAGATGTCTGATTCTACCCTACATGCCTTTACATTCTCATCCTCAATGTTAGGAGAAGAGATTCAGCTACATTTTATCATTCCTAAATCCAAAGAAAACTATTTTGTCTTCAGCAAACAGGGCAGGCATTTGGAAAGCATGCGTCTTCCTCTTGTGTCTGATAAGGTTAGTGAAATGTGTTTTGACTGAGGTGGTGAGCTATATAGATACATGCAAGTATAAAAGAATATATCTAAGAGGCCAATACTCAATTCCAGAATCTGAACTAGGTCCCTTTTTCATTACCTTCAATTAACCCATGGATGGGTTCGATTTTTTCAGCCATATAAGCAGCAACTTGTTGCTCAAGGTTGAGGCCACTAATATTTGGATTTTAATTGGTTTTTAGAAGGGGTAATTCTGTATATTGTTTTAACATGCTGTGAGCCGCCCTGAGTCCCATGGGGAGAAGGGCGGCATATAAATTTTGTAAAATAAATAAAATAAAATAAATGTGTACGTCCATATCCATGTATGCATGAAAAACCAAAGATATATAGGGACTAAAAAGTGCTGTGCAAGATTGTGGATTTCTTTCACTACTTTCAGTGGGAAACCAGCAAGCATTGAGAATGGATGCTGGGAGCAGGAACTATAGAGCTCCCTTCCCCAGCTAGTAGAGAAGTACAAAGATGGCAGCAGCCATTAGGAAAACAATTTTATTTCATAAAAACAGGAAGGCGGAGAAAGAAGCTCAAGAAACTTCATCTCTATTTAGTGTAAGAGGGTGGGAAATAGAAATGCTGCCATGCTTTCAATTTTATGATATTATAATTATATCAAGAAAGTAGAGTTTTGGTATTCATTGTGATATTTGTTTCTTGACCTAACTTGAAAGGATGACAGTACTACAGATCATTGTTAAAAAGTCTGCTTTCTGAAAATTCTGCTCCCCCCACCCAATTTTAATCTAGATAGAGGATCACAACCATTACAGGTGAGATTTTGCCATTTGGTGAGATTACATTCAGGGTGCACCATGAGGGTTTTCTGGATTCAAAGTACTGATACATTAGTAGGTACTTTAGATACTCACTATCAGCCCCCCCCCCCTCCATCTCTCAGTTTTATAAACTGATCTCAACTTATCCAGGTTTTCTTTTAGGAATAAAACCAACATACATGAATTCTATGTTATATAGCTACATAACGATTTAAAATTATTCTTCACAATATTTATGGGGTAGGAGAGAAGACAATGAAAGTTGAAGAATGTTCCAGTTGGCAGAATTCTCCCAGCATGATTTTTTTTGTGTATCACATAGTCCTGAAAGTAAGTAACATTAAAATCATGGACAATGAGTACATATATGAGACACATTATATCTCATTTGGCTTGTCATCCTGCAGAATTTGAATACAGTAAAGAGTCCTATTTTTACCCCTTCAAGTGGACGTCATGAACATGGTCTCTTGAATCTTTATCATGCTATGGAAGGCATCAGCCACCTCCATCTTCTTGTGGTCAAGGAATATGAAATGCCACTTTACCGCAAATATTGGCCCAACCATATCATGCTGGTTCTACCTGGCATGTTCAACAATGCAGGAGTTGGTGAGTAAGACGAGAGTCTAGAATATGGATATTTTCATTTTGTTTGCAAGCTGGAAAGAAGAGAGAAAAATCCATGATAAGGACAGATGAGTGTTTCTGCAATTGTATAAAAAGATTTCAATCTAGTTAACAGTAAACTTTTAAATAGTTATAATTTCCATTCTTTGTAGCATCTTTATGTCTATTGTTAAATTCATGTACATTTTATTACTTTTTAAAAACAAGAATTTTATTTTTTTTAAAAAAGTCATAGATGCACAATTAACCAATCTTCAAACTTTAAACTTAAAAAAACCTTGAAAAAATAGAGAAACAAACTAAAAATATAAGAAAGAAAGAAAAAAAACCCCCCTACTTTGTATCTTAAAGTTACTGAGATTGAGAAAAACAATCTAGCTTTAATTTAGAATCTGTTCCTCTTTGGACTTTTCAAGCTCTTTTTGCCACTCAGAAAATCAGAAAAATCAGTCTCCCTGTTATCTATTTTCAGGTGCTGCCAGATTCCTAATTAAAGAACTTTCTTACCATAACCTGGAACTGGAAAGAAATCGTTTGGAGGAACTGGGAGTTAAACGTCAGTGTGTTTGGCCATTTATTGTTGTCATGGATGATTCTTGTGTCTTATGGAACAGTCATGTTGTCCAAGAACAATCTAGGTAAGTTTGTCAAGGCTGATGTGGCACTAAGGACTAGGAGCAGAATCTTGGATCAGTCTTAATGGCATATCCACTGGTTCAAGGCAAGAAAGGGCAAGTTTGCTGTGATGATGATATTTGATAACATGAAATAGATATTCATTTAGGCATCTAAAATAGGATATTTTATGACCACAGGGTCGAATTAGTAAGCTGGCACCTTTGCTTTGTTAAGAAAGCATATAAGAAAGCTTTCATATAAATATTGCACCAAAGTGACTAAAATGCTTGAAACACTGTTCGGCACCTTAGCTGTATTTACTGTTTGAAATTAAGAGCTTTTTTAAAAATAAAGGGCAATTATGCTAAGAATAATCTCAATTGTATTCTGTGGTTTATCTTTCTGATTTTAAAGCCGTTATTCAATATTATAATGCAGTAGTATGTGCCCATTAATGAATTTAATAGAGACGTGATAGTATACTTTGATGGTTGCATGATTACCCTATATTTAACTTGGAACTCTATTGGTTTAAGATCCATGTTTTTAGTTCTGTGTCTTTTTCCCTTTTATATTTCTCATTCTTAGTTAACTGTCCAAATTGTGACTATAGTTCAGTGTCTATACTCACTGACCTCTTCTCTATGTACTTTATACACCCATTGTAAATTTACTACCATGGCAGACTAGTCCAAATGTAATTGTATAGAAAACATAGGTAACAACAAATACAGGTTCTGCTCTGATTTCTTTGACTTGGTTGTTCACCTTTCATTCCATCTTTCTTTCTTTCTTTCTTTCTTTCTTTCTTTCTTTCTTTCTTTCTTTCTTTCAAATTATAATTGTTTTGGAATGCGTTTTGTGGCATCTGTTTGGATGCATTCGATGGAATCTCTATCTTCTGAAAGTCGGTGGTCTTAAATTAGCATTATTGCATTGTCCATTTACAACAACCCTATACATTTTCTCAATTTTTGAAGACCTTACTACCTCCTAAAAGAGAGTGCATATAATTTTTTTTGTATGGAGTTGGTGTATGAGAGAGAAGATTTTGGGTGCTCCAATACTGCCTTCCCTCAAAGAACTCTGTTGCTAATGTCTGACTATACAGGCTGTTTATTGCTTCCCTACATGCAGTAACTTACAACAATGGCTAGAAGATTTGGGCAAAGTGCTTAGTTGCAAAATTCATGTCACAATCTCATGCCACTTTCACTGTTCCTAATGGTATATTTAATTCAGATGGAATGATGGCTTGGTATCATGCAGCTTCATTCTACAGTAAGATGTTTTGCAGGTGACTGAAAGCTCACACAGTGAATTGAAAATATGGATTGGAGGCTGCTGCGAGCAATTTGTTTTGTTTCCCTTTTCCAGGAAGTAGAGGGTGTAAGAGAATTTTGTTCTTCCAAAATGGAAAATGTTGGAATGATAAACTGAGGACATGATAATTTTTTGCATCCTTTTTTTGATCAGATATAAAACATTGATGTTCCTTGTCTATTTTCTACATGCTGAAATCTGAAGGAGACAACCACACAATCTGCTTGAAAACAATTGAGATATATTGGGCAGTGAAAATGGTGCTATCTGGAAGTCCCCTAAGATACCCAGTACTAGTATCTTCATAAAAATAGCCACTTCTTGATTAGCTTAAAATACTGAAAGGCCATAGAATGGCAGCTTAAGTCTAGTTCTCAGTGATCCAAGGAGATTGCTGCATTTGTTGTACCATTTTACATGTTTATTTCCTAAGCACATTATCTTTACCTATGTGTTGTAGATATCACTGTGATGTAATATAATCATATGTTTTGGCTTTTTGCCTTTCAGTAGTCAGTGTATGGATCAAGGATCAACCAGTAAAAATGTATCTCTAAAGAGTGTTCTACAGCATATTGAAGCCACACCCAAAATTGTCCATTATGCAATAGTGGGCATCCAGAAATGGAACAGCAAATTGAATTCTAGAGCACCCAAAGTCCCCTTTTCCAGATGCCACATACATGATTTTATACTGCTTAACATAGACCTGACCCAAAATGTGCAATATGATCTGAACAGGTGGGTAAAAGTATGCAAGTCAAATATGGTGCTAGCTTGGATGTCTTCATGTATTTTCTCTCCTTGTCCTTGCCTGCCTACATTTTCTCTAATAAGAGAAGTTCCTACATAACATTTTCCCTTATTAGTTATTTGAAACATGGTGAAGTAGGAGGTTGATATCTGCTGGAAAGAGGATTGCATAATGAAGGGCAGAAAGCTTGCCTCCATTCCTCCTGAGCACTTTGTAGAGATTCAGGCGCAAGAATATCATATTTTATCCATGAGATTTTCACCAGCATTTTATTTCATCAGATTGAATGAATATTAATAAGGGGTGGGGAGTGAGAGGAGGCAAAATAATTTTTCTGCCTGGTGTAATTGATACCGTACCTCTTTAGCAGCTTGCTATTGGGACATTGTGCAGGTGAAAATTGTTATTTGGAACTCATTTACTATCCAAGATTCAGAATTGGGACCGAGGAAATTCACTTGTCTTCCCAGGGGCTATAATCTGGTAGGAAGAAGGAACACATTGTGTTAGCATTGTTTTAAATGTTTTATTTGGGAGGCGATGTATGTGAAGCCTCTAAGCAAGTGACTATATCTTAGTGTGTAAATTATATGGAGCACTAACAGTAAAACATTTGTACATTTACAGTCTTTTGTTGTTATTTTGTATTGTAGAATTCTAAGCTAGACGTCCTAATTAGTTTCCTAAGCTTATGATTTCCACTAAGATTTCAGCTCTATAAAGTCTCAATGAGCATATCTAATATCAGAGAAAAATTCTAGGAATTGTAGTATCAACATATTAGGAGAGCATTAGGTTACATATAACCACATGTAAATCTGTGTTCATTTGTTTAGGTATTTCTGTGAAGATGTAGATTTTAATCTGAGAACAAACAGCAGTGGCTTGCTTATCTGTTGTTTTAACAACTTCAGTCTTATGAAGAAACATATCCAGGTTGGCGGTCAAAAAGACTTTGATATTAAGCCTAAAATCATGGTGAGTGGAAAAAGAAAATGCTTTTTTATATTCCCTTCTCTTCTCCCTATTTCCATTTCCTTATGAAGTCATAGATATGGGGAAAGGTTTCCAAGGGACAAATCATTGATCTTTCAGGGGTAGTGGTCCAAGGGTACATTCAGTGCTTGGCAATGGGTCACGGTAAGGTCTGGTTGATCTGATTGATTTGCAATTGATTGGCGAGTCATTGGGAGTCAGGTGACATACAAACTTAATGTAATTATTATTGTTATTTATGGCCTCTTTAATGAAAGGAGTAACCTACCTTCCTTTCCCAGTCATTAAAATACATTACTAAAATAAGAAATCGTAAAAAAATCATACAACTGCTTTTATAAATGGTACTAGTCCTTTTAGAACTTGATCATCTATTGATGGATACTCTTAATACTCTTAATGGTCTTGGTTCAACTCACAAATATTTGTTGTGGTAAAACTTCCCTAATAAAGAACTGGGTTTCCTCAATGTTTTCCTTCCATTTGTATCTAGTCACTTGATAGGGTTCTAGAAAAACAAAAGAAAATCAGTCCAGCAATCCAGAATCTGCACTTTTCCAGAAAAGGGGAATTTTCTTGTGGGAAGATCTCTGGAGAAAGGAAGGAAATCAGATGAGTGAGAGTACCCAGCAACTTTTTCTTCCCCCATCCCTACATAGCTATTGGCACCAACTCTCTGGTGGGAAAGTCCTGGAAATGTGTTACTTTGCATTGTGTTCTGCTCTAGGTCATCAACATGGATGTGCCTCAAGCATCTCGTTTGATGCCCAAATGGTATCAATCCCACTTGACTTTGTATAGGTGTCCAAATGACAAAACAGCTGGTTCATGTCCTGATCATCTCACTATCAGATAAACATGTTCACTGGATTATCCAGAACAGTGCAATTGGCACTAGATTCCACCCCACCACATCTAATGGGCTCTTCTGTAAGGTTTATAATCTCTTAGTTGATAGGACCAGATCCTATTAGATGAAAAGGGAGGGAAAGAATTTCTTGTTCTATATCAGTGTTTCTCAACCTTGACAATTTTAAAGCATGTGGACTTCAACTCCCAGAATTCCACAGCCAGCAATGCTGGCTGTGGAATTCTGGGAGTTGAAGTCCACATGCCTTAAAATTGTCAAGGTTGAGAAACACTGTTCTATATGAATAAGTTTTATGACTTATAGTCTCTGGTGTCCTTCCATTTCAAGCCATTGCTTTACTTATTAATTGGTTACAGTATATTGATATATGTATATATATATACAGTACTTGCTGACTTCTCCATGTGATGCAATCTTATTAGTCTTTTTTCCATCTATTTGCTTTACATATATCAGTGATGGCGAACCTTTTAGAGACCGAGTGCCCAAAACCTGGCCCGGCCCCCCGCTCCACCCCCTGCCATGCCCCTGCTCTGCCCCCACACCATCCCCCACCCTGCCTGTCCGCAGGGCCACTCACCACTTCCAGGGCCCGCCACAGATCGCCCAGCAGCGCCATGGCAGCCACACTCTGCCCGCACCCCGCAGCATCAACTGTGCGCGATGGGGCGTGAGGGCAGAGTCTTGTCTACACCGCCTGGCTGCCATGTCCTTGGCTGCGCTGCTCCACGTGGGCCACGCTCAGGGGTGACTCCTCCAGGGGGGCTGCTGATGAGGAGAGGGTCGTGGGGGGAGACAAGGCTGGGGCAATGGCACGTGTGCCCACAGAAAGGTCTCCAACAAGTGCCACCTCTGGCACGCGTGCCATAGGTTCGCCACCACTGACATATATCATGAAATATTTTAGCTTTGTACAGGAACTCTGTTTATCAATTGTGCTCTGTGCTCATCTTTTTCTATTCACATGGCCTTCTATTTCTTTCTTGATAATCATTCAGCTATTCAGATTGCTATCAAATAGGCTAATCATTGGATCCATAAACAAGAAATCAAATATAACCATATTTGATAGATATTTTTCCTTCTGCAGTTGGCACATGTGCTATTTGCTACCTGGCTGATTTCAAAGAATACTTCTAAGAAACTGTAGTGCAGTACAGGAATCAGGCCTAGGATAAAGGTTGCTTTTAAAAAATAATAATGAAAACTCACAAAAAACCTTTGGGGTTATAAAACATTTTGAATTTGAAATAGTTTGAGTTCAAAAGAGGTTGCTGCAATCTATAGCTCTCATTATTTTAGAAGTGTTTCATGTTTTAACAAGGCCTGTTTTGATTTTGACACAAGTGTTTTAAGTTCATAACTGAAAATGTTAGGAATAATTTACTATGAATGTGAAATTCACAGATATGAAATGTTTTGGGCACTCATACTAAAATTCTTTCTAAGGGGGATTTTTTATTTGTTTGCTTATTTACACAGTCCCTGTAAAAATATGAGTGCCTGTTATAGAATTATTTTAATTCTTTCTTACTGGTTCCCCCCCCATCTTGTTTATTTATTTTCCAATTTTATTAATTTTATAAATAATAGTTTTATAAATGTTTTTTCATGCCTAAGGTGGAACTAGAACTCATACCCTTCTGGTTTTTAGCCTGGTACCTTCACCACTAGACCAAACTGGCTCTCCTCCTGTGTAGGAAGTGCTGGCTGTCCAGCATCACTGATCTGTGTTGTTACTGTTGCTGGGTACCACTTCCAGTTTTATGTACTTATTTAGCATAGGCAACCACTGCCCACAAGAGAAGGTCCACAGAAGGATAGTGTGCCAAACACTGTTTAAGCTTGGCTCCATTTTTTTCTTATTTTTTTTCCAGTCTGCCCAACATTTTAAACTGATAGTTGAATGCTAGTTGCAACCTGAGCTTCCTAAATATATTCAGTATATTTCACATGGATGTATTGTTTTCCTGTCTAGGTTTCAGAAAGTTTGACTCCACTAATACCTCTTCAGTATGTTTGTGCTCCAGACAGTGAGCACACCCTGTTGGCAGCTCCAGCTCAGTTTCTTTTAGAGAAGTTCCTTCAATATGCCACATACAAGCTTTTCCCAAAGGCCATCTACAACTTTAAAAACCCTGTCTTAGCTGTTGATTGTTATTTGAATATTGGGCCTCAGGTATGTATACAGAAACTTTGTATTTTACAACTCAGTAGAAAAATAAAGGCTTCTCTTTGAAAAGAGTGAATGTGGGAAGGCAATTCCAATCTTGAGACTTTTATCTTTTATTGGTAAAGCTGAAGCACCGATATTACTCTTTTTAATTGCTTTATCGATATTTTGAATGTTGAGAACCATTCGCCCGGATATTTTACTCTCTCTCTTTTAAAACGTTTGGATAAACAATCTAATGCTCTTAGGCATATTGTAGATTCTTTCCATCTATTTTTACTGTTTAAACCATTTTTGCTCCAGTTTTCTTAAACTGACTTGTGCATTTTGGAAACAGTTATTGTTAACTGTTGATCCTTAAAGCGAATTTGATGAGATATTTATATTCATGTTGAGGTAGGAACATTTTAAAGACAGAAGACTTAAATGTATGTATCTGTTCCCATTTTCTGGTATAGGTAGCTCTTTGCTATGTAAGTTCACGGCCACATTCAGTTAATGTGAACTGCGAAGGGGTGTTTTTCAGTGGTCTTCTTCTCTACCTTTGTGACTCCTTCGTTGGACCAGACTTTCTTAAAAGGTTCAAATTCCTGAAAGGTAATGTGATTTCTGTATAGAACTTGCTGACTGGTCCCTAACAAGGATAGATTAAACTCCCCAAAATTGCCATTATATGCTGTGCAATGTTAATGTAGTAAAATGAACAGTTATTAGAATAATGGTTTGTCTGCATAACTCGAATAATGACTTGTCTGCATAATTGCTAGAATAATGTAATGCATAATCACTGGGAAAATTCACTGGGAAAGTTCTGTGTCAGTAATATGTGGCTAACCAAATGCGCATTGCACATGGATACTTTGTATGTAGCAAAACCTTCCATTGTATGCCCGTGAGAAACGGTCCAAATGTATTACAGTGTATTACCATGTGTAGTCCCTTTGTTCCTGAAAGAAGGGTAGTATAAAAACTGAAGTCTAATCCCGCCCTCCTCGTTCAGAATTGCCTATCTCTATATGCCTCTGAACCTGCGCAAATAAACCTCTCTGCTAAACCCCTCTGGAATTCATAAGAGTTCTTTCGTTTTCCACAAGAATGTAACGACCCTTATTTGACAAAGTTGTAGAAGAGTAATGAAAAGCAGCGTTGTCCTCCAGTTCCAGTCCCACTTTCACTTTCTGATTCTCCAGCACCTTTACACCTAAAACATGAAAAAGCCAGAAGCAAAATAGTCTCAACCTTGGTTCTTAAATGCATACTCATTTACGTACGGTCTGTTCTCTATTTTTTGGGAACATATTAAATAATTTTGAATTAGCTGCTTCTTAATATCCTAGAAGTTATCTATTTTTTTATTCCTGAAATACTGGAAAACCTATGTAAAGAGCCTGAGGCTCTGTCCATCAGCACAATCTCTCTCTGAAAACTGAACGGAATGTGATCACATTTGATATGCTTCTGTAGGAGAGAGGCAGTTGGTCAGTTCCCTGGAATGTAGCTGAGTTTCATCTTGAGCTCCTTTCCGTCCTTATCCCATGACCCAAAGGAGTCACTGTGCAGCCTGCCCTGAACTTTCTACTCATAAGTTGAGGACATTTGTATTGTCTCCTGTGGTCTAGCCATTTGACAGAAAAAAGGCAAAATATTCAATAGCAATAACAGAATTCTATTTCTCTTTAATATTAGCAATAGCATTTAGACCAGGGGTTCTCAACCTTGGCAACTTTAAGACTTGTGGACTTCAACTCTCAGCAAAGCTGGCTGAGGAATTCTGGGAGTTGAAGTCCACAAGTCTTAAAGTTGCCAAGGTTGAGAACCCCTGATTTAGACTTATATACCTCCACATAGTACTTTACAGCACTCTGGACAATTTATGTTGGCATATTGCCCCCAACAATTTGGATCCTCATTTTACTGACCTTGGAAGGCTGGACGGCTGAGTCAATCTTGAGCCAGTTAGGATCAAACTTCTGGCTGTGAGCAGAGTTTGCCTGCAATACTACATTCTGGCCATTGCGCCAGACCATTTACTATTACTCTTTAATATTACTTTCTTTTAAGGGTGCAATAATGTTTCCAAGCAATAGAGAGCAATCACAGAAGATAAATGTTGGGGAAATTAAACTGTGGTATAAACTGTATGCTATTTAATTTTATCTTTTAATTTTAGGTGCAACACTGTGTGTGATATGCCAAGACAGGAGCTCCTTGCGTCAAACCATTGTCCGATTAGAGCTGGAAGATGAGTGGCAGTTCCGTCTGAGAGATGAATTCCAAACGGCTAACAGCTCTGATGACAAGCCACTCTATTTTCTGACTGGGCGCCATATATAAGCTTGAGCCAATGGCACAGGACACAGGAGAACCTAATGAGCTGGATTATATCTTTTTCCTTATTTCAGTTAATGTACAATCACTGTGGAGTAAAGTGCAACCTAAGACTTGTGTTCAATCACTATTTTAAGGATTTCCCCAATTTCAGGCCTAGTTTTAGAAGTTTTCTCTCTTATTTTATGATTGAAAGAGCATTGATCTCAAGTTAATTCCTTCGGGATCACTGATTTAGAAGATGATGTACCCACTGTGACTAAGATATGGAGAAATCTTTTCAAGGGGAGGGGGGGATGAAATTACGTTCGATCTCTGCCAGCTTGAGTTACATGAGGCCCATACAAGACAAGTGGGATCATCTGAAGATAATGTATTGAGGAATGCTGTCCATTTCTCTTCATATCTGTACTTTTGGTACGGTCTAACTCAGGGGTTTAAAACTACAAAACACAAGATATTTGTGTTTGAAAGAATAATCTTTATTCACTTTCTGTGCAGTGTTAGGTGAAGGTTTGTTATTTTTTTTCTGTATTGAAACTGTTTTGGCAAAGTTTCCACAAAAGTTAAAACGTTTACTACAAAAGCCTGAACAAATCAGTGAATGTATGGCAGGCATTTATATAAAGATGCAGGTTTGGGCTATCGTTATTGATTTAAATCCAGACATCCTATGTGAAGAGAGAATCTGTGCAGGTGATACGATAACTTTTTTCCTTCGACAATATATATGGAACTGGATCCCAAAGGAGAGGCTGCATCCAAACCTGCTTTTTGCACTCAGATCATCATGGACCATAGTTTGAAAAGCATCTGCTCAGCCAGCCTAAATAGATAGCTTTTGCATATTGTTTCCTCAGTGTATTTAAGCTCCACCAATGATTTCTGTCCTCAGTGTGTATGGTATGTTGTTTTGAAATGGCTAAATAACCTTCTTGTTTCTTGCATAGCTGAAATTCCTGGAATTGTTTCTGCAGTGGATGCCTCACATGCTTCAGCTTTCTCAAGTACTGGGGATAGAAAATGTTAGTTTTGTGCTTTATGAAGAGCATTTTACTATTCTATGATGAAGAGACTGAGCACAGAACAGGAATAACAGGGCTTAGTACTTTATTATGTAATTAAATTATAAAAGTCCTTTAGGAATCACTTTCCATTGAATTGGGACCAGCAACAGATGCCATGCTTTCCAACTATCTAAAACACACCTAGAAAAGTGGGCCAGTCTACAGGATTTGAAGCAGTTGAACACTGGCCCAGTGGGGCTCATACAGCTCTGTTCCCCCTACTTGCCTGTGTGAGCAACTGGCCAAATGGAGGCACCATAACAGGGCGGTATTCCTGTCTGGATCTGCCACCTTGGCGCCATGCTTCTGTTCCAAAGCTCAAGTAATTTTAGATGGCACAGAATTGGGATATGGGAGGTAGGTCCAGAGTATCTCTTGCTGCAATGCCTCTTGCACTGCTTGCACAGGTGTGTACTTTGGTGGGGAATGGGAGAACTGGAGCATTCTTGAGCTTAGCACAACTCCTTCATATGCAAATACCGTGTATGTGCTTGACTGGATCAAGCCCTGTACTTTTTATTTGTTTGAATTAGAGAGAAAGAGATGTATTAAATTTTAAATAGGCATTAAGTTGTGTAAAAGTGAGGTTCTTTGCACCAGCACTTTGTGCTGTGAAATATGCTGAGTGTTTAAATGAGTCTAGTACAATCAGGTCTTCATATTGCAGTTAATAATACAGGTAGTGCTTGACTTATGACTACAATTGACCCCAAATTTCTGTTGTTAAGTGAGACGTTTGTTATTTTATGACCTTTCTTGACTCAGTTAAGTGAATCACTGCAGTTGATAAATTAGCAACTTGGCTGTTAAGTGAATCTGGTTTCCCCGTTGACTTTGCTTGTCAGAAAGTTGCAAAAGGTGATCACATGACCCTGGAACATAGCGAAGGTCATAAATATGAAACAGTTGCCCAGCATCTGAATTTTGATCACATGACCATGGGGATGCTGCAAAGTTTGTAACTGTGAAAAACGGTCATAAGCCACTTTTTTCAGTGCTGTTGTAACTTTGAACGATCACTAAATGAACTGTTGTAAGTCGAGTACTACCTGTAGACAGAATTCCCTTATTTCCTCCTTGTTAGTCAGTTTTCAATTTCTTTTTATGTTATCCTTTACTGTAGTTCTTCCTTTGGACACAAATCTTACATTTCTTGCACAGATATTTAAAGTTGTGCAGCCTATTTCATAAGATGGTGAAAACAAATAGCAATTTGTTTGGGGCTGTTTAAATACAAACAATGATACCTGCAACTTTCAAATGAAGCACCTGCCCAAACTGCATTTAGAACAAAGTGTTAATCATGCAACTTTTTTTACTTTGTGAAAGAGCTGTTTACAAATAATGAAAAGCATAATATATTGAAGTTGAAAGGGAAGTAATGGTTTTCAAATCTATTGTTTTTATTGTACTTTTACATAAATGTAGCATATTTCAAATGAACAATTGTTTACTTTAGTATATTCTTTTTTAGTACCCTTATAATATTTGCCTTATACTTTAATAAGTACCTTTACATTTGGGGAATAGAAATTTGCATAAAAGTTACAAGTAGGGGATGTCAGATAATCTATGTTTCATTGTGGTTTTATGAGGCTGAACATAATTTGTAAATGTTTCCAAAGAGTTGCCATTTTACTGCAAATTTTGCAGATTGAAAGCTTTTGAAATCTTCTTTATATATTTGAAGTTTGCACTATGTTCTTAAAATTCCAGGTGCTTTGACCCTTAATAAAGAGTATAAAAATAGAAGCTGAGAATTTAGGGATAAAGGGTCTTTTCACACAATCGGGGTTTGGGGCCATATCTGAAGGAGAATGTAAGTGGTTACAATATCTGAGTAAACACTATGTTTTATACATAAGAAAATGTATTTCCTGAGTAGCAGATTCTTATTTTATTTGATGCACCACATGGTTTTTTCTACTGTTGAGTTGTAATCACAGCATGAAGTGTTTAATTCACAAGCTATTCAAATTGTGCAGTTTTTATTTAGTTTACTAGTGCACTCCCTGTTGAACAAATTGTGCAGGAATATATTTTGTTTGTTTATCATTGATTGATGTATGAAAGCTGTACTCTCTCTTATTACTAAGCAATGTTTTGTGTGATTGTGTGGAAAGATCTTAAAAGATATTTTCTAAATTGGACAAGAACAATCGATAGTTCAACATAGTTTCACGAAAGCAAAGACAGAAGAGTTGTGGTTAAATATTTTTTGAAACCTCTTCAGTAAATGTCTTCACAACCTCAATGTTAAGTTTTCTGTAATACAGTGAAATAAATTCTGAATGTGATAAGTGGGATAGGAGATCAGAGCAAGATACCAAATGTTTTGATGATGATATTTCATTTACAAGCCTTGTAGCAAGGTGATATGAATGTATTAAAAGGCCAGCATTATTTTACCTGTGAGCTCGTTAAATATAAATAATTGACAAGTCCCAGGTTATACTGAATATAATCTGTAATTTTTTTAAAAAATGACTCAGATTCTATTTCTGTAATTTATACAATTACTTTATGTGATCTCTAAAAAAAATGTTGTTCTCTTAGGACTGCTTCACACTTGACCCGTTTCCTACTGAGATAAACTTTCAAGAAATAAAGCACGCGAATATATATATATATATATATATATATATATATATATATATATATATATATATATATATATCTCCAAATTCAGCTTGTCAACAATTCATGTTTATCTTGTTTCCTACATAGAGCTACTCGCTCTATAGGAAGTTCTTCAGATTTGAAGCAGTCCTTGGTGAAAACCCTTTCAACCAAAACATGGTGAATTTAGCTTCACTAGTCAGTCTACCTCACATTTATTTTAACTGAAGTTGTCTGCAATTATGTCTATAGTATGTTTATAATGTTCTTTCATTAAATTCAGTAATGTTATTATCTTTGAAGTGTTGGTCTTAATATAGTGCAAACTCTCTGTGGGTCTACATGAATGAAATACTTTTAAGCCTCTATTTCCATTATACAATCCAATCTTTTAATTTGGTTTTGCGTTGCTTGTTCTTCTAATTTTGTTAAAGGGAATTGATGTACATTTTTAGTTTAGAATTAGAATTTAAAAAATTAGAAATAATGTTTCACAATTATTTTGAGTAATTACACTTTCGGAATACAATAGCGTCTAAAATCAGTGGTTTTTCAGCTTGGCAACTTTAAAATGTGTGGACTTCAACTCTCCTGGCATGTGGGTTGGGGAATTCTGGGAGTCGAAGTCCACACATCTTAAGAGTTGCCATAGTTAAAAAACACTGACATATATTATGCTGTTTGTATCACTTCAGATAAAAGTATGCTAGGTTACTTTTTTGTCCATTTCAGAAGCCTAGCCTTATGTGAAGGTACAAATCCATATAAGTAGGAACCAGTGTATAAATATTTAAACTTTCCTTTATATTGGCATAGGTCCTCAAATATCACCAAGAAGTTGCAATTTTAGTATGTCCCCAAGATGCCCCTTTGTTGATGGAAAAAAGTATTGCTTGGGATTAGATAGGACTAAATGGACCTGCAGGATACATATTGGTGACATCAAGTTTTATCAAGCTTCAAAAAGAGTAGTGTAATTGTTGTCCACTCTGTGCATGAGGGAACTAACCTCTAATTGTAATTTAGAAGTAACCAGTTAAAGGATATAAGAGCCTTTACTGTAGGTCATCAATCCTACTGGAAAACAAATATTTAATATTCCCACTGTTAATATGTGTAGACCAATGTAACAGATCCTTTTATGGGGAACCTGATTCAATTCATATAATACACTTATTAGTCTAAAGCAGAGATCATATTATTTCTCCACTGTTGAAATAGCTAGATGTACTTCTGTTTTATGGTCAGATTCTGCACCATGTCAATAGTTAATCAATTAAATGCTACTTATGTTTATTAGGTTTACACTATATTGATTCCTCAGAATTTTTATTTTGATCAATTACTGATACAATAAACTTAATAATTACTCAAATAGCTGATACATAAGCTAATAGTTAAACTTGTACTAGCTAATCATTAATCCAAGGTGACTGTAGATGCTTAGTTATCTATGTCAGGAAGCAATGCTACAGCATTTGCAAGGAGTTTTATTATGCACAGGAGCAGAACAAAGCAGCTCTTTGTTAAAAAGCTATTGCCTTTTTCAAAGCTCATATAATGCTTCATAATTACAAAGACAGCCATAGCAGCTTCTAAACAATACACACAAACTTACAAAATACATGGCTGCTGTTACAGAAGAGATAAAAATTTCCTTAAAATTCAGAAAGTTGTGGAGAAACTATCTTCTGATTGAAGTAATACAAGAAGAGCTCATGAACTGATGGCTCAATACTACACAGTCCAAAACTTACAGTTAAGATCAATAGGCCTGCCTCAATATAGAGATACTTGTTTTATCCCCCTTGGGAAATATGAATTATGAGTGTCACCAAGATTTAAGGCTTAGAACCAACCTTAAGAATAGCCAATGGGAGTTCTAGCCCTCCATTTTAATTGCAATTCTGTAAAATGATGACAGAGATACATTAAAAAAAAGTTCAATAGAAGGAAAAGTTTTAAGAAATTCATGATTACAGCATTTCTTTTGCAGGCTCTATGAATGATTCCAGATTTTAAGTTTTAGAAAGAAGGTATGCTTATATTTTGGGCCTAGTATAACCTCAAATTAACAAGATAATAATCTACTTTATGATTTGACAATATCTTCCCGTGAAAAGGTGATCGTATTAGCATGACTAAGCATGAAGGTAGCCGTTCTGTCTATAACATATTCAGGGTAGGAAACGGCTTAAATACTAACCAGTACTATTTTTTTTTCTCACACAGAATTATCCAGGAATGGGACCACAAGCCTATTTTGTATGTAATGAACCTGAAAAAGTATTAACATTAAAATCCATTGTGTTACTGAAGAACAGATCTCTTGAAGACATTTCTGTAGCAAACATTGGAACTAGACTATTAAATTATACAAGGCATTGTTTTGAACTGGTCAAGCTACTTGTAGATTGTAATATTAAGTTACATGCTTGTGATCACCAAAATGTAAAAGCTACAACTGTTAACCACCCAAAATCATTATTACACCAGACCAGTGTTTCAATCAACTTTTAATAGTCAGTAATATCAAAGACATTGCTTAAATACATTTACCATTAGTAGATTAATTAAAAGTTATCAAAAGTTTTCTCTTTAAATCTACATTATATACATGTCAAGAAAGGCCACAGCAGTTTTTCATTATATACACCCTCTGAAATAAGAGGGGTTTTAGGCTAATGTATTGTGAAGTCCACAAATTAAAGTATATACCCAATTTGCTATTGCTAAAGTATAGTTGGAGGCATACTTTTCAAAAGGAGCTAGTATCTTTCTTTTTAAACTACTATTTCCATTCAACATATATAGTGAGCCAATTATACACTTTGATTAGATGCTATTTTTTATTGATCTTGAATACAGAATATTTTCACACCTCTACCAAATACAGATTGACTTTCTCATTGCCTTGGTATACTATTACATTGTGAACTTCAAAATATACTTAAAAGGCGACCATAGTTCTTGCACTAATTAACAGTCCACTATGAACAAATTATTTGCTGCATGTAAACATGGCTAGTGTACTAGAGATAATACATATTTTTTTATAAAAATATCTTTCAAAATTATCCTACTTCTGTGCTATTTACAATTTTAATAAAATACAACCATCATCTTTTTGGTTGTTACTACTCCTGAGTTCACTGCTAATAAAAGTCCAAACATCAGCAAACAAAGTTAATGATTTCTCATTACCTTTTATTATAAAGGTTACCACTTTGAGGCTGTTGTCCACTGAGAAAATTATATACCAAAAATTGACTAGTACCAAAATACTGTGTTGCAAACAATTTTCCATCCGGAGTAGGGTCAGAAAAAGCAATTTCTTCTTTACTTAAATATGAGCCATATATAAAATTGTTTCTGATTAAAGACAAGATAAAAAAAATCACTGTGACAAAATAAAACTGGCAAAGAAACTTTTTAAAAACATATACTTTCTTACTGGTCAAATAATACCTATGAATCAAGGTAAAAATACTGCCCTAAATACAATGTATTTTAATGCTTCTCAAAAGCCAGTATTCAGATGCTACCTAATCTTGTCTTCCTCTTAGAATTATCACACCTCTGAAATAGTCACATCTGCTCTCATAATTAAAAGAGTTTCCAAATAACAAGTAGTGAACAATTTAACAATTCTTAGTTGTGACTGGTCAGGGTTAGGGTTACTTCCAATTGATTAAATAGTATATGTATATACTAAATATGTATACATTAAATGCAGGGAAAGCGCCCCAGAGGGAGACCTGAGCTGGGATATAAGGATATCTGCAAGAGGGACCTAAAGGCCTTGGGAATGGACATTAACAGCTGGGAATCCTTGACCTCTGATCGTTCAGCCTGGAGGCTAAAGACGCAGCATGGCCTTCTCCAATTTGAAGAGACACTTGTGCAGCAGGCTGAGGCAAAGAGGCAGTCCCGGAACCAGTGAAATCTGGGGGCTGGACGGGGGACAGATTGTATCTGCCCTTAGTGTGGAAGGGACTGCCACTCTCAAATTGGCCTTTTTAGCCACACCAGATGCTGCCTTAGGACCTCCTTCCAGAGCACGATACCATAGTCTCTCGAGACTGAAGGATGCCAATGCCAATATATTAAATAGTATATGTAATGTAGGTGCCTGCTAATAGTTCATACTAATGCAAAAGGTCCTTACCTCAAGCATTCTAAAATCCGAGAAGCAATTTTCTTCCGTCGCATCATGCTGAACACCCAAATGCGACTAATGCCGCATATGGCAGGCTCAGGAGTTGTTGAGCAGCACCAGGCCTTTTGCCTTTCAAAAGTGAGCTTATCATTTTCTGAACTAACATCTGGAATCTTTTCTTCAATAACTCTGTACCCCTTGGGAAACAATAATAGCATACTTTATGATTGATCTTAATATTAACGTATTTATAATAACAAAGTCCTATTTTAACTATCTCCTTTCCAAATATGGTATTAATATCGGTCATATTTGCTGAGTAGCTCCAAACAACGTGATCATTATAATAGAAAAGAAATGTTATAGGAATGATTTATGTCAGCTGCTCCCCATGCCCAAGAATGAAATACCAACTGACAGCTAGTGCAGAGCTACAGTTCCGACGTGTCATGCACTGAAAAGGACCATTTTCCTTGGAATAGTTCTATAGATAACTACAAAAAAATTTATCTTCAGTAGCTTTGCTATTTGAAACAAAAGAGATGGCTAGAATTATGGGGAAATCCACTTGCCACACGCACTTCCTTTTCCAACAGATGGTTGAGGCACTTTACACACACCCCTCTCCCATAGAAGGAACATCTTTCTACAGTCATTACACAAGGAAATAGCTCAAAATGCAGACCTGCTGAGAGATCTTTCTCCAATGGATGAAAAAGTATGGCAGGAAAAATCAGCACAATCATTAGAAGACAGCAAAAGCTGCTTCTCTTTGCAGCCTTCTTCAAATGATAATGAATTTTGTACCAGTATTTGAGAGATTTACCAGCAGCCCTAAGAATTAAAACAGAACTGGCTGCTATAGAACGTGGAGTGCTGTGTTTTCTGCAACCAAGTGCTGCACTGCAGTTTTCAAATTGAAGCCTAAAAGTTGAGAAGATATCTCTGATACGTATTTCAGGTGGCTACTACAATAACTGCTGCCTTAAGAATTGGTATTTCTTTTTCCATTCTATCTCCATCCACTTTTTCCATTTTAGGTTATAAACAGAAATGGCCTTATTTTAATGATTAATTTTTCACAGGAAATAATCTCATAGGTTCCAACATTTTAAATAAAAATATATGAACTTTCTAAAAAAAATGTAAGTAAGAAAATAGTTATCCACAGTTTACTCACCCATTGAATATGTTCTGCAATTAAGCAGCCAATTACTTTTTTATCGTTAGAAATAAATAATAGGGTCTTAGTTCTGGAGCACGTTAGAGGAGCTTGTTGGAATCCCAGATCATTATCAACCATCTCTCTGATCTCATCAACCTGCCAAATAAATACCATAAAAAGCCTTAGTGTTTGACATGTCTGCTCTAGGTAATTTACAAAAATATTGTAATAAAGCTATCATTAAAATATTCAAAATCATATTTTTTAAAAAAAGAACAAAATATGCACTCTAACCAGAACACATTGGAAAAGCATAAAAGTATTTTTGCATAATTGATCAAAACTCAATACAGGTACAGATTTAGAATGTTTTGGTATGTAATTTGGAATTTAACCTAATTGGGGAAGGAAAATCTAACCCATCTACCCATATAAACACAAAAAATGTGCGTAAAAGAAAAACAAAACTGCGACAGTGGAACAAAACTTTAGAATATACAATGTACACTGGAATGTAACAGAACTAGAATTCAAATTATAGCATTAAGCTCTATAAACAAGCTTAATACAATCATAGAGACAGTAAGTTTGACACTAAGCCAAAATTTTCTGACATTCTGCATTCCAGTGATACAGTACACAATAGGTAAGCTGTCAATTTCTCTCACATTGCACAGAATAAGATACACTGGTTTGTTTCTGCTATTAAACTTGTCATGTCCTGCAAACAATTCCATTTAAATTCATTAGGGAAGATGGTTGATTTCTCACTATGATCTTTCAACTGAAAATTAAATTCATAGGCTCTACCGACACATTAAACTTGATATGCCCTTCTCATGCCTGTCTCATGTTAATAAGAACAACAGCTGAAATAATCAAAACGTGGAAAGTCTTGTATGTATTTGGCAACTTCAGTGATCAGAAAATGTGTAGGTTTTTATTATCACATTCTTAAGAATAACAAATCACTGTAAAAAGCTTATCAAAGCCTTTTCCTGTCCATGAAACAAAATATAGTTCAAGACATTTCACCTACCTTTCTCAGTGCATACTTGGGATCATCGGGAAGGACCATTATAATCTTACCATCAGGATACTCAGACAAAATTCTCTCTTTTTTCCACCCCTAAAAAGGGAAAAAAATGCTCAGCTAAACACAAAGCTTTTATACTTTTAGTCCATTGTTTAAAATTATACTTTTAGCTCGTGCTAAATAATTCACACTTCTTAGCAAACAACAATCCTGACTAGATGGAATTCTACTTCTCCTAAATATAGCTTCCACAGAAAATTATGAAAGTATTTTGCACTTTAAACTCTTTTAGGGCTGAGTGATACTTTGGGCAAAAGTTGGTTCTAGATACATAAAAGAGTTCAAACATAGCACATGCCCTCCATATCTGTTACATCATCCTAGAAAAAGGCGGCTGCTTTCAAGAGTTGTAGAGAGGTGCTGATCCAGCACTTTGTTGGATTGAAACATGAAGCATTGTGCAGCCCCAGTCTTTTTCCACCAGAATAATTATAAAATTCATCTATTAAGAATTAGGAAGCATATTTTCTTAATACAGCAAATTTCCCAAAAATCAATCCAGACCTTGTATGTGCAAGCAGGAGTATGTATATACATACACTATATAGCATTTCTTTAACACAGTTACCTCCACAAATATGTGTACATTTTGATAAGTGGCATGCAACAGACCTCCAGGAGGTTTTCAGTGAACTGAATAGCATGCAATGGTTCAGTGGTTCAAAAGATGAAATAATTTATTGTGTCACTAATTATAACTAATAGTCACAAAAATGAGACTATAAACGAATAGCTACCTTCTAACACCCTAAAGGGGAAAGTTGCTATGCTGTGTGTATCTGAAGTTAAACATACTCAAAAATGAGGTAATTAACTCTTCTTCAGATCCACACTGATGGTGATAAATGATCAGTACCTGCATGAAAAAACAAAACAAAAAGCCACTTAAGTCTATTAAGACTTAATTTTATCCATAAATTAAGAGTTCATGTTGTTTACAAAGGCTGCCTAAAGTGGTATTTATAGGAAGTCTAAAGAAAAGTACCATCACTAGGCTAATAAATCCAAAAGCCTTACTTATATTCATTAAAAAAAGGGAAGACAGAAAAAGAAAGCTCACTAAAAGTTAAACAATTAAATATATTCCACTGACACTTATATTTTCACTGCTACATACTGTTATAACATTCACCCAAGAAAGCAGGCTGAAATGACACTACCAATCTGTAGGAGAAGGAATGGCAGAACCTGGGGACAGGGTCAAAAGAGGAATTAACTTAAAGTTTCTTTATGTAATCACAAACAGATTAAATACAACTTTTGAATTCCGCTGACCCTTATCTAATGCCAAGATAGTGCTAACTAGTTGTATAAATTCTTGTGCATAGGCATGATTAGTAATAAATCAGTTTAATTGGAAGTTCACTTGTGGTCCTGGTCTTTTGAGGTTAACACAATCATTCAAATAAAGATCTTTCTGATATCATTTGTGATAACAATTACATTTGATCATTTCATTTCATCAGATTTCTATGCCCACCTATTCATAAATCAAGTCACTTTGATTTTAGAGTCCCAAAATATTATTTTAACATCTGAAAACATTAATTGGATGATACTTTCCTAGGATTTATTTTATTTATTTAGAAAATGTATATGCTACCTACTCCTTTAATGGCTCTAGGTCAGGGGTATCAAACTCAATTTAATTGAGGGCCGCATCAGCATTGCGGTTGCCCTCGGGGGGCCGGGTGTGTGTGGCCAGGGTGGGTGCAGCCTACTGGGTGGGTGTGGATGGAGTGGGTGTGGCCTACTGGGTGGGCATGGCCAGCTCTACATCGTTCGCGTCAAGGGTGCCTGTGGGGGCCTGGGCAGGAGTGGGACAGATCTGAGGGTCTCTGGCAGAAGGAGGTGGGACTGGGGCAAGCGCCAAGGCATGGTCCATTTCTTCATTCCTCACAAAGGGTGACAACTCCCCAGCATGCACCCAGGGGGCGGGGCCAACACGGCAGGGGCTGGTTGCTCGCTGTTTCTAGACAGCCTTGTGGAGCTAAGACTGAATGTGTTTCAGCATAGATGGCCACCACAAAATTGTACATTGGCTCCCGGACAGCCTGGGCCAGGGCCAAGACAGTGGGGGCCGTTCCCTCACTGTTTCCAGGATGGTTTCCCGGGCCACATGAAATCACTTTGCAGGCCACATCCGGCCCCTGGGCCTAGTATTTGACATTTCTGTTCTAGGTAATTTACAAAAATATTGTAATAAAGCTATCATTAGAAACAAATATAAAAGATTAAAAACTCAGACAATAAAAGGCAAATAAATATGAATATTTTAGCCTTCTCTTAGAGGGTAATAAAGAAGGACTCAATTCAGCTCCAGTGTTAATTTATTCCAAAGCAATGCCATATCATCCCTCAATCATTGATTTATAGTTTTGGCATTCTTTTGTTTTATTCAATTAATTAAAAAAACTATTTAAAAAAGAAAAGGCAGAATTAACTGTTCATGTCAAATACTTTTGCAATGGTAGCTACAGCAGTTAATTCACTGATGTTATAAGAATGAGGAAAAATTATGAGCATATGAAGTAAGCTTTGAACATTATATTTTTTATGGTATTTAAAGTATTTTATTTAAGTTGACAATAGTTTTAGGACCTAAACATTAATTAAATAAACAAAATAAATGGTTGCAACAATAATTAATTGAGGATTAAGGTTTTTAAATATATTGAAACAGGATTTAACTCTTAATTCAAATTATTATTTGTGATATAGAAGGACACAAAATTATATCACAGAAAAGATTTAACTTATTTTCTATAAATCCACCCAGTTTGGTTATGATGTTTCAAAAGTCCAGTTTTAGCTGGAAACAAATACCAATAAAAATTGCATACATTTGGATTGTAATGAAATATTAATATATGCTACTAAATAACAAGCAACTTGTGTTATAGCTTGACTGAGTTTTCTATTTTGAATTAAAGCCTAGCAAAAATATTTTTTTAAAAAATAGAAAAGGAATATACTATATTGAATTGAAAAGCAGAGGTTAAAAAACTGATGCCCAAATTTCACCTTAAGCTCTGATCATTTAATTATTCAATCATTTTTTTACTGTCCCACCACCACTGCTTTTCCAGATACTTTAAAAGTCCTGCTCTACAGAGCTTTAGTAATGTATTTCTTCTGTAAAGTAGGCAATAGTTTACAGGTAGGTCAGTAAGATCATGAAACTAGTAAGAGCTTTTGTAAATGATTAAATCACCAGCTAGATTTGAACCAGTTTGTATTTGTGTGGTAGACTTTGGAAGCAGCTGGGGGGAGTTCAATTCAATTATCCTGGAGGTCTTATCAATATCAATGCAAGTTATGGAAGGTAACATGTATGATAAAGAAAATAGAGTTTTAGCAGTCTGAATATAAATTGCAGGGGAATATAATGGTCAGTTCAACAATCTTGTATGAAATATGGTTTTTAAACATAAACTGTGCTATTGTGCAATTAAATGCTAATTATTTTCTACTAGCCAAACAAAATTTCACACTAAAATACCACTATGGCAATATTATTTTCACAGCGTATGTAAAAGCATAACATAATGCATGTGCAATAGGGCTATAGAGTGCTTTTGATCTGATTCCAAAAGTGGTTCAAAGCATTCCTTCTGCAGCTGCCACATGATTCCTGGAAAAGACACCGCTGTTTTAAAGGGTGGCAGACAGGTTTCCAAGTACTTTGAACACCTTTTTGGATTTGAACTGAATCCAAAGCACTATAGAGACAGTATTAGGTAACTTAGATGATATAATATTTACTCACTAAAGAATTAGTTAGGAAAAATGTGAAAAAGGATGATTCATTACTTTATTTAAACTAACAAGTAAAACATTTTTAAATGGATTTGACTGTTGCTTTAAGCATAATTTTGAATAATCCACTGAGACTATATAAAATACTTTATGCTTTGGAGCAAAGAAAAAAAATATTCTTACCACGTATTTTACTGCACTTATAAACTGGTTATGAAAGAGCAGATGTTGGGTTTCATCCTCAGGATTTGAAGCTGTATAAAGCATTCCACAAATATTACAGGAAATAGCACCAAACCGTTTTTGTCCTGCATCCTATATATTAAAAGTTAAAATATAGTTCATGAAACAAACTTTCCTAACCAAATAATACAATTTACTGAACAGAAATAGCTGCAAACCCATGTCATTAAAATACACAATTAAAGCACTTTCAATATCAAGGATAGCAAATTTGAAGAGCACTCAAAATACATTTGTTGTGATCTGAAGCAAATTAGCTCATGGCAATACTTAAGGGCTAATTCATCACCAGAAAAATAACATGATCTTTCCTGCCAATTAAAATATGTATGATAAAATAGCACATTCTTCTCTATTATTTTCTGTTAGTTCAGGGAAATCAAGAACTGGGGAACCAAATACTGAGAAACCAAGACAGGTAGTCCTCGACTTAACAACAGTTTGTTTAGTGACCGTTTGAAGTTACAACGGCACTGAAAAAAGTGACTTACGACCATTTTTCACAGTTATGACTGTTGTAGCATCCCCATGGTCATGTGATTTACATTCAGATGTTAGACAACTGGTTCATATTTATGATGGTTGCAGTATCTCAGGGTCATATGATCACCTTTTGTGACCTTCTGATAAGCAAAGTCAATGGGAAAGCCAGATTCACTTAACAACGGTATTACTAATTTAACAACTGCAATGATTCACTTAACAAATGTGGCAAGAAAGGTCATAAAATGGGGCAAAACTTTCTTAACACATTTCTCACTTAGCAACATAAATGTTGGGCTCAGTTGTTGTTAGTAACATTGCCTTCTCAATAATCTGAAGTCATGAAGCCATCATATTCTGTTGCTTATTTCTTTAATATTTATAGGAAGGTTCCTTGTTCTAGAGCAGACATGTCAAACTCACGACATCATGTGACGTCGCGCAACGTATTGGAGCTTTTTCGCCATTGCCAGCAATGGGGTGGGCGCGGCTCCGGTATGATGAAACCGGCCCACGGGCCGGCAGTTTGACACCCCTTTTCTAGAGTTTTCTGAACTCTTGTCAACGTACTGCTATAAATTGCTTTTCAGACAGATACACTTCATTGTGCTAAAAGATATGAAGGGCCATGATGACTGATATCCAATGCAGAGAAAAGACTGGGTCCTCCTTAGAAGATACTGGAGTCTCCTAGTGGCTAGGTGAGAATCAGTATAGCAAAGGTAGGGTGTTTATTTAAAAAAAAAAACAGAACAGAAAGACTGTACTAGTGAAGACAGACCTTTGTTCTTCTAAATCAGGGCTTTTCAACCAGTGGTATGGGTACCACCTGTGGTACATTGGCACCTGGCAGGTGGTACGCGACTATCCTAGAAAAGTGGTAGCGGGGGAGGGGAATGAGCTGAACCGGTGGCAGCACCGCACAAGCCTGAGCGAGAGATGGCTGGAGCTGCAGGGCTGTCAGGGCTCAGCGGAAGCGCCAGGATCAACGCCTGGCTCCAGCTGGAGCTCGGCGCTGATCCTGGAGCTTCTGCTGAGCCCAGAAGCGCCAATCAGCTGGAAAGCAGCACTGATCCTGATACTTCTGCTGAGCCCAGAAGTAGCACCGATCAGCTGGAATGTTGCAGCATCTCCAGGGTCTTGTGATTTACATTCAGATGCTTGGCAATTGATTCATATTTATGACGGTCACAGTGTCCCAGGGTCATGTGAAGTGACCAAAACTGCTGCAACCACCAGCAGATGGGGGGAATAAAAACCAAACACCCCTCCACCCCACCCCCACTGCCAGTCCTCAACAGAAATTCTCACAACAATGAAAACCTCGGACAGGAGAAAGAGCGCGGCCGGGCGGGCAGGCAGGTGTCTTGCTCGGCTGTGGCTTGGGGGGCACTTTTTTCAGTGCCATTGTAACTTCAGTCACTAAGCAAATTGTTGTAAGTTGAGGACTACCTGTACTATCACTTTTTTCCTTTTTGACACCTTGCTAGGCGACTGTTGGTACTCGGATGCTGCCATATCCTAAAAGTGGCACAATGAGTGAAAAGGTTGAAAAGCCCTGTTCTAAATCACATTTTGGGATTTTGGATCAGTTGGAAAAGGCTATTCAATTCAGACTAACCTACAACAGGTTGTAGTCCAAATGCAAGAATGTAAATTATTTTATTGCTGTTCTTTACCAGAAGTGGGATAAATAACAGAATAATAGAGTTGGAAGGGACTTGGAGGTCTTCTAATCCAACCTCGTGCTCGGGCAGGAACCCTACACTATTTCAGACAAATGGTTGTCCAATCTCTTAAAAACGTCCAGTGTTGGAGAGCACCTACAATGTCTGGAGGCAAATCTTTTCACTGATTAATTGTTCTGTCAGGAAATTTCTCCTTAGTTCTAGGTTGCTTCTCTCCTTGATAGTTTCCATCCATTGCTTCTTGTCCTACCTTCGGCTGCTTTGGAGAATAGATTTAACTCCCTCTTCTTACGGAACGCTGCTATCATGTCACCCCTAGTCTTTCTTTTCATTAAACTAGACATACTCAATTCCAGCAACCATTCTTTATATGTTTTAGCCTCTAGTCCAAGATAATGGTTGGCCATATCTGCTATACAACAATTACATATAATATGTTTCTTCACTACAATGGAAAATTATACTAGAACCTTTAAATTAGATTTAACCCATTTTTCTACTTTCATCATAACAGAGAATATTTTTCTACTTTATTAACATTATACTTTATTAACTTATAAGATAAAACCCTGACACACATTTAAGAATTGTTTTAAAGTAACAACCTATAACTTGCCAGACACAAATACTTACTATGATTAGCTGCTTATCGCCATCTTTTGCAGCTTCTTTTAATTTTTGAATATGTTCTTCAGATGTAAGAAAACCACCACATTTTGTTGTTAATGGAACCTTTGGCACAGATGCCCTTTATGCATAAAAATAATTCACAAGTTACTGTTTATGTATGTATTCTAATAAAAATGCATTTCTCTTCCACACAATTCAATTGAATTAATATTAAAGCTAAGTAGAACAGAGTGCAATACAAGACACCTTAAGCTCCCGGAGGAAAGGCAATCAAATAAATAATTTAGCTAAGCTTCTGTCAAAAAAAATGTTTCTCACATTTTACAGCAAGCAAAATTTGTAAACGAATAGGCCAATCACTTTTGATCTGAAAGACAAGGGCTGCAAATATCAGCTTGATTGTCCACAAAGAATGTTTTGTTTAAGATGGGCACAATCCTGTCTTATCATGCTGGGTTTTTAAAAAAAAATAATTAAATAAACCTGATCTGTTGAGATATGGTGTTTGCATGATGGTATGACAGACATATCATGCTCCTAGCAAAAGGAAAAAAAGACCCCCTCCATATACTCCATCATCAATCCTTCTTATTTCATGAATGGAAGCAATTACAGGTAGTCCTCCACTTAACTTGTTTAGTGATCATTCAAAGTTGCAATGCCACTAAAGAAAAGTGACGTATGACCATTTTTCACAGTTACAATCTTTGCAGCATCCCCATGATCATGTGATCAAAATCCAGATGCTTGGCAACTTGCCCATATTAAGACCGCTGCAGCGTCCCAGGGTCATGTGATCACCTTTTGCAACCTTCTGACAAGCAAAGTCAATGGGGAAGCCAGATTCACTTAACAACCGGGTTACTAATTTATCAGCTGCAGTAATTCACTTAACAACTGTAGCAAGGAAGATTGTAAAATGGGGGAAAACCCACTTAACAAATGTCTAACTTAAGAACAGAAAATTTGTGCTCAGATGTGGTTTTAAGTCAAGGACTACCTGTATTTTACTTAGATATCTATGAGGAGAAAGTTGGAACTATGCTTTCTTTTTTCTTCAGGGTAGAGAGGGAAGAACTACAATTCTGTTCCTACTTCATTTCAGCACTGAGAAGGGAGATATGTAGAGAGAGCAAATGCTCTCAAAGTAGTAATAATAGCAACAATAAAACAAAAACATGCAAAAATTCTTATCTATTGGGTGCAAAAGTCACAGCCTATTTAAAGTCTCTATTGAATATCTGCTTATTTCATTTTAATGCTGCCTTCTCTCAAGAGTTAGGCAGTGTACAAAACAATTAAATATGTTAAGTTGAGCCCTTAACAATAAAAACAGCATAAAATCCATTAACTCATATTACTGACAGTTATATGAAGAAAATGGCTAGGTAATAAATATCTGTTTAAAAAGTGAAGTTTTTGATTACTCATGAAATGTCAGAAGATTTACAGCCAGGCAGTTCTCTGGGGGCAATGTGTTTCCGAGGACAAGGGCTACCGTGGAACATCCCTGTGTCCCGGTCTGTACCAATCTTATGTTCAGTGGGATGGATCCCCTCCTGTACAACTATACAAGATGGGCAGAATCTCACAGGTTAAAATGGTCTCTGTTGTGATTGGAACTGCACTGTGTAGGGCTTTTCGATAATAATTAACTGACTGAATGGAGCTTGGAAGCCTGTGGGCAGCCAACATTGGTGTGGCTGCAACATAGGCATTATCTCCTTCTGACATCCTGGCTGCCACAATCCGATACAGCTTGGAGATTCCAAGATAACAAGCATATGATGCATTATACCAGTAGTAGTGCAATCTCACAAGAACTAGAGTAGAAGTGACAACAGCCAAGTATTTCCAGATCAAGTGCGGCTGTAACTAGCACACTGTCTCCCTACCAGGGCTTCCACCTGCTTCTCCTGCAGGAACTGCATATCCAAGAGGAATCCCTAATCATAGACCTGCTCCTGCAGGGGAAGCACAATCACTGTAACTTAAGTTCCTGGAACATATACTTACTAACAAACAATATCTTTTCTTACCAGACTTAATCTTGCATTTGCTTGTGTTCAAGATTTTAATAGTATCTCTAGCTTGGCCTTGAAGGTTATATATCTGAGTATCAATAGTGTACTGACACTTCACTATGACAGGAGACCCTATGATTTGATCATTTTCCTCCCAGAACTGACTAAAACAACTCCTTTTGGTACAAGCAGGGCTCCTGCAGAGCAGCACTCAAATCATCTGCAGGCAGTCCAGATGCCATTAGAATACAGAAGTATTTACATTTTGCCAGTCAGTGTCTGATTTTCAACATGGGTCTATACCATTGCTAGTTGAACTGACTTTTGGTATTGTACCACTGTTATACTAGGGTTTTTTTTCCACCTGTTTCATCTCTCTTAACTATGTTCAGGATCAACAGTCACTCTTATCATCCCTTGCAACCATTATCTACAGTGCAGTCCTTTTGGGCCCACTAGAGCCTCTCTGAAATTGCAGCTAGCCTTTCTTCCAAACCTTGGGATCATGGCAGATGAAGGATATGCAACCCAGAACTCATACAGGGCCACATCCCTAATTGTACTCAACCAGAGATGCCAGGTCTGTGTGTTTATTCACCCAAATATCTCCTTTCACAGAGATCCACCATTATCAAGAGCAGCCTGAGCTCAAGCTGTCTGATTATTTGGCCAGTTGAGCTCAGGGTATATAGGAAAGGGAATATTAAAGAAAGAATGTTAAGTGTGAGTTGATAATTCTTAGATATTTCTTAACACATGACTGGCAAATTTAATGCAAACTTGTAAAAGATAAAATATAACAAAATATAAAATAATTTTTAAGAATACTGTACCTGCTCTCATTTATCTCAGAGGTTTTATTAGCAGGAGCCTGAACCAACTGTTTATCAACTGGATCTATCAATAAATCAATATATTACTTCATTAGAAGAGAATATATGTGGCTCAGGGTTAAACTGTGAAGTCCTCAGTGTTCCTGAGCTTGGTTGTTTGTTTAAACATCTGTAATCACACAACCCAGCTCAAAAACCACCAAGGACTCTATATTACTGCATATTGAATATATATGAATATATAATAGAGACTAATGACTGAGAAATCCAGTTTTTTGAATTTGAAACAACTTTACAAAGTACCAGTGGTATTTCTCTTTTAACACATATCAAACTTAAGCAATCAAAATTAGAAAAACCAGGAATCAAGAGTTGCAATTTCTAAACTATATTATATTATGAATAAGTAATTACAAAGCATTTTTTTTCAAATGTATATGCCCACCCATCTCACAAGAAGTAACTGGATGGCATACAACAATTAAATAAAACAATTTAAAAATAAAAAATAAAAACAATTATTATTTTAAAAAAATCAGATTTCCCTACAGGTTTTCATTTTTGGGGGGATAATTATCTTTAGCCAAATTCTTGAATACTTGAAGCTTTTCCTTCAATTTTATATTATCTATGAATGCACATAAGATGAACTCATAAATAAATATAATGAAAGGCACACAGTTTGTGTGATTTAGAGCTACACAGCTAAATAGATTTTGAATTGTATCTTTAATGTAACAAATTATAGTTGTGTCATATTGTATACACAAAGAGCATAGAAAAGGGCAATAATGACCTTCAGGGTTTAGTGAATGTGATCTAGACCAGGGGTCCTCAACCTTGGCAACTTTAAGACTTTGCTGGCTGAGGAATTCTGGGAGTTGAAGTCCACAAGTCTTAAAGTTGCCAAGGTTGAGGACCCCTGATCTAGACAACAGATTTCCTTTATTTCATTGACAACTGTATGCTGGCATCTTTAGGAGCAAGATGGACTGCTATGCAGACCATAGCAACTGTGCAGGAACTGAGTAGACCCTGGCACTTAGCCCTGTAGCTCAACTCTGCCCAATAGATACCAGCTGTGAAAATCTATACCAATAAGATGATTTCATTAAAAAAAACCCTCAGTATTTCAATTTTGACTGGGGAGAATGGAGCAGCACCATGTTTTTACTAGTTTATAAACCATGATGTAACTGCATAGTTCCAGCAGCAATTTAATGCCTGGATTATACAGCATTAGAGTCACTGGGTCTAAATCTGGAATCTCATCTTATTTCTATTTAGTTTTTCTGATCTGTTTTCTTCCTGATGCTACAAGAAAAAAAAATCCCCAAGAACTGATTCAACAAGTTGTGATTACTTTGCCTGTCTGCAGTAAAATTGGGTTCATACATCAAGTTAATCAATGATACGGTTTGTTACATTTTGCCCTGTGTGCTGTTATGAATCTAATTCATTCTGACGTATCACAACTTATTGAAAATATGATAAAACAAATTCTGGCTTATTGTTATGAATTAATGCAGTCAGTATGTTAGTGAATCAGTTAAATTTAATTTGCCAACAGTAAGATCAGTTCAACAAAAGCTGTAAGTAGCTTCACTTTGGCATTTTTATGACAAGCCTTATAGTCTACTATTAGCAATCCTCTAAACACAGGTTATCCTATTAATGGAAATAATGTTGCATCTGATTACCCTTGCTTCCTCCCAAGTTCATATTCTACAATTATTTGGCCAGATAGTTTTTTTAATATAATGCATAAACTTGAACTTAAAGTATGAATTACTTTATCCATAATTAAAGATGCTTTAATATGAAATATAATTTGAAGTTCACCTTGAGGTTTGATTTCTGTTGTCTCTCTTTTTACTTGCTTCACTGATGCTTGTTCTGTAATTATTTTCATTGAAGTATTTTCTGGATGTGTATCGAACTCTAAATTGAAACTCTAAATATATACATATAAGAATCATTCATTCAAACGTACAACAGATCTTACCAATTCAAAAATTTAAATTTTTGTTCCTGTTCAGTTTAAGAAACTTCTACCATGTTTGCATAATTTAGCTGTCTAGATAAGATGCAATAAATTACAAGGACTGCTGCAATAGCTGCTCTAGAGGTAATTTATCTCATGAAAATATTAACCAGTTTCCTTGAGTCTTTGTGCACATGTATAAAGAATTTAGAAATTCTAAAACAATACTTTCAATCTTCAAGAAATCTTAGGGTTGTGCAGAGCTTCTGATTCAAAGCAAAAAGGTGCTTCGAAGCATTCAGGAACATGTATTTGGATCCAATGTAAAATAAATGTCCCTTTCCCTAAGATCACACAGCACTGCAATGGGCATCTAAACAGGCCCTGGAAAAGATGCAGCTGCTTTAAGAAGTTGCAGAAAACATGTTCACATTAGAAACCTTTTATGCTTTCAATTTTAGAAAATCATATCTAGTTATTTTTGCATATACCACCTATGGCTTCATGAGGTATAGTAAATAACTGTGTAGTCCATGCACAAACCCTATTTCAGAGATACCTCTAGCTCTCAATAAACTAGCAAAAAAAAATCTCTCAAATCTAAAAAAATACCTCAGCTTATATTATGTTGAGCTTATCTGTCTTCCCCACGATACTCAGTTACATATGTGAAGTAAAAAATGTAGACAAAACATTACAAACCACTTTTTTACAGTTAGCTTTTAGTAATTTGTTGCCTCTTAGTGCTACCCTGCACATGGACAGATCAGATGGAGTCAAGTGAGAGGTCTCACTCTCCCTTGTCAAAAGCCTGACCGCTTTTCTGAACATGAGCAGAGTGGAGGGCCGGGGGGGGGGGAAGGAGAGCTCTGGATCTTCCAAAGCGCAAGCACTGTTACAGAGAAGGCACACTTCCAGGGTCCCACTAGATGACACTATTTAACTGAAGGAACCCGGAACATGCCAACATTGCAAGATGAAAATGGTCAGGAAAATACAATGAGAGACAGGCAGTCCCTCAAAAAATCAGTCCTGATGCCATGTAAGATTTGTATAGAGAGCAACCAGCGCCTTGAATCACACCCAGAAACAAGCTGATTGCACTGGATGCAACCAGTATCGCTCACAAAGCAGAAATGTTACATGGGCATACAAAGACATGCTCATCATTGCTTAGGCCATTCTATTCTGGATCATTTGAAACTTCTGAATGGTCTCCAAGTGCAGCCCCATATATGTGTGTTGCAATAGTCAAGCTGCTATGTTATTAGGGCATGAGTGATAAATGATGTAATAAATGATAAATGCATGATAGTGATAAATAGGTTATTTTAAACAGAATGCACTGTATTATACTCATCCTCAAAGTACATATTGCCCCATAAAACAAACTAATTCTGCAATAAAATACCAAGTCATACTTTTATATCACAAAATTACAAAATAATTACCTTGTCTGGTATTGGCCCAGGACAATGCTTTGCCTCAGACAAACCATTCTGTATAATCTGTACAGTGGACTGCTTGGCATGCAGTATTCTATCTTTAATCTGGATTCCTTCAAAATCAGCTGTATTTAACTTCTGTTCACATATTGTGCTATCATTGTTTTGGGATAATTTCCCTTGAACTTCTGGAAGGTGTATTTCTACAGTTCTGGCTTGTTGTTCCTCAGGATAATTACATTTTAAAACATCAAGCTTTAAAACATCAAGCTTTGGAATGCTTGAGATACTATGGCTCACATGATTGACCTTAGTTAATTTTATTTTGGTCCATTTAGAATTTTTATTCACTGTGCTATGTCTGCCATTTACAGTACATTTAACAGACATCCCTTTTTTGCTGGGAAAAAATCGCTTACATTGAGAGTTCTGGTTAGTTTTCTCATCATTTAATACTATTTCCTGTGGCAATTCTAGTACTGGATTTTTTCCCTCTTCTCTTCCATGGTCAGAGTTGGGAGAAATTCTTTTTACCTCAACTGTGTCCGATTCAATCTCACCTGCAATTTCTTCGCACAGTTCAAGAATGCTAATCTTTTTGGATTTTACCACATCCTCTTGTTGGCAAACAGGTTCTACTGGCACAGCTCTATCTGCTTTTACATTGATTTTTCCATTTTTGTGCTTTGACTTTCCTTTGTTTACTATACTGCAAACTGAATTTATAGGACAGGAAATTGTGTTGGCAACTTCCTTTTCAGATTTTTGATTACTTTCAAAATTATTTCTCAGTTCTCTTGGCTTATCTTGAGATGTAGTTGAATCACTGATTTCAGAATCCACCTCATGTTTTTTGGGGGAGAAGCAACCCATTTTCTTATTATCTGATATTTTTCTTCTTTCAATTTGATAATCATTGTCTTCCACAGACTTTCCTGGTTTCTGGCGGACATGTTTCAATTTTTCATGTTTAAGTTGTGGTACCAGCTTTTTCCTTGGGTTACATTGCTTCATAACAGAAGCATGTGTTTCTTTTACTTTTCTGCTTCTCAAAGATATTGTAGAAACATCAGATGACTGCTGCAATCTTGGTGATCTTCTAGTTTGATGCCCATGTGAAACAGTATGTTGTGACTTTGGAAGGCCCTGCACTGTGTCCTTCTGAGATACTTCCTTAGTTTGTTTGACAGGTAACTGTTCTTGCCTAATTTTAACAGTTTTACCAGAATCAGTGCCCACTGACTTTTTGGCTATCTTTCTGTAGTCAGTATCACAAGGCTTTTCACTGGAAGTTTTAGTCCACCTTGCTTCACTGTTCTGAGAAGCTGACTTTTTTATAGAAGGGGTTTTAGAATTCTGAACCTCTAAGTTATTACTAATATATTTTCCAGATTTTGTAATTTTTTTGGTATTTTCTTTGATTGGTCGTGATTTTGAATGCAGGTTCTTATGACTCGTTTTACCACACCGGACTGCATGCCTTTTACACCGAGCTTCAATAGGACGGGTTTTAGAATCTACAGATGATTTATTCGGTTTCTTGTTTTCATAGGAAGTCTTATTTTTGACAATGTTGCATTTTCTCTTCCCCCTAGAACAGATTTTGGAAGAAGATTTTGAAAGATTCAGAGAATTGGCATGCTTTATTTTGGAAGATTTTAGTGATCTCTGTGCAGGACATAATTTACCTAAAGATGTTAAGGATGTCCGTTTAATGCACACCATTTTACATGCTTTCTTCTTTAACTCATTTAAAGTCTGTTTGGAGTTCCTTTGCGCTTGTTTATTTTGGGAAGATGGTAGAGAAGCTCTATTTATAAACTTATTGGCAGCTGACCTGTTAGTTGTGGCAGAGAGTTGGGACACTTCTTTCTTCAGCACTGCTTTCTTATTTGATATGCATTTACCATCCTGTAGTTTTCTTTCTTTGCTAGTAGAAACTGATTTATTACTTTTATCCAATTTCCGCCGCTTAGCAGAGGATTCTACCAGCACAGATTTCCTTTTCTGTGCTGCCATTTCTGAAAGAAAAGGATATTCAGTTATAACTACATTCTTGAAAAATGCTTTTTAAATGAGAAGTTTAACATGTTGACTTGGTTTACTCACAAGTACTGTTTTGTAAGCGAATTCTGCCTCAGTAGAAGTGTACTGATCTGTGAAAAATGCATTCCTTATGAATTTACATCCAAAGAGAGCATTATATATATCCTATAAACACAGGAACAATAAAGTATTAGTGGGAGTGCCACTAATATTAAGCACAGTTGTCTAATTTTTAGGGCATGCAACATATACTTGGAAAACATCTGGATTATATATCAGATTTCATCATTTTCATTTTCCTACTTATACAATATTCTAATATCAGCGAAGTTTAAATTGCACATATCATGAAAAATCAGCATGCTAACAGTTAGGTACATTACTGTATATCTAACAATATAAGGACCATAAATCTACTTTTTATTATTTTACACCCTCTAATTAAGGCTTATGGATCCAGAAATTATTTTTAAATTCCCATAACTTTGCCATTTTTATAAGGTTTTGGAAAAAATGAACAATTTTTCTTACTCATTAAGAAATAAATACAATCTGCAATAAATAGATTTAATATATTTGTGCTAAATACACTGAAAAAGAAATATATACATCCCCTGAGTGTTCTGTAAGTTTCTACTGTAACTTGAAACTTTCAGTGTCAAGAAATGAAGATCTATGCTCACTTTCTTGTTATACATAAAATAAAATAAAAATTCAGAGATATCCCAACTATAGTGAGGAGATGAGCCTCTAACTGTCTACTATCTTCCATTTTGAGCCTAACATATTTCCAATTTAAGCTTATTCTAAGAGAACTCCTTTGCTTTGTTGTGACAGCAGTTGATTTGGAAACTAAATCAATTAATACCAGATAAAAGTCTTTTCATAATTAAGTACATCATATAGACCAGGGGTCCCCAATCCCCGATCTGTGAACCGGCACCGGGCTACGGCATGCCAGAAACTGGTCCACGCAAACAAGCAAAGCCCCATCCGCGGGATGCAGGCAGTACATGAAACCACCGCCCCTCCAGTCTGCAGAAAAACCTATCTCCACGGAACCGGTCCCTGGTGCTCAAAAGGTTGGGGACCTCTGACATAGACATTATACATATAACACACATATTTCTCAACTTATTTTTTTCCTAAGAAGTTCTAGCTAAAAGGCAGTCTCCTTTTACCCATTTTGTTTTCAATTAATCCTGAGGCATATATGAGTATAGGATTGAAGGAATGGAGGAAAAATTAAGAATTTGAAGCCAATAAAACTACTGTAATAAGCTATTTGTTAATATAGTAATGAGTAAGAATCTGGAATTAACTGATGCAACACCTGTAGTAGAACTGACTATAGCCCTATTTTGTATATGTTGGATAACAATCTAGGGCTAGTGTCATATAAAGATGCTACCTACATTTTACATTGCCACTTTCTCAAACTATACACAGGTTCCACATACTTTACGCTATGTAAATGCCTAGAAAATTTAGCCAGATTACAGAACACTTATTAACTTACACATTTATCATGGAGAACCAGTAATACAGTTTCAGAGTGTATGTAAGATTTGGGCTTATTTTCAAAGTAGAACAGTGCATATTACAGAGAAAAGAAAGCACAATCCTATGGCAGAAAAATTACATTGTTTAGATCAAGATAAGCAAGAACAGCTTGAAGTCAACCACAATCCACAGAAGAAATTAGCTTCAAAGCCTTAAGATCTGTCTTAACAACCAAAGATACATGGTTTCTTTAAAAAAAAAAAAAAAGTTAGCTTGGGCATCTCTACAAATCAGAATAATTGGAATAACATTTGAACTATTTCCAGGGGACAGGAGAAGAGCCAGGAAGCTCTTTCAAATGCTAATGTCAAGTTAAGCTATTTTGGGTTTGACTTAGCAGAATGTGCACCCCAACCACTCTTGCTGTAGCCAGGGTTCATGATTTAACAGAGCCCGTGAAGCAGATTATTAGTGTTAACAAACTACGATTAAAACAAGGCCCACAGATTAACCATCCAAGGAATCCCCACAACCAGGTAAGAAAAGCAAACCAACCCAACCCACAGGCTTCCAAAACTTCACATTGAAAGAATCCCTTTCTACCTCAGGGAAAACTGATGCTCTGTAGGGCCTCAAAGGGAATCCCCTACAGCAGTGATTCTCAACCTTGACAATTTTAAGGCATGTGGAATTCTGGGAGTTGAAGTCCACATGCCTTAAAATTGTCAAGGTTGAGAATCACTGCCCTACAGACTTTCCTAAGAAAGTGGCCTTTTACCCAGTGGTTCTCAACCTGTGGGTCGGGACCCCATTTGGGGTCGATCGACCATTTCANAAGGGAATCCCCTACAGCAGTGATTCTCAACCTTGACAATTTTAAGGCATGTGGAATTCTGGGAGTTGAAGTCCACATGCCTTAAAATTGTCAAGGTTGAGAATCACTGCCCTACAGACTTTCCTAAGAAAGTGGCCTTTTACCCAGTGGTTCTCAACCTGTGGGTCGGGACCCCATTTGGGGTCGATCGACCATTTCACGGGGGTCGCCAAGCAAGGCTGTCTGCCATTTTTTTTGTCCGCCATTTTTTCCCCTTTTCCGGCGGGTGCGTTACTTCCCTTGGGCTGGGCCAGCTGGTGGTCGGCCTGCTCCGTCTCTGCCGCTTGCCAGCTACGCCTCGGCCGGCGCAGGGGGCGGAACCACGCATACGCGGCGCTCCCGGGCAGGGAAAGTCCTCGACTTACGACCGGTTGCGTAGTCCTCGACTTACCACCGGTTTAGTCCTCGACTTACGACCGGTTTAGTCCTCGACTTACGACCGGTTGGGGTCGCGGCATTAAAAAGGTTGAGAACCACTGCTTTTACCTAACACAGGGCTACAGGGAAGGGGAAACCAAAGGTAGGCCGAGCCACCCACCCGCTGCTGCTCCTCCTCCTCCTCCTCCAGCCTCTCCAACAAAGGCAGGTTCCGACAAAAGAAAAATATTTGTGGCTCAGAGTTGAACTGTGGACTTCTTGGTACTCTCTGAGCTTGGTGGTTTTCTTGCAGATAAGCCGATGAAGTTACCTAGTTTGGTAATGAAACGTCTGCAAGAAAACCACCAAGCTCAGAGAGCACCAAGGACCCCAAAGGCGGGTTTCTCCGAGACCCTTCGAGCGTTAGCTCCGCCGCTTACCGGGCACTACGGACGGGCGAGAAGGAGTAACCGAACCGGGCGCAGCAAGGCCACGGCCTCCTCTATTTCTCCCACTTTTTCTCTCCGCCCCTTCTCGTCAACTATATAAGGACCGCGAGCGAGCGAGCCCATCTTTTACCACTGGCAGGAGGGGGAAGAGCGGGCGGGCCGCCTCACCTGGCCAAAGGACCCACAAAAGGAGGCGGAAGAGCGCACGAACACAAAGTCTCCGGGAAGCAGCGGCTCCCGGCTCGCCTCAGCTTCCGCGTCAGCGCCGCGAACTCTCCATGTCACCCGGCCGGCACGAAAGAACGAGGAACAAGCCGAGGCGACCAGAACGCCTCCCCTATCCGGATCGAGGGGGGGGTGGGGGTCGAGCCTGAAATTCGCTTCCGAGGTGGATTTCCGGTTGTCAGTTGCAGGTTTCAAAGTCTCCCATATGCGGGGGAAAGCACGGGCCGACGTTTTTTTTTAAAGCCCGCAAACCTTTTAGAAACTCCGCTCCTCCCACGCACGGGGAGGCGAGAGACTGTTGCAATTCCCTAAAGAACACGTTTGCCTCGCCCCCCCCCCGCCCCACCCCCGTTATGGTACTTTTGCTTTTACGCCAAGGAGAAAGTCAGTCAGAAAAGCAAGCAAGCGGTGGGGAAAGGTTCCCGCGTAGACTCGATCGAGGGCCCTCGGTCTGGAATGCAATAAATAAATAAATGAAATCGGATGGCCGCCAGATGGCAAAAAAAAAGCATGCAGAAAACTCGGGTGACATCAAGGCGTCCAAATGTTCGCTGATCAAATTTCATAGCCGACCTATATCGGTTCATTTATGGCAGTGTTTCTCAACCTTGACAATTTTAAGGCATGTGGACTTCAACTCCCAGAATTCCACAGCCAGCAACGCTGGCTGTGGAATTCTGGGAGTTGAAGTCCACATGCCTTAAAATTGTCAAGGTTGAGAAACACTGATTTATGGATTTAGCTCTGTGTCCTGCCTAAAGTTTCACCTCGGTAGAAACTGAAATAAGTGAAAGTGTCAAAAATTCAATGGCGTGCATCAGCCTTAACCCGCTCCGACAAGTTCCACCCATACCTACCAAATTTGTGAGGAAAAATGAGACATTGGGAGTCGGGCGGCACACATGTTTAACATATTATGTTATTATCAACATCATCCAGGCAATGTGGCTAACAGTTTAACAAACTGATTCAAACTAGTGGCTGGTTTTTTTTTCTGTTCTTTGAGGAAATGTTGGAAGCTCAAGAATAGCGTTGTCATAGGACTAAAAATATTGCTTTACACGCTCTAAAGCTGCTAACAATAGGAGCGTCAGGTTATTAAAGTTTACTTGTATATATCTTACTGTAAGTTAAGGAAATTGAATTAATATAATAAATGCCCAATTTTATTTAAATCGATCTTCTTTATTTATATTTTACTAGTTTACTTAAAGATCAACAGCGGCAACCATCAAATTTTAAATTGAGTAAATATTATTTTCCAAAAGTTCTGCATTGAGGAACCAGAAGTGTATCAGCGATTGCCTTTTTCTTTCGCTCTTTACACCAACAAAGTTTCCGCCCGAGAACGGTACCAGCTGACACCTGACAGGCTCGCTTGCCTCCTTGAGTAGGAGTGACGTCAGAACCGGATTTCCGAGAAAGCAGTAGCAAAAGCAACTGTTGCACATGCGTTGTTGATTAAAAGCGCCGCTTAGGGAACCATAGAGTTCTTCAAAACGAGTTAATGCTAATTTTGTTTATTCCACCTTACTCTTGCAGTCAGAATTTTGTCTATTACGGAGCATGCTCAGTTTTCTTCAGAATGTTTTAGCTTCCTGTTTCTGACGTGACATTTAAGCGAGGTGCGATCACTGCTTTGCAGCAAAGAAATGCTAAATAATTCTGCGATATGATGTAATATGATTGGAATGCCATACTGCCTTTATTTCAGAAAGCTGCCCTTTAGATTTATTTTTTTTATAAAAACTATTATGTTCTCTATTTTAGTTGTTTAACTGGTATGTACAAATGGTCCTAATCAAGGCGGTCTTTCATGCGAAAAGTATGAAAATTGAATTGTCTTTTTTTTTAAAGTAAATTTACATGCAGTTCTCAGTTAATGACCATGTGTTCGTCAATGCTTCAAAAGTATGATGGCTCTGAATAAGGGGGACTTAACAGCCAGTCCCGAAGTTCTGGCTGTCCGAGCACTCCTGCAGTCATGTGATTGCAATTTGGCAACCACTTCACATTTATGATGGTTGCGTGTCTGGCAATCTCATGATTGCCATTTGCAACCTTTCCTGCTGGCAGGGAAATTTGCA